GTTCAACAACAAAATGAGTTTTAACAGAAACTGTACAGGACAAAATCCGATTATGAAATTCCAGAATGGAGTATGATCAAGACAGAATGCACACTGCAAAGGAAAAAAATGCGTATTAGTAATTGAAAATATAGCTATTAATTTTGGGAGAGATCACACCTCCATAAGTTTGTGATAAAGCTTTTTGTTATCTTATGCTTCAAAAAATTCATTCAAATACCGAAATAAATATAAAAACAAGTCCTGTTCAAGTTTCCACATCATTGCCTAGAAATCAATCATCTTTAGAAAATGAGTTGATGTAACTGAATTTCTCACGCACAATTCACTACGACATGATGTTCTTTGGCGTAATTTTATTAAAAATTATAGGTTATCGCATAATTTTGATTATAATTATCCGACAGCCGATAAATTTGAATATAAGCCGCCAATGTGTCCGTGAAAATGCAAAGCCATACGGCTTCAGTTTATGTTACCAGGTGTATTTAGGGTTTGGATTCAACTACTTTTTTCTTATTAGTCTGTTTGCTCGTCAAGGTCACGTTGCTTCAAGGTCGATTTCTTTGAGCATAGTTTGAATAGTCAAATAACGTACTAGCAAGTTATACTTAGATTGTCGAAGACTCCAAATAGCTCTTTATCCAATTTTAACACCGCATTCATTGAAATCTCGTAAAATATATTCTCTGATACGATCTTCATTAACAACATTCCTGCGTCAACGCAACACGTACAGTTTCAACTTATTTAAAAGAGCACTACTTGAATTAGAAATGCTATGCAATTTATCGAGTAAAATCAAAATAGTTTACTTCTGGTTGCGTTCGTGTATTTCTGTTTGTGTTGTGCTTCTGCGCATGAATAAAATAACCTTTTATAAAGTTAAGTAATGGAAGCTGCTGTTTTTATGCAGTAAACGACCGTAGCATGGTGAAATTTAGCAAATATGGAAGGACGTTTAAAAACGTGAGACTCTATCGTTAGAGATTAGACTTTAAATTGGTATTGGTGAAACATAGTGTGTCTTTGTGGTAGACTCGTAGTGCAACACTTTGTTACTAACCAATGCTAACTTACGGTTACGTATTAGCAACAATGAGATGGATGTTAGTAACGTTAGTAACGTCAAGTTTTGAAAAAGTAACAAATGTTTAATTTATGCACGCCGCATGATCAATTACAAACGTGTAATGAGTGAGTTAGTGATCAAGAACTACTTGTATAAGAGTTTGTATGCACTTCGTTTACCAGAAGTAATCTCAACTTGAAGGTGTAAAATGACCACGACAAACAACATGGTACATGTGCCAATTCTTCAGTCCGGGACAAAAATCCTAAAATCGACACCCCACTAAAATTGCAATGTCATCATAGTTCTAACTTTTAAAAACAAAAAGAAATAACTTTTCTAAAGTTCTTGACATGTTTAGAAGGTTCACTTTAGGGGTGGTCATGGGAGGAAAAACTTTGCACAACATCAATATTTACTGAGAGAATTACTACGTACCATCTCTGGTCAAATGTAAAGTTTGCATAAATCAACCAATATTCTTGGCAGAGATTAAATTTTCATATTTTCAAAGAAAAAATCAAATGAGATGAAAAAGAACATTTAACCACAGTATAGAGAACATACAGTAGAGCCACTCCATTGAATTTTTCGTGCCACGCATATCTAATTACGCATGTGATTACCATATTGGCAGCCAGTAAATTGCGTTGTGTGACCAATAGGATTGACGATATGACAAACAGCAGCCAGTAAACTAAGAGCCTGTTTATATGAACCCGGTAACAGGGATTCAGCGAGGCGTAAAATGACTTTAACTCATTGAAAATAGTTGAAGCTTTAAGCGCTAAATTTACAACCTTTCTTAAGCGTCATAAGTCATTTTAGTGGTAATTTTCAAATGAAACTAAATTATTTGTCTTCATTTTAAAGGTTTCGTGAATTTACAAATTCATAGTACAGAGAAATTGCTTAAATAAGATTTTTGTTGTGAAGTATTTAATCTTTTCCATTTGCCAAAATGTTTTAACGCTTTGCTGAATCCCGGCTACCGGGCTTGTGAACAGCCTCTAATTAAATATACAGCAGCCAGATGTACAGCGAAGTGGCCCTACTGTATATTCCTATACTGTGATTGAACTCACTCTAAGCATTCATTTTATGAAATCGTAAATGCGCTCTGTGGGTGGTTTTTCCCTTACTGGTACCACTACTCTTTTAAATTTGCCTACTAAGACTCAACTACAATGTGTTTCTCATCGTTACTACACATCTGAGATAAGCATTATCTTATTTTCATTACATTCTTTACTCTTGTGTCTGCAAAGTTTTTTATCATAAGTAATTACAATTCCGTGTAGTTTAAGTTTGAAATTTATTCATAATTTACAATGGTTTATTAAATAATAAAGGTTTTTTATAATATGAAATGACTTATGCTATAATCTATTTGTATGGAATTTTGATTACATTTGCATTTTCGAAAATCGTGTTTTAAGCATTGACATTCAAATCCTGTCTTAGATAGTTGATCCTTAACTCCTGAGTAAAAACTTGTAAAACTTTATTTCATTTAACACTAGTCCTTTGGAATTTGACTAATCTCAATGTTATCATGCACTCTGTATGCGGTAATATTTATGTATTTTTATTTCTATGACAATTGTTTTTAGTCAATGATGTATAGTTAGTTATATAACTGAGATGTTCTACATAGACACACTATAGAAGAACCTACAGTAGAGCCACTTTATTGAAATTTTTCGTGCCACACATGTCTTATTACGCATGCGATTACCATAGTGGCAGCCAGTCAACTGCTTTTTTTGACGAATAAGAATGATGAAATGTCTAACGGCAGCCAGTAATCTAATTAAATATACAGCATCCAGTTGCACACGAAGTGGACCTATTGTATACTTCTATACTGTGACATAGATGTCATTAATGTTTCATAACATTGTTTGTTGAAGTAGATCCTGACTCATTTTTTGTCTTCGCTCGTTATTTTAATGTGTTTATGCAACAAAACTCACATGGATAAGAAATTAATGTTACAGTAAGGTATGAATTATGATCACCATTTTTAAACTGATATGTATGTGGTCGCGTTGTTTATATTAAATCTTTCATCCGTTTGTTGAGTATGTGACATATAAAGAACTAAAGCAAGCATAATTTTGTTCACACGGTCGTCTTACTTCTAAGAGGGAAGTAATTTTAGAAAAATTAAGCGATATTTTAGAACTACATTACCAACATAACAAATTAGCTAAAGCAGCATCTCGATAAAGTATAACTAAATATGCATAAGAAATCATATCTAAATTGATATATCAACTTTCTGACTATTGACAATAAGCTGCATGGTAAAGGAAAGCAAAACCTGTTCAAATGTATGGGAGAGGTGAAATAGCATACTTGTCTATGAAAAAATGGGAATCTGTGAAAACTTATGTAGGGAGGATAGCATGTCCAATCATGGATCACCTCCCTTCTTTGCTGACGCCCTTTTTTAATAATCTCTGTGTGTCTAACAAAATGTTGATAGTTGTATACAACAAACCATTTCTTTCAAAAGTAAGAAAATTTGAAAAATAAGCAAATGTTAAACGCAGGAAGAATATATTTACACACTGAGGTAGAACGCAACCGAATCTATTTTTGTGAAATGTTGATTCATGCAACACAGTGAGCTTTTAAAATTATACTTTTGATCATGTTTGTTTAACAGTTTTAAGGTTTACTTTCATTGCATCCTTTACTGCTGTATCTACAGTATTCTTATTGATCATAAGTAATTATAATTGCGTGCAGTTGATGTTTGATATGTATCCATAATTTACAATGGTTTATTCAATAACAAAGTTTTTTTATAATATGAATTGACTTATGCAAGAATATACATGTATGGAATTTTTGATTAATGAAGGGAAAAAATCCATTCGCAGTTCGAAAATCGTGTCTTAATAATTGGCATTCAAATCCTGTCTTAAATAGGTGACTCTCTATTCCTGAGTTAAAACTTGTGAAACTTTATAAGATTTAGCATTAGTCCTTTGGAATTTGACTAATCTCAATGTTATTATGTACTCTGCATGAGGTTCTTATTTATGTATTTTTATTTCTATAACAATTGTTCTTAGTCAGTGATGTATACTTAGTTATAGAGCTAGAATGTTCTACATAGACGTCATTAATGTTTTATATTACTGTTTGTTGAAGGAGATCCTGACGCACTCTTCATCTTCGTTCGCTATTTAAATGTGTTTATGCAACAAAACTTACATGGATAAAAGATTGATGTTAAAATAATGTATGAATAATGATCACCATTTTTAAACTGATATGTATGTAGTTGCGTTCTTTATATTAATTCTCTCATCTTTGTAAGGTATGTGACGTGTAAAGAACTAAAGCAAGCATATTCTTGTCTACACGGTCGTCATATATAAAGTCTTATTTCTAAAACGAAAGTAATTTGTCGAAAGTTAAGCGATATCGGAAACTAAATTACTAACTTTACATAACAAATTTGCTACTGAAGCATCTCGATAATGTATGACTAAGCATTCGAGAGAAATCATATTTAAGTTGATACACCAACTTTCTAACAATTGACAATAAGCTGCATGGTAATGGACAGTAATACCTGTTCTAAAGTATGGGGGAGGCAGAATAATATGAGAACATTTTCTACATGCAGAACCCTGAATTTTTCTTTATAAATTATACTTGTCTATGGAAATAAGGTGGATCTGTAAAAATTTATGTAGGGAGGGGCACATGTCCAATCATGCATTACCTCCCTTCTTTGCTAACGCCACTTTTGACTAATCTCTGTGTGTCTAGTAAAATGTTGATAGTTGTATACAACAAACCATTTCTTTTAAAAGTAAGAAAATTTTAAAAATAAGCAAATGTTGAACACAGGAAGAATGTATTTACACAGAGAAAGAACGCAACCGAATCTATTTTTGTGAAATGTTGATTCATGCAACACAGTGAGCTTGTTTAACAGTTTTAAGGTATTTATAGAAGTAATCCTTGAGGAATTTAACACTATGTTTTTTTACATTTTTTGTCTAATTTTTTACTATTTTTAATATTACGTCACCTACACCAGATATAACATAGAATTCACAAAAAATATTCTCGTACTTTATTGAACTTGCAGGAACGATGTCTCTTTCAAGGGAAAGAGCTATTTGTTAAATAAATGTAAGAAAAAATATGCTCGGAAGACAATTTGATCTTTTATAAAAACAGGACATTAATTAAATTTTCAAAGCCTTTATCAAACTTTCTATTTTATGAAGTTATTATAAATTACTTATAAAAATCATCACAGAAAAGAGTATCCAACCATGTATCAAAACCGTATGAGGTACATACCCATATTTTTCAAGGAGTTTAATGAAGTTAATCATCTATTGAATCTAAAAGCTTTGTATAATTTTCGTAGATTCTTTACAATACGACAATAAGAAATTGAAGGTCTGTTATGCTGAGCGGTGCTTAGTACCTATTACATCAATAAATCTCTTGATCTTTGACCCTGGAATTTCGAAAAAATAGTCTGTGGTTTGGCGATTTCCATTTGGACAATTTTTGGCCTTTATTCTCTTCAAATTTTTTTCAAATCTATACTGGAGCCTGTTACACGAAGCGTGGATAGCGTTATCCATTGGATAGTAGTTTTTTAAATTTGTGAATGTGCATGGTTATATTTTGTTTATGATGATGAAACTTTGTAATTCTAAAACCAATATTGTATTTCATTTATTGTCTAGTTCGAATCGTTGATTTTTCCCTTTTAAGATATTTTTGAAGCGCTCAAAAACGTTGCTACTCAGTTCAATGGATAGCGTTATTCGACCTTCGTGCAACTGCTCTCTTCTCTGTTTATTATAAAAGTCTCTGTAAAAAACATAAATCTGGTGAGAACCATATATGAGCAATGAACATGATCGTTAACTACATTTCAGCTGTATCCAGATACAAGCATTGAGTTTTATAATAACTGGAGCGGCTATCTTTACTGGGGCGAGGTCGCCAAAAAAATGGCGGCCAACGGACGTATTTCCGCTGAAATGATCGCTTTGCAGAAAAATAATATTCTCGACCTCCCCCTGGTGTATATAGTAAATTATAAAGAATTTTTCAAAAACCAACACGATATCGTTAGTTCCATATTCTGTGACGATATCTTTTTTGGCATTTCTTTTATAATGTCAACACTTCAATCGTTCAATTGTTGGATGTCGTAGTTTCCACAAAAAGGAACATATCGCTTCTCACAGGTGAGATAGTTGCTTGTTTTTAGTCCGTCAACGATTGAAAACTGAAAAGCAATTATACATGCACTTTAAAAGCCATAAAATACATATTAAAGATCGTATTTTTAAGACTGACTTGAACGCCAAATATACTGATGTTTTCCTGTTTTTGTTTATAAAATTCTGCATACTTTTCTAAAGTCTGCATGAAGTCGTAAATTTACCCATCTATTTGCAAAATAGTTTCCCTAAAGCTAAAAAGACCCTGCACACATTTTGCTCTGTGAGTAAGTATCAAAACGAAATGATCAGCCCCAAGAGTACCCATGATTTGGAGCAGAGCTTGTTATGTTCTATTTGCTGACAACATGCAGGGAAGACCAAGGAGTAAAGATGACTGGAAGATGTTATTGACCAGGCAGAGTCTTAAAAAATTATAATGCTGTAAAGATAATTGATTTATCGTCTGCCCTATCCAGAGTTATTTAATTTGATCATGGTCAAATTCTAGGGATGGAGACAAATGATTCACTAAGGATGCCTTGAATGCTTTGAAGTTAAAGTTCATGAACCAAAGAAAGATGGCAAGGTTGTGTGTGTTTTGATGCTTAATGAAATGTCAATTCACAAAGATATAAAATGGGAAAGCCATAAAGTCTATGTAAACATTTGTACTGAGATTGATGACTTGATGCAGATGTGAAGCATCAAACTGTATAAGCCATTGGGTTTTATATAACTTATGTTTAAATCAAGTCATATCTTTATCAAAACATTTTAGTTGAGTGTTGTATAAATGTTACTAATATCTAATGCACTACACTGAAGCATTAAAGATTCAGTGATGAAACTTTCAAAGTTACTGTACTGTATACTTCTTCATTATTATAGTTTTTGTTTCAAGAAACAGTTTGAGCTTATTTACCTAGTAAAGTACAGATTGGAGATTTATCATATGCATTATTGCTACTTTTTAAAGAAAAGTTTTCACTTTTCAAAGCTTTCCTACAAATTTTTGCTTCTTATTTCTTTTCATGAGATTGATGATATATGGTTAATATAATCCAATAACTTTATAATTTCTAAAAGCTTTTAAGCTTCTAGCATAAAAGTACTATAGGTATTTGATTCATTTGGTTATATTGCCTTGCTATGACATATCTACTTGCACTTCATCATTCTTGTATGAACAAAACACCAGATGTGGATACTCAGAGAACAAAATGCACTACCAACTGCTTATGAAATTTATTATTTAGGTGAAAACTGTGTTAATCATTCAAATTGTGTACTTATTTGCAAATATAGGAAAAACAAAACAAAGTGAAAAGAAGGGTAGAAGTATTAAAACTACAAATGAATTATAAACACCATTGGAAGCATAAGTGTTTTGATGATTATTTGCATTTTGCCCAATTCATGTATCAATACAACAAAATCAAAATGTGCTACAACTTTAGAAGTATTTGATGCAGTTGCACTTCAGAACATCACAAAAAGGTTACTTAAAGTACTTTCTATACAATATTTTTTGTTTTCATTTACCAAGCCTATGCAGACTTGAGTCTTTTTGAAATTTAATATGAAACTCAATTACAGAAAATCCGTAAATATCCAGAGATTTAATATTTACTTTTAAAGAAACAAGTAAAAATCCAACAATTGTGGCGAAAAAGCCATTGCCCATTGCATCATGAAAGAAGCAAAATAGCAATGATAACAAATAAGCTAACTTCTCTCGTGAACCGTGGAGATGAACTATGATATACTTTTTTGTATAGACTAAAGAGTTTAATCGATCAAACAAGTTCGACGTTGGTAAAAAAACGACGCACATCTGCATTCATACATGTGTAGCCGACATATAGCTCTTTCGTCGATAGTTATAAATGCATCCTCGTAGTAGCACATAACTGACAACCACAGTTGACTCGCTGTTATGAATTTGAGGTTTTTACCTTGATTTTCATCAAAAAATTGCTTGACGAATCCCAAATACACACATACATTTTCTTCACTCTTTCCTCAGGAGGGAGTGGGAAATTGTGAAATTTTCGGAAAAGCGATCAATTTCGGTAAATCTCAGCGGCAACGGACGAAATCCGCCATTTTTTTGGCGTCAGCAGATATCTAAGGCCGCGCTTGAGATAGCCGCTCCAGTTATTATTGAACTCAATGGATACAAGGAAGTGAATCAGAATGATCACGTGACGAGCCCATCCTTTACATTTGAATACACACGTCTACACTACAATACAACGAAAGACATAAATGAAGAAATATTTCATTATAAAACTGTGAATTTACGTTGTGGAACAAAGAAATTATGGTTGAAATGTAGAAATAGTCGTTTTGTGTCATTTGGTGAGTAAAATTTTACAAAACATTAATTTTAAAACATTATTGTTTAGCTACTCGTTATATTGTATCGCAGATTTTACTAACGTTTTATATTTGAACTTTGATATAAATTTTTCAGTTGGCCGTTGATTTATTGAATTTTAAAGTTTTGTAACTTATTTTTGTACCATTATTTTTCTTGGTTTTTAGTTTGAAGTTCAAACAAAGGCTTCACGATTAAAAACAAACATTCTTCATTAAAGTAAGTCAGAGTATTTATAACATTATATTCTAAATAAATTTCTTTTTGAAAATGGCTTCACCACCTAAAAAACTGAAGATTGAGGCAAATGGATCTCGTTTAAGTAAATTTTTGATAAATAAAGGAACACAAGCTTTGAAAACAACCTTGCAGTTTAATATAAATTTTCGCTCGTCAAACCTAAGCGATGAACTTAATGAATCCTCAAATAAAAGTACATTGGAATCCTTAAGACAAAGAAGGGTCATCAACAAAGAGCAATGGAACCTTCTTTACCCATCAACTGGTTTGCCAAACCTTGATAACTTTGATATTTCATTATTGACTGTCTTATTACGTAACATATGTGGTCTAACAGCGCCACATGGTGGATGGGATAATCTTCCTTCCTCTTCAGATACTTCAATTTCAGCAAATATTGCAAGAATAAAGTTTTATAGAAATAAAGTGTATGGCCACATAAGCACAACTAGTGTAGATGACGGTACGTTTGAGCGCTTGTGGGATGAAATCTCAAAAGCATTGGTTGGTCTGGGTATTCAACAAACTGAAATAGTTGAATTAAAGGAAGCTCCCCTTAGTCCCAATGAGGCAAATTATCTTGAAATGTTAAAAGAATGGTATGAAAAAGAGCAACAGTTAATCGATGTTGCTGAGAAAACCAACGAAAATGTAGAAGAATTAAAAAAAGATTTTGAAGCTATGAAAAATAAAGTAGAAGAAATTAAAGAAAGCATGCCAACAAAAGTTGATGTAGTAGAAATTAAACAAGAGATGGCAACAAAAGCTGATGTAACCAGAGTGAAAGAATTGATACAGGACAAAATATGCCCAGATCTCAAGAAGCTTGCAAAGTTTAAGTTTAACGGTCTTATAAACGATCTTAACAAGAAATACCTTGAAGGCACTAGACAATGGTTATTTGAAAAACTCGACACTTGGTTTAACGATAAAAGTGAAGATGCTTCTAATGTCCTGATTTTGATTGCCGGTCCTGGTGTTGGTAAAAGTGTATTTGCTGCTGAGGTGTGTCGACAATATTCTGAAAAGGAGAAACTTGCTGCTTGTCATTTCTGCAGGTATAATCGATCAGATGAAAGGAATCCTCGAATATTGATAGAATCATTGGCCTGTAGCATGTGTGATACAATATTAGATTTCAAATCTAAACTAAATGAAGAATTACAGAGAAACCATTCCAAAGAATCAATCGCCGATGCTTTCCGTGTTTTATTAAATAATCCATTGCATTCATTAAAAGATTATGAACCAATGCTTTTGGTTATTGATGCATTAGATGAAAGTCAAGTTGAGGGCAAAAGTGAATTATTGGAATTGATTACTGATGAATTCGGCCGACTACCTAAATGGATTAAAATCTTCATCACCAGTCGTCCAGAACTTCCTGTTCAAACAGAGTTGAAAGACATGAATCCTGTAGAAATAGAAACTCAACCTCATGATAGAAAGAACGAATACGATCTGTGCAAGTATTTAGAACATGAGTTGAAGAGTAATTTATTCATTGCTGAGAGATGGCACGAAGACAGTGATGACTCATTTGACAGGGATGACAGTGATTACAGTGATAATGATTACACGGCTTTTCATTTATTAGTTAAAAAATGCGAGGGTTCGTTTCTGTACGCTTACCACGCACAAGAGAGTTTAAAAAAAGAAAAAACTAAGCTAACTGTTGAGAATATTAAACAATTGGTTCCTACTGGCTTGAGTAAGTTCTACGCAGAACAATTCAAGAGATTAAATAAATCATTGAAAGAAATAATTTTATCAACACACAAAACCGTTATTTCCGACAAAAACTTTACGGAATGTCTTGAAGTGTTGGTGACTTATCAAAGTATTTTGCCTTTGTCTTTTCTTTTTCAATGTTTAGGTTTTTCTGATGATATGAAGTTTAAAGATCGTATTAAAATACATGAAGTGCTATCGCAATTTTTTCCAATTTACGATGATTATTTGACCGTGTATCACAAGTCTCTCATTGATTGGTTGAAATCAGATGGTTATGAAGAGCACGAGTTCACAGTTGATCCTAAAAATGGTCATAAGTTCTTATGGCATGCTTGTGAGAAAGTATTTGAACAAATTAAGAAGATGAACATTTTTAAAGATCAGATGAACACTGCTATGATTAAGTATGCTTTGGAGAATGGAATCTATCATATGTTACAATGTGGCGAAAATGTTGACTTTAGCTGGATAATAGATGTCAAAGTGTTTTGTGTGAAGTTAATGGTTGTGAAAGACAAGTACATGGATACCATTTGGTCTGAATTGCATGAAATCATTACGACACTACCAAATTTCTTGAGAAAAGATGTACTTAAGGAACAACTATTTCATTTGCTTATGACAGTAAGATATGCGTCAAAATTAGATATTAGCTTATTTTATTTACAAATTATTGCAAACGCAATTGATAGCAAAAACGAAAGAAGATTATTGGCAAGGGATTTATTAAAACAAGGAAAGTTTTCTTGGTTTGAGGATTTAGAATTAACATATTTAACAAACCGTTATCATTTGACTGTCTCCTTGCGTGCTAACGTTACATCTCTTTGTGTGTCGTCCAATGAAGAACTTCTTGCTGTAGGATATGAAAATGGTCAAATATCTATTTTTGAGCTTCCAGAATTCAAACAACGATGCACTCTCGGCACTGCACTCGATGATTTATTTGTACCTAGAAACATCTGTTGTTGCTCCTTTTCACCTACCGGAAATAGACTGGTAACTAGTGATAGATCTACTGAAGTAAAGTTGTGGGATGTCAACAATGGACGTTTGTTGTTATGTTTACAGTCAGATGGTGTCGTTAATCGTTGCTCTTTCTCAAATTCTGGTTTGTTTATTGCAGCAAAATATTATGAATTTTTTCCTAAAGATGTGTCCACTGCATGGAATTCATTAACTTTGCAAAGAATTGATCGACGCTGCGTTGTTGATCACCAAAAACTACAATGCACTGATAAATGTTCAGAGTTCCTTGGTGCAGAATTCGTCGAGACTTTGTATGTTTTTGAATTCCCAAAGGCAATCGATATTATTTACCAACCCTTACCTTCAATGATAACACACCATTATCGTGATTGTATTCTTTCTTATACAAGCCATTATCTAACGTTTTTTGAAATCACTCAGTTGCGACGATCATTGGGAAATCATGGAGAAATCGAGTTTTGTTTACCATTCGTTGGGTGTTCATGTATTTATAGGTATCGTAACAAAGTCCATCCCATCTCGTTTAAGGAATTTTACGTTGTGCCGTATTTTTCCAAGCTGAATATTTTCAAAACTGATCATCTTTTGAAATCTTCATTTATTTCTGAGGAATTGGAAATTAAATGTTGTTGTTTTTCACCGGATGGATCTTTTTTTGCTGCTTTCGCTGTTGGTGACCACGTCAACATTTATATTTGGAGCATTGAACGTTGCACTATTATTCAAACTGTACCAATGAAACTGAAGAATGCATTAGGATGTTGGTGGTCGGATGGTTTACTGTGGATATGGGATGGTTCTGATCATCTTATGAAGATATCAGCTTCGTCTGAAAATTTTGTAGATTCTACTCAAGCAAAGCATGTTAACATTGGATTTAAACCTAACAAAATCTTGACATTTGGTGATGTCTTAGTTTGTATTGACGAACAAGATTTTGTTCAAGTTGTTAGAATTGCCAAGGGTGAGATACAATACAACGAAAGATTTCCTCTCAATGGTTTTCAAATTAAAGCAGCAGCTGTATCCCCTGATAATTCTATTATTTTAACTGTAAACAAAACAGAATACACATTATGGAAATGGGGAAATAACAACAATGTACTTTACTTGAAGCCTTGGCACACTGCAGAAATACCCATAACAGCTGTCATTGAAAAATTTGTTCCACAACAGGTAACTGTAAATGATCTAGAGTTCAACTGCTGTATAAGTGATAGTAAACAAGCAGTTATAACATTTTCCGCACGCTTCGAATGTATGGGCATTTATTTAATTAATTTTCATGTGAATGGTGATGTGAATGCAATTTTGCATGATGTCAGTGTCCATTTATTGGACTCCAACCCAATCGTACACAAATCTTATTGCATTGGAGTGCTTGAAGATAGGTCATTGGTTGCTGTAGATTTAAGGAGTTGTGAAGAGTGCGCTAAATCTGTCCAAATAGATTATTTAATGTCTAATATAACTATGCATTCCAATACAGGAACTTTAGCTATTGTTGACAGCTCAAATTGCAGAATTCAATTTTTAAAACTTAATGTTCCTGAATAAATACATGAACTCAAACTTTAATAGTTTATGCAAAAACCTGTTGAGAAAATGCACATAGATGTTGATGGTCGTAAGGATGATTGCTTGTTTCCACCTACTATAGTTTTCTACAGAAGAAGTATACTTATTCTACCTGGCAATCTTTAAGAAATTATCTATATTTACCAAAAATAAATTTGGACCAATTTTGCAAAAGATCTTTTAAATTTATCGGCACTATTTCTTGGAATGTCTTACCTCCTGCTATTAAAGAATGTAAAATATTATCTATGTTTTGCAATAATCTGAAACGATGTATAATTGCTTTTTATAACACAAATGACTTGTATTTAAAAAGAGCGCTTCTATAGTAATTGATCATGAATATTTGTTTATCCTTTCTAAGATTTTACTTGTAATCTTCCTAAATGAATTGTCATTTAAACAGGGCATCCTCTAGATTAGACTACTACTGTAAGATGCTCTGTCAAACTTATTATTATGTATTGTACCTCTGAACAAATTTCATGTTGATGAATTACTTTTTAATAAAAATTTATGGTTAGATAATTTGGTTATTTTTATTTAACAAAAAGATAACATTTAACCGTTGTCTATACAGTTATAGATACACTGGTATGACGTCATTGTGATAAAAATTGAGTGGCCACGAGCCGCCGTGGTAAATCAATGTTTGAAAACCGGGTTTTTCTTTTCTTTTTGCTCAAATGCGTCCAATGCTTCAACTAGGCATTCTTAATTTCTTTATTTGCCCACTCAGGGATATATTCTGGTAAGTATTCAAATAAATTCTCCGTTCGTTTGTCATTTAAAAACCAGAAATTTTCTGTGACCTCAATTCCGTATATCTGTCCTCTTATAGATCATAGCTCTCGACCAATGAAATTGCTCAATTTCTTCCGGTTATTTTATAATATTATAAATTAGACGTTCACTACAAAGAAATGAATAAATGTTAACAACTCATTCATTGTGAGTCATTTGATAATATGGTGGTGTTGTAGATGAAGATTATTTTGATGACATTATACAGTGACTTTCTTTAGACATGCTTTCAAGAACTGTAAATACAATTTAATATCGTGGAAATAGGTTTTGTATGCTGTTAAAAATTCACATGTATAAAAACACCATTTGGGTTTTATGGTCATTAGTTGAAAAATGTGAGAGATCATTTTTGTACGTTTATTATGTACAAATGACCTTAAAGACAGAAAATGTTATATGCTGTCAACAATTCCCGTATGTAAGAACATCATGCCGTCATGTCAATAACTGAGATGAAAATAAATAAAACTTACGATGTCGACATAAGTTCTTTTGAATTGAGGAATTAAATTATGTTGAATAATATTTTCTTGATCAAAATATTGAAGAATATTAATTCTCACTTTCTGTCTTCAACGGTTGAAATAAAATTTATCATCATGATATTGGGGTTGATACAACGTTAAATGAACAGTTTCAATTTGTGACAATTGTAAACATAACAAGAAACATTTTACCTATTATAAATATTAAAGCTCAGCAAAATACTTTTAAAAGAGCCATTCAAAAATGACGTATAAAAAGGAATATTTATTTAGTAGCGTAACGTTTTGTCTTAACTCTCAAGATATCATTAAACAATATTAAATTACAAGTATAGAGGGTTATATATATAATAGCTATTTACATAATATTAAATTACATGGTGGGATGAAAACGTGTTAGTAAATGTTGGATAAGATGGTATGACGTGGGATGAGTAGAAATCACAAAAGAAACAAAAACACACACAATCATAAAGTATACAGACATGGAGTTTCCTTGTGAATTCATTTATCCTTGGGCTTTAATATTTATAATAAGAATTCGCTTTCCGCCCGGTATATCCCTGTTCACTATTCTGAAGAAACATATTACTAATGATCTTAAAGATCCTTGTGTTTTAAACCCTCCACAGATTTTCAAAGTTTTTACGTTTTTCTTACTGTGCAAAAGTTCGGCTTAGGCTGTGTTTGCACTATACACAGGATTTGCTCATCACGACATCTTCATTTGTTTTAAAGTTGTAACGGTTTGGGGTAGATGCTTATTAAGTTAGTAGATTTAGTCAATTTAATTTTGTTTTTGACATTGAACGATATCAATGATTTTAATACATAGAAAATTTAACCTGTAACAATAGCATTTCGGTATAGTGTAAACGGAGCCTTATTATAAATGTAGAACTTTACACGTGCAAAGACAAAAGAAAATAATGTAAAATTCCTCATTATCATTTGTTTTAAATGCTTTCAGCACATGCAAGGTTCGATGTTTCAAACGGACGTAAAAGTTTTAATACAATGTATTTCTTTTGTTCAATAATTTTGTTTAATTATTGTATCTTCGAAAGGTGAAGAGCCAATCGAAATGAAAATTGGTTATCATTATTTAAAGCATGGCCAAAGCCATTCGGCCAATCAGCATCCTGTAGTTTGATGTTCTATATCTCATAGTTCCTACAAATCATGAATTGGTATGAGCTTCTTTAAGGCTCTAAGAAAATGCACAAATGGAGGGAAAACAATGGAATACAATAGCTCATTAGTATTCTCTAAATCTCATTAGTATTCCCTATATAGAGAATACTAATTCGGATATTGTTTTCTGTTTTTTATTTCTTTATATGTATTCTCTAAATAGAAAATACTAATGACTGTAGTAACCCTACAGTGCACATCTAACAAACAAATAAAATCTAAGACGTTTATAACATATTATTGTGAAGTAAACAGATTCATATTGCTCACAAATTTAAAAAGAAAATAACTCTTACAAACAAATCAGAAAAATTTAATATTGCACTCAAAATTAATAACGAACACATGTACTCTATCACTTAAAATGAAACGACATACGTGTTTCCCCCATGTCCAAAACGAAAAAAGTCTTTGTTTCTTGTGTATTTGCATGCACTGCTACCACATTTTTGTTTCTTCTCGTCTACCTTCGCTTTCTTTGGACTTGAAACGTTGACTGCAGAAGGTGGTTGAAGTGCATTTGCAATCTGACATTCTAACAAGTCCAACTCACTAAGTTCACTCGTGTCTTTAAGTGCACAGATTAAAATATACGACGTTAAAACTACTGCGTAAGAATTTTAGGTAAACTTGACCAACAATATAGTCGCATTGGTTCAATCCATTGGATTAATGTCAACGACCAGAAGATTGAGCAATTTTGGATTGACGTCATTAATCATGTTGATGCTTCTGGGGATCACGATTTTCAAGAGTTGAGAAGCCTTGCACTTTCTATTTTGGCTCTTCCTTTTAGCAACGCAGCAGTTGAAAGAGCATTTTCTTTGATGGCTTTGCTAAAATCCAAACTAAGAAATCGAATGGGACAGTCGCTACTAGAGAATCTCTTGCACGTGAAACCATTTATGGCAACGCAAAAAATTTGCTGCAACAATTTCACTCCTTGGCCTCAAATGATATCTAGGTTTACTTCAGAAATGTATGAAAGTACAGAAGACGTGAACGATGCTATATACGATATCAATGTGTAGTTTGGTTTAAATTAAATATTTTCAACAGACTTGGGCTAGTTTTACTTGTTTTGATGCAAATTTGGGCTATTTCTTGCAAAATATAATTGGGTTTATTTATGGGCTACTTTTAAAGGTAGCTCGGGCGGGTTTGCAGGCTACCCATCTAGCAACACTGCCTCCAGGTCTTATAGAACTCAATGGTTGAATATACTCAGCAAGAAAATGGATGAGATACATGTCTCAAGAGAGGTCTCAAGTCAGAATTTGGCATCTACAGCAAAGAAAAAGACGCGGTTTTACAAAGTGCCATCAGGTCAGCCACGTACAACGTTGTGCTTCAAGTTTCTTTGCGGATCACAACGTTTCTGTTAAATGGCTTCATACTTAGGTTCATATCTCGTGAAATTCTGGGTCTTGTCAATGTTAGACTAGCCCTATTATACACAACCATACTATTCATGTCAAGAGAGGCTTTTAGAAAAACATTTTTGAGCCAATCTGCAAAAAGTGACCAGACAAAATGGAATGAAGTGGTCACTCTAGTTTGGCTGACCATTCCATTGGGATGTGTAGCTTTTTGTGCTTTTGGATTCATATGGTTGAATTGGTTGGACTTGCCTGTTGGGAAGTTTGCTGATCACTATTCATTTTCTGTTGTAATCTTTGGAGTTTGTGCTATCCTTGAACTTTCTGCAGAACCTCTTTGGATTGTTTTTCAATGTCACCTGTTTGTCCGCCTTAAAGTGTTAATTGAAGGAATTTCCATCTTGCTACGTTGTTTAACAGCAGTTTTGCTTGTCTATTTTATCCCATCTTTGGGTCTTTTAACATTTTGCATTGCTCAATTTATGCAATCATTAGCTTATTTTCTTTTTTACTATACATATTTCTTTTTCTTAATATCAAAAAAGAGATGTTTGAGTGAAAGGAATTTCATTTCCAGTCATTCAGTTCTATCTTGCCTTCATTAACACAAAGCGAAGCAATGAATTGCTTTCATTGACATGGAGCTTTTTTAAACAATCATTGCTGAAGCAATTGTTAACTGAAGGTGAAAGGTACATTATGACATTATTTAATGCACTAAACTTGGCACAACAAGGTCTTTATGATGTCATAAATAATTTGGGTTCACTGGCTGCAAGATTCATTTTTCTTCCAGTAGAGGAAAGTTACTATTTATTTTTTACCCAGACTTTGGTCAGAGATAAACCAGCTGAAAAGCAGTCACAACATTCTTTGCATCTTGCTGCATTGACTTTGGAATGTGTGTTGAAATTTGTTTTATTGGTTGGCCTTACAATAGTTGTTTTTGGCTTTTCATACTCGTTTCTTGCCTTGGATATCTATGGTGGACCAGTTTTGAGCTCAGGAGAAGGTACTAAGTACAAAACTAAAAGAAAGTTTCCCCCTAGCTACATAAATTTTCATAAATAAAGAAAGTTTCCCCCTGGCTACATAAATTATCATAAATAAAGAAAGTTTCCCCCTAGCTACATGAATTATCATAGATACTAAATGAATGAATCCCAGCAAGCCTCTAAAATCGCAATTGCCAAACCTCATTCTTTACATGGGCAATTAAGAAATTACTTCATGTCCTGTATTGTAAGGGCTTTGCTAAATAACCTGGAATTCATTTACTTAGAATTTGTAGCAATAATTTTCAGGGAGGAAATTTTGTTTTGTTAAATTTCAATAATAGTGTCAGTGGCATTTTTCAGTTTCTTATAGTTTTGAAATCCAGAACTAATTATCATTAGGAATTTTCAATAAACATTGCTTGTAATAAGTGCTTGATGAGAAGTAGAAAATATGGTGGTAGTTCTCATATTTTCTTGTTTTTCGACACATTTTCCTGTTGAAAGACAAAAGCCAAGGTGCCATAAGCAAAGGTGGTATTAGGCACTGACAGATTTTGATTATGCCTTGTTTCAATTGCTATTTAATAGAGATTTTGAAATAAATTGAATCAGGACTGGCATATGATCATATTGTAACTTAAATTAACTTAACATTAACTAAACTTAGGGAAGTTTTTTCTGATGAATCAACCTCAAAACAAAATATTATTAATCAAAGATAAAACACGCAAGACATAGCAATGAGTTAAAGTTGAAGACGTACATTAGCGCTTGAACAGTGTAAGTAAAACAAATTAAAAAGCAAAACTTAAAAGACACAAACAGTTAGGTTTATAAGACAACTGCATTTGCCATTGTTAAAACATACTGTTGCTGTTCCTTTTTCCAGTGATTTGTGCAATTTCAATTATATCCTTTATAGTAAGACGGTTATCAAGAAAACTAAAGTTTTGGTGTGTTTGGTTTTTAAACTTGAATTCTTACGCATGACTTTTATGTTTCACTGTTCAGTTACCAATAGTAGATTAATAGTAGATTGATTCATACTTTACTAAAAGTATGATGACACTTAAGTGCTGAAAAAAGTATTATGTAACAGGGACCGCGGATGAATGATAATTGGGGGAGGGGGGAGGGGCAAATTCATACATTCATATGTTTTAATCTGTTTTAATCCATAGTCACAATCAGTAGGAATCAACAGATTAAAACATGCATGTATGAATGTAGGCTCCCTCAAATATCAAATTCCACGGTCCCTGTGTAAGCTTGCGTGAACTTGTATTGTGATAGTTTGTATTTATTTCTCAACATTTTCACGACAGCACCATCCAACCTCCTCTAATATTTAAACCCTCATTTTGTCTCACGTTCCCTTTTCACCAGCTCAGTTTTTTTGCACCACCCGTGTGAAAATATGAAAATCTGTTCATGGTATTATTGAGGAGTAAGAATTAGTGATGTATTATGAACTACTTCATGTAAAATAACAATCTTAATTCCTTTGTTAGGTCCCATGCAACTAAAATGGCATTGCTTGTACATCCTTGTCATTGCGATAAATGGTATAACTGAATGCTTCATGTTTGCAACCATGCCTCAAACAGCTGTTGATGAATATAACCAAAAGATGTTGATTTTTTCAATCATGTTTCTCTTGTCCTCTTTCGTTTTTACGTATTTTGGAGCGGTTGGTTTTATTCTCGCCAACTGTTTGAACATGTCCTTACGTATTTTTCACAGGTCAGTGACTACTTTAAAAATTGTTGCTATTATTACGTGCTCAACAACTGAATGTGTTGCTAAGTCTATTTGCTTTAATAACTCAAGTATGTGTTGTTCAATGTAGTGTATTTGTTGGACAAAAAATGCTAAAACCACCTTAAGTAGAATCTACTTTCCACTTACACCTCGCACTGCAGTAACAGATTTCATCATTACATGTATCTTTTCCTGCTCTCTTTGTGTAAGCTAAAGTCTTAAGAATCGTACTTACATAATTTCAGAATAAAAAGCAGTTACAACTTTCCAACAGTGTTATGTATGTATTCGTATGTTAGTTATATTGTGGTTATAACCAGTTATATACCATTCGTATGTTAGTTATATAACGTAGTATGTTAGTTATATGTGTATGTATGTATTCTCATACTGATTATGTATATTATACTTCTATAGCATCATCTACATAAACAAATACTTTCTCGGAACAAACCATACACCATTAAAAGCTCTTCAGTTATCTAAACCAGTCGTGCTATCTTACGCTTTTTCATTCATCGTAACTTACATCTCTGAGTCATTTTTCTGTTGTTCTTATGGCTGGTTTTGGCGTTTTTGTCATGTCGCTGTTGGTGGAATTTGCTTGCTGATTGTTGCCTTTACTGTTTATCGCTCGGAGGAAAAACTCGTACAGTTTGTAAAAGAAAGATTTTTTACCAAAACAGCCAAATCCGAATGAAATATTGTTAGTTTGTTGGATAGTGCTGCAAGTTTATGCATTAGAAACAATCGCTATTTTTTCATTCGATACAAAAACCCTCAATCTCTTAGACTAGATAAATAATATAGTCGTTGTTTTGATTTTAAAATTTTCAGTGCCAATAGAAATCTTGAGCATGTTTCCCTAATAGCGACACGATAAGACAAATTTTGAATGCGAAAAATCCGTTTTCGGTCTATTCCTCCCGATACCCTGGATCAGGAAGGGCTTACAGCGTCGCATGTTGACGTTTTGGTGAGATATTTGGACTCCTGCTACGCTATCCTACTTGGTGATGCCAATAGCAAGCTTCAGCCCATCAGACGATCGTGGTAAACAGGGAAAGAAAGTGCCCTCGCGACCTACGTCTGGGCTCCTAAGCCAGTGCAACTTAATGATCCTCTGGAATTGGACATCTACTAGCAAGTATTTAGCATGTTGTATACAGTTAAATATACACGCTTGCCCAGATGATTAATTTGCGACTAAGCGAGCTAATTACGGCTAATTACCACAAAAATAGTGCAAACTCATTCAGTGCTTGTAGATCCAGTACGTCATTGATATGAATTGACGCGACTGGACGCCATTATGATAAACTGAAACAATTATTTAAGTCGACTGAGCATGCACAGATGATGTCTTCGATAGTATGTGATGAAGATCAAATTAGCCAATTTAATTACTGCAAAAGCTGTACGTACAACTGTACATGTGTAAAAGCAAAGTAAGCAACTCATAACCATTGACATTACACTGTGGACAACAAGAAAATTGCTTACTAAAACTGCGGTTATGTAGACTGTATAGCTTGTGAGAGGTTTAACTAAAAATGTTTTCATTGCTCATGAAGTCAATAGATGTTCACTTCATAATACATCATTTAAAATTAAATGGGAGTTACTGGAGGAATGAAATTAATGTATGAAACATATCTTTATATCAAAGCCATCATCAGAGAATCATATTCTTATATGTGTAACTTTTTTGGGCATTGCAGTTTTAATAGCACTGTTACATATGCAAAATGTATATTCGATGTTTTCATAAAGACATGTGTTATGTGTTGTATGGAAATGATGCTTGTTACACTACTGAGTAGAACACTAATTCGTCGGTGGAATTAGCCTAGTGACTCAGGCATTTTGGCATAGAAATAGTCAAAAGGTCAGTTTCTAAAGCCAAAAGGCCTCCTTTATAAGTTATTTCAACTTCCCAGGCGCTGAAAAGGTTTTTGTGCTTGTAACAAAGTTATGTAATAAACATGTCTGTAACAACCTGACAATATTCTTTAGGCGATAAGCGTATAAGCGTATACGCGACGTAAAAATTAATAACATGACAATACGTCATTTATTTTGTGCAATCTGTATTCAAAAATACTTTACCTGATCAGGTCCCAGGAAGATAAACTGATAAATAGAAAAAATACGTTGGGTTTCATTACTGACTAGCAACTTTAATCTTTTATGATTCGTACAAGATTAGTCTGACGCAAAGTTATTTGACCGTCCGAAAATTCAACTACCTAGCAAACCTATTTAAACTTATTTGTTTCATTTATAAAATATTTATAAGTCAAACATATTTGTTTCCAAAAATATGTAGTGATTTCAGAAACTTGTTTGTAAACTGTCATACCAACTAATGGTGTGGTACTGCTTGGCACTAGTTTCTGAGAAGATAGAAATATGAATGTGTTATTTCCCGTATTATCTTGTAAAGTAAAATATATGATTTTCAATTTTATACAGATATGCAGAACAGAAAGGCTAAGGTCGTTCATTACGACACTGCCAGCATTTCTGTTATTTTTATTATGCCACGTGTCTTGTGCATTTAAGTATTACAATCCAAGTGTCCAAACTTCGTTTCAACTTGTTGAGTTCAAGAGTTCAAGTTAAACACAAGCCAGTACCAGGACCACAGGACACTAAATACTATTCCTAACATCAATGGATTATAATATCGTCGGTAATAAGCAGTATCAGTCAAGAATTCAGTTTTAAGTTCAAAATCTTAGCTAGATTGTTCGGTTCGCAAGTATGTCTGCTAAAGCGATTTACGAAGAAGATGCGAAGGTTTTACTAACAAAATATTTGAAAAATAGTGATTTTGTAAAATGTCAAAATGCTTGCATCAGCAGTAGTAAAGATTGGCACGATGTGATCGCAACGAACGAATGGCTCAACACAAAGGTTTGTTGTAATAAATTTTGTCTCCGACTTGGATATGCTGATCGACATTTTTTGATGATCAAATGAGGTTTACGATGTTGTAGCAGTAGATTAGATTGTCTCATCATGTTGTACTTCTGCTTGACTGGTTGTACCAGGCTTGTCAAAACATATGTTGATACGAAAAAGCAGTAAGTGTACGGTTTGATTTGTTATAAATCCATGAAGTGGACATCCATCTCTTTGTATTTTCAAATGCGACATCCACTCAGTTGTGATATGTTGAATTTTCTAAATTTTGACATATGTGAGTAGTTATTGAACTTGTAGACGAAGATATTGCTCACTTCATAACAGGTAACACAAAAAAGTATGCTAAATATTTCTAAGTTTGCATCAAGACACCATAAAAAATTAAATATATTCCCTTTTGTCATGTGATCGAATTTATGCAGAAAGACAAGATCATGCAATTGTTTTATCTGGACAATGTAATAGAGGATGAAAATGCATGGATTTACATGTATCAATATTGATATGTGCCTCACCTTCTAGATCTATATGAAATTGTACATTTAACCTCAAGTTCATCCAAAGCTATCTCATTAGGATTTCAAATTGAAATTATATTACTTAAAAAATCTATCTTGTGGCTATTTAGAAACTAGTTGTGAAGCCTGATCAATTGATAAAAAGACGAGCAAAGCTTGGTTTGATTAAAGTAAAAGCTGATATTAAAGAAGTGCAAGAGTGGGTTGAATCTCGTTTAAATAAAGAAATCCAGGTAGATAGCCATAACCTAAAGTTCTTAATACACTACAAGTAGGTGATTATATTTTTGTCAGAAGTATTCTAAAACTTAAAATTTAAACTATTTTTATGTTATATATATTTATGTAAGTATTATGATTAAGACAATATGTTTTTGTTTATAATCAAATAGGTATGTTCATTTTTCATTTATTTAATGAAACAGAACTTACATCATATATGTTACATATTTATTGTCTGTTTTTCAGTTTATCAAAAGTTTGTAATTTTAGATTGGGCAGACAAAAGGACTATTGAAGCGGTTTCTCATTGAACCTTTTGTGGAACATAAACAAGTAATGTCCTGTAGTTTTAAGCTAGTTGAAAATTACTCCATAGGCATTACTTTGCACAAACAGAAAAAGCATTTTACTTCCCATGGTTCATATTCAGTTGTAAATTATTAAATTTTTTGAACAATTCACATGAATGCTTTTTTACAACAATAATCAGAATTTGTTAAGTAATTCATTGGTGTGTTTTTTTTTCATTATTAATTATTAGGAAGAGGAGTTTTATGTTTGTATTTATGCACAACGTGAATCTGACATTATCTTGTTTCATCATGAGGGAGGAGTAGATATTGGTGATGTTGATAGCAAGGTAATCAATAATGATGTTAAATGAACTTTTTTGGTTAAACAATTTTCTTATTAAAGGAGATTTTTGATGATTTTCCACAGGCAAGGCAATTGCATGTTGAGGTTGGACAGTCAGTTGATGTTAATAAGATTGAATCTGAGCTGTTGGTGAATGTTTCAGGGGAAACAAAAAGGTTTTTAATGCTAAATTTTTGCATGACAACATAACATGTAAGTTAATTAAAAAAAATCCATCTTAGATGTTCAAATTAATATGTAATAATAAAAAGTAACAATGACAATTTAGTTGCCAACCATTTAAGAGAAAATTATGGATGTTTTAAAGATCATTTAACAATGTGATACCCTTGTGTTAACATTTGAAGATGTTCGTCTCCAGTTTCTTAGCCATAATGTTTCTTAAAAATCTCTTTATAGATTGTTGGCCAACTTCATTTTCTCTCTTTTTGAAACTTTTACAGAACTTTACTTTACTTATTTGGAAATAAATCCATTAGGTGAATCAACTATCAAAATATTATTTATATATTTGAATGACATTACATGTATATTTAGTCTTCATATAGCAAAGCCAACACTTGCACCACTTTTTTGCATCTAATATAATTCTACATACTTTTGCTCTTAAAAATGACATGAAAGTTTTCTATTATGTTGTTTATTAAGTGATTGTGGGAAAGACAATACACGTTTTGGATGTAGCTGCAAAATTAGACCAAACAGCCGATTTCATTTGCAAACCAAAATGGGGTGAAATTACTTTTCCTCCACCATTTGGTCGTGAGGCCTTTCCTGAGGTATTGACTATTTTTTAGCATTTTTTTTGCAATGTGCAGAGTTTATGAGAAGAATTAAGTTCAACAATATTCTTTTTAGGAAGCTTTTATCGCTAACTTAGATGCTAAAAGTGGTGCATCTCTTAAACTGACGGTTTTAAACAAGGCTGGAAGAATATGGACAATGGTTGCTGGGGGTGGTGCATCTGTCATATACAGGTTTGTTACACATGGTAGATCTATCTTCTGTTGTTTATTACACATGGTAGATCTATCTTCTGTTGTTTATTACACATGGTAGATCTATCTTCTGTTGTATACGTAATTATGACTATTTTATGCAAAAAACACAAAGCACTTTGCCCATAAATCCATAAAGTTTGTTGACTGATTTGTCCATTGATATCAACAGTATTTTGTTTGTTCAATCAGTGATACAATTTGTGGACTTGGTGGTGCATCTGAACTAGCAAACTATGGTGAATACTCTGGTGCCCCAACTGAAAGTCAAACTTATCAATATGCTATAACAATTTTGAAGCTACTCTCTGATGGGGAACCAAGACCTGATGGTATTTTGAATCCAAATATTTGTTAAAAATAGTTTATTTCTTATACACTCGATAAAGATAACTTAAATAAATGTCCGCTTACGCGCAACTATTGTACAATAAAAGGCATCCTTAGTTATATTACTGTACATGTAATGATGATTTTACCTGTGAAATTTTAACTAGAACTATTTCTACGATATGGAGAAGAGGTTTCTTTGGTTGTTTAATATTTTTTTCTCATATTTTCATTTTAGGTAAGATTCTCATTATCGGTGGTGGAATTGCTAATTTTACAAACGTATCAGCAACTTTCAAGGTAAATAAGCATTGTTGTGGCATTTTTTTTATCTGTAATAGGCACGTTTTGTACGGATTTCCTCCAGTCTTAACATGGCTAAAACACAACGTTACCTTTTGATTTTACGAATTATCATACATTTTTCTCAAGTTATAAATGTATGTGTTAGGTGTCAGTATAATGCCATGATGTACATATGTTAGTGGCAGTAGATTTTCCAGGCGGAAATCAATTGTTTTACTTTTTATTAGCCACAGTGGCTCATTTACTGTAACTCTTACATATATGCCTAATACTGTACAATATTATTCCTAGGGAATCGTTAGGGCACTTCAGGAATATCAAAAAGAACTTATAAGACATAAAGTGACTATTTTTGTCCGACGTGGAGGGCCGAACTATCAAGAAGGTCTACGAGTTATGCGAGAAGTTGGTAGGGATTGTTAAAGTTTCTTCAGAGTTTTACCCATTAAAATTCAAGAAGGTCTACGAGTTATGCGAGAAGTTAGTAGGGATTGTTAAAGTTTCTTCAGAGTTTTACCCATTAAAATAGTCTCGATCGTTAGTTTTAATTGTAAATTGCATGCACGTTATACAGTTAGCTTCACGAACAAATGAAACAATGGAACTGCAGAGACTATTATTGTCGTTCTTTACTTAGGTGCCACCCTTGGTGTTCCTGTACATGTATTTGGAACGGAAACTCACATGACAGCAGTTGTTGGTATGGCATTAGGTAAACGTGAGATACCTAAACAACTCGTTCTTGACTCTAACACCGCTGCTGACATGTTCTTTAAATCTGCTGATCAGGTGCTTTGATTGATTCCTAGAATATTCTTTTGTTTGCAAACATGAATTTTCAAGATAAACATATTTTATAATTGATGACAAGCATCACACTGCTATTTCTCCATTATTTAAAATGTTTGGTTAGTCGCTCAAAGTTAAACCTAAGCTACGTGCACTATATATAACGATTCTGTTGATGGACTCATACATTAGTTTGTTTTTGAAAAAATAGTTTTTTTTATATACGTTGGGTTTTAGGGACCATCTCTTTCTCAAGCTAAACGTATTATCTCTGCATCCGAGTTGAAAAACATGAAAACATCGGTTGATAGCAATGACGGTGAACCACTGTTTCATAATATGACTCGAGCTATTGTTTGGGGAATGCAATCAAGAGCAGTCCAGGTAAACAAGTGTTGAAGTACAGAATACAGCTAGGTACCCATGTTTATTTTGTGTGTCAATGTAAATCAATACATCAAGTGTAATGTTGTATCGCTCCTCTCGGAAAAATACTTTGAATCGTGAAATCAGAAACATTACTTCCTCTTAGGGAATGCTTGACTTTGATTATGTTTGTGAACGGCGTTTACCATCTGTTGCAGCCATTGTGTATCCATTCAGGTGAACTTAGATATTCATATTGATAATTTATCTTATCTTTAGACTGACAAAAGTGTGATATTCGCCACATTTTTGCTATTATTTTATTACAGCGGTAATCACAGAAGTAAATTTTACTATGGTCATAAAGAAATCATGGTACCTGGTAAGACTTTGAAGTTTTAGTGAAAGAAACTGTGTTCAAACATTTTGTTGCGTGAATTTGTCGAGTACATGAGATCTGTACACGTTACCTTATGATAGTGCATTGATGACGTGTAATCACGTGATTTCTTCACGTATAATTGAACAACATAATCTTTCTATGTCAACAATTTAATCTTTCTCTCACTCTACCGGTTTCTACATGAATACCGGTATATCATGAACGCGTGTAAAACGCTGCTGCAAAAACCTAGCTATGTTAATTAATCTATAAATATATCAATAAATTTACGTAGTTTATAAAGATATGAAGGAGGCAGTGCAGAAACATCCTGAAGTTGACGTTATGGTAAATTTTGCTTCCTTAAGATCTGCTTATGGTGCGACAGTCGAGGCAATGAACTATGAACAGGTTAGTAGATATGCTCTACTTATTGATTTTTGCCGAGAATACGTATTCCCATTCCTTAATTAAGTAAATGACGACAATGGGTGTTGCTTGTTGTTTTAAAACAAATTTTAAAATGTCTCTCATTTTATGCAAGAACTCAAGTAGTTAATTATTTGTTTTTTTCTGTTGGTAGATAAGATGTATTGCTATAATTGCCGAAGGAATTCCCGAGGCAATGACAAGAATAATAAACCTAAAAGCCAAGGAAAAAGGTGTTACCATAATTGGACCCGCAACGGTAAGTAAAGAAAATCCTAATTCTTACTTTTTGCATCAGAAATTGTCTTTTGCTTTAGATTTTTGTGAAAATATGCCCTGTACTACTATATGGATACATATATTGGTTAAGGTTGGAGGTATTAAGCCGGGATGCTTTAAAATTGGGAATACTGGTGGCATGTTGGATAACATCCTTGCCTCAAGATTATATAGACCAGGAAGGTGCGTGTTTTATACTTAACGGTGTAGCTACATTTTAAAATTATTGCAGCATGTATAAAGTATTCACATCAATAAAACTCGTGCACGCCTATGTTTGTTCTTAATTTTTAGCAATAAATCACGTTAAAATTAAAGCGGTTTTGAGCAGAAGTCAACAATTTTTTTATTAAAGTAATTTTTTTATTGCATCATGCGTGCCTCGATTCTATTTAAAAACCGTAACCAGAGAATCTGAAGCTACATGTTTTCCATATGTGTACTGTATATTTATTATATAATTGAAATATAAGGGATGAACCAGGTTTTAAAACATTGAATCAGTTAAAAGCAAACTAATTTAAAGATTATTTGCCATGAAGCCAATGGATGCTCTTCTCGTAAACTTTTGAACGAAAACCTAACCTACACACATTTTGAAAATTCATGATTTATTGAAATTCTCTAGAATTTTTTACTGAAGCTGTCTTTTACAATTATAATTTTGTTTTGTTCTATGTCACAGTGTCGCTTATGTTTCTCGTTCTGGTGGTATGTCAAATGAACTCAACAACATCATTTCACGATCTACCGATGGTGTTTTTGAAGGAGTTGCTATTGGTGGTGACAGGTATAAAGATATTTCACATTTACTTGAGTTTTCGGATTCCTTTCCATTCCCTAATATACTGCACTGTGTCATGAGATGATTTTTGTACAAAGATGAAACATCAGCTGAAGGAAAGATACGTTAAAACATGAAGCAGAATCTTAAGTATAAAAGTAAAATTCGAATGATTTGTATGGTTCGCTTGCATGCAGCTTTGGTGATGATGAATTATATTTTTTAGTTCTGTTATGTGTTAAATACCGTTTTTGGTGTGCTCTATATTCTTTAGCCCTGATATCAAATGTTTCATGTTGTTTTTCATATAATATTTATCATTCATAGAGGATGTAGATAGACTACTGCATACTACAATGATTGTATTATAAATACATATTGAATTTTCATTTAATTTACTTGTCAAGATATCCTGGAACGACGTTTCTTGATCACTTGTTACGTTTTAATGATCATCCTGATGTTAAAATGCTTGTACTACTGGGAGAGGTAAGATTCACTTCTGGGAAAATATTAGCTGTTTACCTGTTTGTGTGTCTAAAATATATAAATGGAAATTTGCTTTCAAGGAAAAATGTTTTACTGTTACGTATGTAATTATTTGATGTCGTGTAGGTTGGTGGAACCGAAGAATATTTTATCTGTGATGCAATCACTTCAGGACGTATTACGAAGCCTTTGGTGGCGTGGTGTATAGGAACTTGTGGAACAATGTTCACTTCAGAGGTATGTGTCATATCAACCGCTTGACGTATGAATGGGATACACGTAGGTAATTTGATCTTGATTAATTTCATTACTCTTAGAAAAACGATGATAGTGTATTTTGACCTCTGTGTTGGTAAAAAGTTACAATTGAAAACATTTTCAAGATTGCGACAATTCAAAAATGCACGCGATGAACAATTTTTTGTGTGAAATAAAATGAACCTTAATTTCAGGTACAATTTGGTCATGCTGGCTCAAGTGCTCATTCTGACAAAGAAACAGCTGTAGCGAAGAATAAGGTATAAAGTGAGAACTTTTAAATATTCGTGTCATTGAAATATTTTATGCTTATTTTTGATAACCATCTTTTTTAAGGCGTTAAAAGCAGCCGGAGCTCATGTACCAGAGAGTTTTGATAGTTTGTTTGACGTGATACGGTAAAATCTGAAATCTCATCTTTGTGTTATTAGTTTCTTTTTCGAATATTTCGTAAATAAAAGACATCACGTTTCTCTACTTCCCAAATGCAATGTTTGTAAGATTTTTTACTATGAATTATGTGATTTTTTCTCCATAGAGATGTTTATAATGATCTCGTAGCTAAAGGACAGCTTATTCCTAAACCTGATAAAACTCCACCAACAGTCCCAATGGATTACAGCTGGGCACAGGTATCGTGGCTCACTGTCGTCAAATTACTGCTTACCTTAAAGGGCCTATTTGTGAAGTTAACTCAACCATCTTGTAAAAATCTTTTTTAGGAGCTCGGTCTTATTCGAAAGCCCTCGTCATTCATGTCAAGCATTTGTGACGAACGTGGAGCTGAATTACTCTATGCTGGCGTACCTATTACAAAAATATTTGAGGTGCATGTTGTTCTAAACAAAAAATCTGGAGTAGCGATGTCCTTGGTTATGGCAAATGGTCTTTACTTAGCCGTCAATATAACTGTATTTTTTCTAGGATGACCTTGGAGTCGGAGGAGTTCTTGGACTTTTGTGGTTTCAAAGGAGGTAATGCTTAGTTAGCGGAACTTACGAACTGTGGCTCGCCAAATAACAATAGACTTTCCACGTTTTTTACCAACCATTATTATTAAGTTTTTTTGTTATTGTACGTACGTTCATTAGGCTTCCAGCGTACGCCTGTAAATTCCTAGAAATGTGTTTGATGATTACCGCTGACCATGGACCTGGTAAGCTTTTCTTGTATGAAACATGAACGACAAACAGCGGAGTATCCGCTGCAGCTAATTCCATCATAATGAAATGTTTTACTGACCGAAAATCAAATCAAACGTGGAATTGATTATTTTTGTAAGCTTTAGTTTTGTTTTAAGCTGTCTCTGGAGCACATAACACAATTGTCACTGCTAGAGCTGGCAAAGATTTAATGTCTTCTCTCGCTTCAGGATTGCTCACAATTGTAAGTTAATTGTTGTCCTTAAAATGTTGATTTCTTGCATAAAATTTTCATTATGAACGCGTGTGGTGTTGTTTGTTATCGATATTTTGAATGGCTTTATCGATATTTTGAATGACTTTATAATTTTTTTATAAGAGGTCACTAAACAAACGTCATTGTGTTGATATCACAAAGAGACGTAAATCTACCATTGCATCGTTCGTATTAATGAGGAAAGTGTTCGTATAGGGAGATCGATTTGGAGGTGCATTGGACGCTGCTGCCAAACATTTTTCTGAAGGATCTGATAGTGCAATAACGCCAATGGAATTTGTAAACAATTACAAAAAGTCTGGAAAACTGATCATGGGAATTGGTCATCGAGTGAAATCGGTATTTTTAACGAGTCTGAGTGTTTTGTGTCAAGTTTTTTTTGTCGATGTTTTCAGTATCAAATCTCTAAAATGTTGCACGAAATCATTTTTGTGCATTTTTTAGTAATTTTTAGACTAGATTCTTCTATCTATATCCAGTCATACTAGACTGTGCTATAATGATCAAACCGTTTATAAAATTGTGTTGTATTTTAGATAAATAATCCTGACAAACGTGTAGTAATAATCAAGGAATTTGCATTAGCTAATTTCCCCATGAACGAAGTCTTGAATTTTGCTCTGAGCGTCGAGAAAGTCACCACATCTAAGGTATACTTATATATCTAAGTAATGAACAGTATTGTGTTAAAGATGTTTCTATTCAAATTTGCACTTTTTCAGTCTTCCAAAACAATTCCGATCTAAATGCAAACATTTTTATTGATGGTCGGCAAAATTTGCCATTGTTTAAGAACTGTTTGGACTTTTCTGAAGATATTCTTGACGTGCATTTTTTTCAGAAACCCAATCTTATTTTAAATGTCGATGGATGTATTGCTGTTTGCCTTGTTGATCTGTTGAGAAATTGTGGATCTTTCACAAGGTGTGTGCCTCTGTACATTCATAGAACATTGCATCAATTACGTATGATCCACAAAGACAGAGATCGCTGTATGATACTTTTACCTTATATGTTTGTAAATGTAGATCGTCCAGGTTGGTATAGTCCTGAGATGTACTTGTACCTTATATAACTACCACAAATATTGCGTTAAAAATGTTTGAATTTGTTTGGTCACGAGTAAATTTATATTCAGACATAACTATTTCTGTAAACTTCAACGGTTAGCAAAACACTATATCTCAGAGTAAGAGCACTGAAAGGAATTGTGATAGTTTGAAAGTTAGTCCGTGTTGGTCACTTTGGTATTGTTTATCGAACTTAGGGAAGAAGCTGACGAGTTTGTGTCAATTGGTGCTTTAAATGGTTTGTTCGTACTTGGTAGATCCATCGGATTTATTGGTAAATTTATTTGTTGATAATTATCCTTGCTGAACCAATCTTTTATACAATGTTGATACTGTTTCAGCTCTTTGAAAGACTATTTTACGTTCAAGAACTTTAATTTCATCCCAATAGATTAGGTTTATGTGAACAAGCCACATTTTACATTCTTATTCCATTTATTTTAGGACATTATTTGGACCAGAAGCGACTCAGACAAGGATTATACCGACATCCTTGGGATGATATTACTTATCTTCACCCTGATCATCTACAACATCAAGCTGGTTTTGAGTAGCATGCACAACGAAAAATTCTGGATTAAATCAGTGAAAATTTGAAACAGCTGTCGAAATAACCACTATATACTTTAGTTAGGCGTGGAGTTTAATGCGTTTATTCAATTAAAATAGATTGTTATGATCTGGGATCAATTGTGTATTTTCCATGACGCCCCTCACTGACCATTGATTATCTTCTATTTGCTTGAAGTTTGCGCAGTTTCAAATTTAAACTTTTATATATAATCAGAAATACCAAATGGAGACAACTTAGGCTGCAACTGATATGCGTTGTCTTGTTTTGTTTTGTCCGACAAAGGAAATTATTTAGCAAACTTGATTGTTTTCTTTGTTGCCATAATTTAATTTGACTGCTCAATACAATAAGACTATTGCTTTTGGTATATACATGTTATTTATGCTTAGAGTCTGTCATGATAAAAAAATATTTTCAACCAAGCTCTTTTCAAGACCTCGGAAAAATATTTTAAACTACTAACAGGTAAGTAACTCATGAGTTTCTTTTCACAAACAAAACTAGTGCGAATATTAAGCCATGCCATTTTATTTCTGTTTTTTTCCTGAAAGTCCTGTCATACTGTTCACAAACGTCTAAAACAATGAGTGGTCTATCTCAAACAATGGTTCCATTTACAATTGGATGAATATATCATTAAAATTTGTGAGATTTCTTCTGGATGTCCCAACTATTTTGTTTTTGTGGTGGTTTCGAGGGTACTCACATGTACACAGTTCGTACCTATTTTTAGATATTGACATTGAAAATTAGAAATGTCCTTTGAAACAACAGAAAGGTTTACTGGAATAAAGCATGCCATGGTATCAACTATGAATACAAACAAGAACTGTCAATTTCCTGACAAAATTGCTGGCTTGAACTAAAAATTTTCCCAATGTTTGTATAGAGCCTGTGCAACTGGATGGGATGCTTCCATTTGCCAAGACATACATCTGACAGAACCACCCATATGACTTAAATTTGATGTGTTAATAGATACAACTTTCTTTTGTGTACAAGATTTAACAATTTCTAATGCTTTACTGTCTGACTCTTTCAAATTAAACTGTGGAACATAAACAGCATTTGTTGTTACCAACATGTTAACATAACTTCCTATTGCAGTAGTAAACCCTTTCCATTTTTTGCCATCTAAAAAATGCAAAAATCAAATTATGAGCATTAATATTTAAATTCATGTTTGCAAATGATGATCGTCCAGGTTAATAAAGTCCTGAGAAGGACTGTTTTTGTTGTTGTTGACCGACGTTTCGACAACCTTAGCGGTAGTCATCTTCAGGTTGTCGAAACGTCGGTCAACAGCAACAAAAACAGTCCTTCTCAGGACTTTATTAACCTGGACGATCATCATTTGCAAACATGTAACGATGCTCCCGGGTTCAAACCATTTACTTTGATATTTAAATTCATTATTGTAAACATTGTACCTGAACTATTGTGCTTTCCACAAGGCAAACACACTGTCTTCACATTAGGAAATGTAGTTTTCACGGCAGTTTCTACTTCTTTGTAATATTTCTCATCCCCATCATTGGCAATCAATAATATATCTTCTTCAATAAATGCCACAATACCATCAGAATGTCCTGTCGTATCTTCAGGATCAGGAATAAAAGCAATTTTAGCATCTAAGGCATCCTCCAAGTCATTTTTCAAATATTTCCTTTAACTTTTATTTTCAACAAAAATGCGTTCAGAAATCACCACTTTGTCACAATTATTATCAACAACATTTCCTCCATCTAATGAAATATTTACTTGCTCAAGTTTGGCACCAATTCTTGTCATCACTTTCATGAATTCTGAATCAACATAATTGGCATCTTTGGACTTGAGGTATTTGGGCTGGTAGTTAAATTTTACTTGAGATTTTGGTAGAACTGGACAAAAATCACGCATCCACAGGTCTAAGGACTGGTCAACGAATAAAAATTTTGCATTTCCAAACGAACAAGTGCACTGCTTTTTCATGTTCTTTTTTGTGGCATTCGAACAAATGACAACAAAGTCATCTAGACCTGCAGTTTTCTCGCTCATCTCTCGAATAAAACATTCAATATCTTTTATATTCTTTCTATAATAAGCATCATCCGGTAGAGAAACAACAATAAGATGTTTATCCTTAGTATCGTTGTCAACAGATAATGCCATTCTTGAAATCGTATGCAGCAATTCTATAAAATCAGCATTCGTCGAGTATTGACATTTTACTGTTGAACTAGAACGATTGAGTACAACGCAGACTCACTAGTTTCCTGTGCCACTCACACTGCGCATGTGAATCTAACATAGATTTACTCATATACTGGTGATGCCATTGGGTCATACCAACGGCAAAACGAAGGGTGAGGACGGAATGCTAGATGTAAAACAAATTAATGTGAGAACAGGACTGTGAAGAACACAGCAGATCTAGAAAGATTAATGCTGAAGAAAAATGAAGGAAAAGTATACCTTGGTGTATGAAGGCTAAAAGTGTCCAGTGAACAGGAAAAGGGCGAAAGCTGATAGATATGATGGAAAGAATACGCATTGACATTTTCTGTGGACTGTAGTGAGAAAAAAAGTAAAAAGTTCCTAGATTGAAGCTAAATATTGTGGTATCTGGTATTGAAAAGAATTGTGTAGCTGTGATGCCAAATGCAATACTGACAAAAGATGATTTAGAGCACATGGTTGAAAAAGTTGAAGAATTACAGATAAAATGCAATGTGTAATTGCACTTACTATTAAATATGTGTATCCTCCGCAAACTCTTTGTAGTAGAGAAGAAGAATAAATGTTCTGGCAGGTCCTGGATGTCAACAGTAGCGTGCTGGCCGGGTGAAGGGCGGGGTCAATGCCCCAAGGAGTCAATTTTTAGGGGTGCAGAAATCAATATAGGTGCCGAATTTTGAATTGGGAAAACGCATTTGAAGTAATGCAGCTATTTCTCTAATATATACATTTATAGATAGCCGCATATAGGCAAGAAATTGATATAATAATCGTGTGAAGATGTTACGATAAAAACGTGTAATTCCAATTTCCAAAAGCCTAAAACATCACATGATAAAATCAAAAAGTTTATAACGTTTCAATGTTCATGAAATGTACATGAAGAGAGCAAAAAATAAGTTCACAAATCTATGAACTTTGTTCACGATCTGACCAGTGCCATAGACCAGTAAATTGTTGTCATCATCATCATCATATCTTTGTGCTACACATGAATTTAGCGCATGCGTACAAAAATATATATTCACATTTCACGAAAACGGCTGAGAGAGCTTCTGTGTAATCTCTATTTCTTTGTTTTTGACTTGTTGTTGTGGTTTTATGCTGTTTCCGCTCAATCAATATGTGACAAAATTGTTTGGACCGCCGTCGAGTGACCTTATCTTTTTGTTCCTTCGACTTGTCGTTATATATAGACAAATCACTTTGACAATGTATCACTTTTACTTTGTCATTCTCGGATTTCTTTTCGTCATTTGTTGTAAATACGAGTAAGTAAACAAACTGAAATATTTTCCATTCACGTAACATGGCAGACTTCCTTAGTCGAGAAAAACAAACTGCGTCGGCTTTATTGAAAGCTCAGTTTGGAACAGAAAAGGGAAAAGCACACTTGAATGGCGTACTTAAGACATTGTTTGGTCCACAGAAAAAATTTACGAAAGACACGAAAGATTGGTGTAAATGCCTTATCGCTGGTGGGCAAAATCCTGATTCGTTTTTCAGCAAGTTAAAAGAATATAATAGTTCCCAAGTTTGTGGACTAGTATGGCACAAAAATTTCGTAGCGTTTCGCTGTCGCGACTGTGGCATATCACCATGTATGTCCATTTGTGCAGACTGTTTCCATGCTGCTGACCATACAGGACATGACTACAATATGTTTCGAAGTCATGCAGGAGGTGCATGTGATTGTGGTGATGAAAATGTCATGAAAAAGGAAGGGTAGGTGTAACAGCAAGCTCCTTATCCTTTTTGCAGCTGTTAGGCTGTTACTCATTCCACTGTCCATAATTTTGGCCAATGAAATGAATGATTTGAACCCAAGAGTATTGTTACATATTTGTAGTACTGGCTCATCCAGTTTACTGGACTCAATCAACCAGGCCAATCAACATCTATAAACTTGTAATTGAGGCTTTTACTGAACAACTTTTCTGCATACTAAAGAGAATTGAAACCATGACCTAACTTTAGGCAGTAAAACTTCAATGACTCAATTTTTTGTTGATTGTTGTCATATGGCAAAAGTGGAAAAGAAAGCATTAAGCTAGATTAGTAATGTTTAATTGAACTCATCGTATATATTTTGAGATATAGTATGGTTTACTTGTTAGCCTTGTCAGATTAGAGTTTACACAATAATAAAATTCAACTTAACTAGTAAACACCATATCATACAAATGCTGATCAAAACTGGTGTAGGTTTACAGTGAGGTTTCACTGTATAATGGAAAATCCAATGCTACATCATTGAATACATTTACATGTCAATGGATGAACTACATGGGACGACATGGGACTACATGGGACTACATTGTCTTACATACCATATTCATTATTGCAAATTTGCAACAATAAAAAAAATGAAAGTCATTTGAAGAAAAATTTTGCCAGATAAAGGGCTGAAGAAACTTAAGATAATTATTTGGGAGCATTTGAAATCTTGTGTAACTTTGTGTAACTAATCCTAGTGTTTACCTGAATGTACTTAAACGATGTGTTAGAGAAGAGGTCTTAGTTAATGTTTGGAAAAAGACTTATATCATAGCCATCTAATATTGATAACGTTTTTCTACATAGAATCAAAAGAAATCAAGGCGGCGAAACATTGATAATTGTGGGGAGGGGGGTATTATTCATATGCACATGTTTTACTTTATCAGTTTGTATTGAAATCAATTGTGTTTACGAATAACCTGTGAATATATGAATATAGCCTCCCCAATTATCAATGTTCCGCCATCCTTGAAAGAAATTGATGTATTCACACAAATTTCAATTGGCTCATAAAATTTACCCTATGAATTGTGTCTATTTGAGAAATGTCTAAATGTTTATTTCACAGATTTTGCCCATTTCATGGTAAAAAGAAGAAAATGTCTTCCGGACCTCCTGATGAAAATCTTGACATGGCTAGAGCCATTATTCCACATCTATTTAATTGTATTTGTCAAAGTATCAAAACACTATCAAACTCAGGTAAAAATTGTTAGGTTTATAAGGTGCTTCTTTTATATTGGCAATGTTCAAATCATTTAACTGCATGTGGTTTGAAGTTACTTTTAGGTGAATAAATTTCCCTCCTTATCATACATGAAAATTACTTATGTGTAATGTGCACAGAGTATATAAAGAAACAAGAACACCTATACAAGCCTACAGATGCATAAAGTAGTATCATCTGCGTGCATGTATCTTTGTTACAAGCACAAAAGGTTTTCTGCCCCTTGGAATTTCATATAATTTTTAAAGGCAAAATATGCACAGTGATGAAGTACTAGTGATCAAACATTGTAATATCGCAATAGGTTAAATGGTTAATTTCCAGATGTCTTCTGAGTTTTTTAATACATCGACGTACGATGTTTACAATGATTGCAATTTGAACGTATAACTGCCAAAGTTTGTTTCAAATATTAGAACAGACGTGTAGAACTACAATCACCACAAAAACATACGATTAAGATTGCTACTGCCCTAGTACGTTGTGTCTTAATTACGTTGCTCATGCAAATGTTGTTTTGATTACGTATGAGCAGAAAAACGGTAATAGTTTCACATGCAACTCAATGTGATTTTAGCTAGGTGTATGAGACGTTTTAAATCTCTCGTGATTGTTGAAACTATGTTTTACTTTTTTTAAAGCTGATGCCATTTCTTGCGCTAAAGAAAATAACGACAAAGTTTTGGAATTTCTTCAAGAATTAAGTGAGGGAGAAATACTTCGTGGAATAATATGTGATATGGTTATGGACGATTCTTTAAAATTTTATGTATCTAATGAAGATGTTACAAAGAAAGAAAATGGGTTTTCATCTTTGAACTTAAATCTCTTACCTCCTGAGGACATACCTCTCTCTAATGGCAGGTTTTCGTGCTATCTAGATATGTTACTGGAATTATGTTTAAGGCACGATTTTCCGGAGAAATTGGTTACATTTCTCCTTCAATTGCTACCAAATCAAGAATACAAGGTAATGACTTTGTTTTATTGTTTATCAAGTTTCATAAACGATTGATAACCACCAAACTCCACTGTCGAGAGATATTTAAGTGTTGTGTATGAGGAGAGAGGAAATGTATGCTATTATTAAATGTTGTTCGCGAGGAGAGGGATTTATACCATAGTTAAATGTTGTTTGTAAAGATATAAAAGGTTAAATGTTGCATATATTTAAACTCGAGCGTTGGTTGATAATTTTCTTTTCCCTTTCTAACTCATGCTTTATATGTTGAATATTAATAAATCCACCATTTGTTTATTGCTAGATTGCCTTCACGCGTAAATTTTGTGAAAGCTATCACAAAATAGCCCAGTTACTAACGTCGTACCAAACTTTATCTGAAGTAGAACACCTGTCCAACAGCATTGTTCATGTTAGCGTGCAATTGTTCAGTAATAAAAACCTCATAACAAAAATGGTCGTTGAATATAAATTTTTACATGTTATGGTGAAGATTTTATCTGAAATGATGAGACCTGTTCTGCAGCAAATGAAAGTAAATGGTAAGGTTTATTTGTTTATGTGTAGCATTTTTATAAATAATGGTTCAATGCATTTTCTCTCTTAAATGTTTTTAAATGTTCTTTCTATACTCGCTAATATTGAAAAATTCTAGACTGAGTTAGCCAGCCAGGGGGAGGTTGTAACCTGTGAAATATATTTTTCGGTTATATATGAAATATTTGAGTAGACTTTGATCCAAAATTTTAATTCATGACTTTCATGATCTTGCATTAAACTGCAAGTTCGTTTCATGCAAGTATGACAATTTTGATTCATCGTAAACATTGCCTGTTTTGAGCGGGTAAAAATGCCTGTAAGTGACCACAAGTGGGTGGCAAAAACGAGGTTATGGAAGACTGGCTTTAACGTAGATATCAACAGTAAAATTTATCCATGTACATATAGGTCAATATGTGAAGCATCTGGTGATCAATTGTGACTCGCATGTTGTCAGATATCATTGTTATTGGCCAATTGTTAGCGATATCATCAATGTTGTTACTCATCATAACATTGCTGATATTTTCATGAAAGATTTAGACTTGTTGGAGAAATGGATGAATTTCATTGCTCGTATTACAGGTAATATCGGGGAAGGTTGCGTATACGTACCTTGTCAAACCCTAGAGTTTGTTAAATCTTGCGGAAAATGCAAATTTATGTACTTCACTGCATGTTTTAGCGAACGTACATAAATGCGAGAATAAATGCTTACTGCAAGTGGCTTATTTAACAGTGTGAATGGTTAAAATTTTAACATCACATCATTCAATGTTCTACTTGTTTCTCAGAATCCTTGATTTTAAATGATAACTTAAATGGAAAATGATGTCTGACAAATGTACATATTATAGCAGTTGTATCTTTTTAAGGAATAAACTGCAATGAGCGAATCATTGGTGATCATGTCAGTTTCGAACCATCATCGTACAATGCTGCTTTCTTCATGGAAGTGGAGGCTGCTGCCTCTCCCATGTGGAGTTTAATTTCTGCTTTATCTGCTCTGGTGAGATAATTGCTCACATATGTTTTGTTCTCGTCTCTTATTTGTTGTAAGTTTACGTATCTACGTGTAACATACAAACATAAAGTTGGACCCTTTCAGTTTTCGGTAGAATAATGATTTATAGTTTATAATCACCACAAAAAATACTTTATATTATAGAAGCATGGCTAATGGAGAACATGAAAATTAGCTGCAACACTACTCATAATTTTTGATGGCAAATTGATTTTTTAGAATGACAAAAAATGTGTTTTAAATGTCTTGGAAAAGATATCCTCAGCCTTGTTCATGTGGCAAAAGAAAGTTAACAATCAGGTGATTCCTGTTCGTGTTTTCTTTGTTTTGGGATTTCAATTTGTGTTCTTGAAGATACGACATGGGATTTACATTAATAAATCAACAAGAGCCGTTCGTTGGAAGGAAACGAATAAAAATTTAAACATCATAGTTTCTAACTCAAATGAGAATTCTTGAAATTTTGAGGAAGCCATTTCTGTAAATTTCGTAGGGAATTCAGTAAAGAAATTAATTTGCTTTCTTTTATAACTTGTCTTTCTTAATGGTCTGGTCGTTCCTTGATAGAACTGACCCAGACTGCAACACAGCTAGGAAGTTTGTTTAAAGAACTTTTAGGAATCATTTTTGCAACGCATACGATCTTATTTTCTGATGGGATTACCAAAAAAGTCATTGTCATTATTGAAACATTAACATAAAAATCGTGTGCACGGTATTCTTTCATAAACTTTTACATATTTTTTAGCCTTCTCGAGCTGAGGTCCATTTTCATATACCGCTGTTACGCTATTTTTCAGCTTTTTTAAAACAGGTGCGTACGTTTCAAGTGACACAAATTTTCTTATGTTTTTGAAGTTTTATAACTAGTATTTTATTAGTAATATAATAACATTATCTTATGAGATTATGTTGTCTTAAATGGAAATACTAGTTGCGTTGATATAAACATTTTATTAGCATTTTATCAAGTATTAATTACAGGAACAATTTGCATTATCCATTTGTGAAATGCATTGTTATGCTCAAATTCATTGAAAAGTTCTTCATTTCTTCACAATTTCATTTATGTTACTATCTTACCAACTTTTGTAAACTTCATATTACAGTTGTTTTGTTCAATTTTTGTTTTTATGTTATCTTAATTCAGGCTCTACTGCAGTTTCACCTATGTCTTGAAGATATCGAAGTCGATCATTGTCTTTTGGTTAAATTACTTGACTGGCCTGTTTGTATCCAGGTATTGTCTATTTAAGATTAGAAATTTTTTTGACAGAAAAAAAATGGATACTATTATTTTAAATACAAAATTCAACCAAGAAAAATAAAGAGACTTTGAAAATCTTCCTTGCTGGGATCGTTATAGAAAACAAACACTGAGCTGCATCTTGTTTTAAACTTTGTTTTATCTTTATGGTCAATTTATCCATTACATATGGTAGTTCGCAAATATATGTGAATATTTAGAAAAAATATCGCGTCCTCACAAAAGGGCATTACGCATTTTACCTATTGGTAGCCTCACTATTAACAGCCATCCTCCGTTTACTGGACTATTGCCATTACTTATGTTGTAGGTCATGCTTGAAAAGATGTATGGTTACTAGTTTTGAATCAGTTGCTTGTTCAGCGTGATAATTGTGGGGAAGAGGGGTGGGGTGGGGGTGTGCAATATTTGTAACTTCAAGCTAAATAACATTTTCTACAAAGAGACCAAACACTAAAACAGCTATACCTGACACTTGCGTGTTTATTTTATCTTAATTTTGCTTATTGTGATTGTAATTTTTATTTTTATTGGAAATATTTTCTATACATATTTAAAAATTATTTATAAATAATTAATTTTTTAAGTGATCAATTGAAGGATCTTCGTCTTTTTCAGGCTGCTGTTTGCGAAATTCGAGCTGGTCTCTGGGCTCGCAATGGACATCAGATATTTGTTCAAAGTGCCTGGTATCAGCAATGTCATTTTTCTAATTCAATGCTGGATCTAGACATATTTTATCTTCAGGTATATATGTATTTACTGCCACCTTTTTCATCTTATGTGATGCTTTTATTTCTTTTGTCTACGCTAATTAGCTGTAGGCATAGGAACTACAAAATTGTTTTGTTTAAAGATCTACTTACAGGATCAGAAGTTTTTTATGTAAAAAGAAAAAAAAAGTGGAAAAGAAACGCTTTAATAGTTTATACCAAAATTTTCATTCATCATTTCATCAAATTGTACAAATGAATTTTAAACATAAACGTACATTTGACAGAAATATTTGCGTTAAGAAAATTGATATTTTTCTATTTCTGCCAATTTTTAATCTCATTATTATGTTCATTTTCCCTAGATCTGTGCTGCACATTTGGATCCAGAATATTTTCTTGGTGTTTTAATTGATAGGTAGAATAATTATTATTGATACTGTTGGAATAATACTACATCACTTTTCTTGTTTGCCTTCATCATCGATAACAACTGTTCTGTATCATTTTCCATTTAAATTAAAAACTTACGAATAACTATACATATGTAAAGGTCATTTATTTTGTTTAGTTTTTGGTGTCTTGTTGCTAATCCCAAATTCTATTTATCATGTACGTCGGAGATTCTTCTCTTTGATCACGTTTAGGTTTCGTGTTGAACATTGGTTTCAATTTCCAAGTGAACTAGAGTCATGTTCACCAGGTCTTGATGATGGAACTAAGGACGTGATGGTCGAAGGATTGCTCACGTTGATTATTACGATAGTCAGTTGTAGACTACATTGTGGTATGTTGAAAGAATTTCATATCGTTACTACTTAAAAATCACAAATATTTCGTTATAATGGTTTTACCTTCGAACTACCTTAGCCGTTTAACCACAAAATCTTTGCTAGAGCAATACGTTCATGAAAATGAATGTTTGAGTAGTTAGTAAAATTTCTGAATGCCAAATGTTTAGAAATTTTTAAAATTGGGGTTCTTATAATGTGCTTGAAGCAATATGCTTGACTTAATAAAACTTGACATTTATAGTAGAAGTTACATGGATTGTTGTAGCTTTGTATATAGGTATTTCTATTGTGTAACGAATACGTACATATCTGCCATTCCTGAAAAATTTTATTTGGAAAAATCATCCACTACGCGCTACAACTATTCAAACAATGACATGGAAGAAAAGATCATCTTTGTAAAATCTCTATTTATTTTGAGCGTGTGTTTACCGAATTAAATTGAAGCCGTGTATCTGTTTGTTTTATCATTTCCACTATTTGTATATTCAACAGAAAACATTTTTCATGTAACTTTGTCATATATACTGTACAATATATATAGGTATGGATGTAGAGGAAACCCTGCGGCTTGAAATGGTCACATTGTTATGTTTTTCTGATCGCACACATAGTAAACTTCTTGAAAATATATCCTTTATGAAAAAAACGTTCAACTTCATGTTTTATCTTCAAAATAAATGTTCATTTTATAGTATTGTTGAACATATCGAATAATTTTATTGTTACGACTTACATTCTGCGTGTGTATGATAGTCTTTAACAAAAAAACGTCCCCGAAAAATATGGTCAAGCGATGAACGCTCAACTTTTTGAAAAAGTTTTAAATGAGGTAAGAAACGTATCTTATTTTTCTTGTTGCAAAGTTTTTGCTTTACATTGTTAGTTCAGTAGAATCACAGCATGTGCACTAAAAATTTATAATTTTTGTTTATATTAACTTTTAACAATCTCTCAAATAAACAAACTTTTAAATCACTCTTTGGTTTGAATTTCACCTTTGCTTGAGCACAATTTACCAATCACACCTTATTCTATGTCTTTTTAAAGCAACCAGGAATGGTCCTGGGTTCGGACTTTTTCAAAACTAACGTGAAACTTTAATGTGAATGGATAAACGTTTTCTTCCATTGATTGTCTGGGTTGAATCGTTTGATTTTCCTTTCAAACAATCGTTAAAATAACTATTCAGCATAGATAGCGATAGCCAAACTTTGTTCATTCGAGCCCAGTTGATTTCAATTGAGTTGAAGTCAAACGCAGGACACCTTTGCATGCAACGCACTGGTATTAGAGTAACCTTAGGCTGTATTTATGCAACCAATAATAACAAATCTCAAAAAATAAACAAAAGCTATACACATGCTTTAATATGTGCATGTATCAAGTTAAAACATACATTTTCGTAAGGTTATTTTATTTAGCTCATATCACTGTATAGCAGAAAATAAAAGATGCTTGTTCAATTGAATGTTGCACGAATTCTTTAATTGCTATCAATGATTGTCAAAATGGCACTTTGTTTGTAGTATTTTAAGGGATGTATGGATGTCGCTTTGACTTCACTTTTCCATATAATTTAAGATTGCTGACTACAGAAATCCTGGCTGGGACAACTCTGGCATGCAACAAGGAACGTATGTTTTAAAACCAAAATATTGGGATTCACACTTTGATCCTGTTCATGCTTTAATGAGAGCATTCAGTAGAAAGGAATTTCAGTCATCTATGGATCGTTACGTTGAACAGTAAGTTAATATAACGCACAAGTTCTTTGTATTATTTTTTTTCAGAGAAGGCTTAAAATGCTCACTGCCAACGTCAATAAAAATTGAAAGCTTGCTTAATGAATGTAATGACATTTTATGCGTTATGAGATTTACTATGTTTTGGACAATATGGGATAAATTTTTTTTATGTATATTTTCCAATAATTTTTCAATGTTACCGTTTTTAGTGTTCGAAAGTCAACGAAAGTGAACGTTAATTCAGCCTGGCCGCCATTTCGTTCTGTGTCTGCCATGGGTAGGCCTAAATCGTTGAATGGAGTCATGAGGTTTTTGCTACTATTTTTATTTAACCATGTAGATTTTCTTATAAATCCATGAAAATTTAGAGCACAAGTCTACGCAAATTCAAAGTTCAACGTATTCATAAAGTGGTTTTTTATAAACATAATACATTAAAAATGTTTCAAAATAACATAAGGGATTTCTTCATTAGGATTCTTCATTGCAAGAAGTTACATCAGATGATATACTTGATACTTCACAAGGTTTGGTACAATTTTTTTTTTGTGTATTGAATTCTACAGAAATAAGCCAAACTTTTCGCAGTTCCACTGTTCTTTCCTAAAGATGTAGTTACAAATGAACGAGATGACGTTTATGAGTAAATTTTGCTTCAGGCGACTTCAAATGTTACTACGATGTCAGAAACTATATTATACCTCACCATTCATCTCATGAATTTGGCGGTTGAATCATCGCCTTCGTGCTTTTCTGTGGTAAGCCATAATACCATCGTATCTGATTATCAAAACCTAGACGAGTGCTTTTCTGCGGTAAGCCATAATACCATCGTATCTGATTATCAGAACCTAGACGAGATTTGGAGCATAAAAAAGCTGTTGATGCTGGCAAATTTTGAACATGGCATGACACCTAATTATAAATTAACTCTAAATAGTATACAATGTTACAAGTTGTTCATGAATTCACTCTTTGAATCAAGATTTGTTTTGAGGATTATATTTCATAATTGGAACTAAATTGACACTATGTGATTTTAATGTTGTTCTATAATAACTTTGATTGTTCTAATTTAAATTTTAAAGTTCGCACTGTGTGTTGTTTATCAGGACTCGTGCATGTGCTTAAAGTCCTTGAAAAGTCCTTAAACTGAAAAGTCAATTTTAAAGGCTCTTGAAAGGTCCTTAAAAAATCAAAGAAGTGCTTAAAGTGCTTAATAATACTAAAAAATTAACATAAAATTAACAGGATAATGTAACTTTATAAATTGGAAGCATAAAAGAACCCCACTTCCTACAGAAGCAGATACGATATGATTTTACTCGTCATGCATAAAGACTTGAGTAAATTTAATGTTGTGAATTGTTCTTGAAACTTTTCAATTTTGTTCTTAAAAAGTCCTTTATTTGCAAATAGCTACTACCCTAACCCTGCTTACATTGTTCATCAATGACTTGGATTGTTTTAATTTTACATACTATGTACTTTGTGTTATTTATGTTTTTCTATAACTACTTTAATTGTTGTAATTTTAGTGTTCAAGTTCTTACAAACCTTTTTTAAATGAAGTTGGTGATATTCCATCTGTAGTTGCTCTGAAATGTTTGAAATTTCTTGATGAGTATGGTAAGTTTTTGAATCTCTTATACTCACAATAATATTTTTAAATGAAGATATGATCTTCGCACTTTGCTGGACAATTTAAGCAATTGTCTCATGAACCTGAAAAATTCAGGTGACTCAGAGCACTGCACCGGCACCGCAGATGTCATGGGTTCGAATCCCGTTGAGTCACCTGAATTTTTCAGGTTCATGAGACAATTGCTTAAATTGTCCAGCAAAGTGCGAAGATCATATCTTCATTTAATTTCAAACACCGCACTGCAAATAACAATCTTTAATAATATTTCTGTTGTAGCAATAGCGATTTTTTGTGTTCTGGTATTGTTTGAACTTGTTATCATTTGGTGAATTGTTTATGATTGCTTTTTTAGGAATCAATGTAAAAGGTCTTCATATAGACGAAGATTTTATTGAAGTTAATGATACTTTGATGGTTAATATAATGTATGGTAGGTGTTTTAGTTTGCTTCAGTTGAATTTCATGCTTTACGATTGAAAAAAAGTCAGTTATTTTCTCCATATATTATTCATATGATTGGTATTAGCCTGTCGTTAATCCATACACTGCATTTAATCTATTTGGGATTAGGACTAAACGACGATAATTCACTTTCTTTTTACCCCAGATCCTTATTTTATTCTATGTCCTAAATCAATATCTGTTCGAGATGTTTCTAAGATACTTGGTCACACTTTATTCTACAAGATGGAACCTTCATTGTTTGGTTGTTTACTGCCATATATTAGCAATATAATGAATCATACAACCAGTAAGATTTCTATTAAAAAAATTTTATTTTATTTGTTTTGAAATCAAATGTTTTGTTCTTATTGACTATTTGATTTATGAAGTAATCTAATGGAGAAATGTTGCTTCGTTTTTAACTTAAAGATTTGTTAAATCAGTCAGAAAGAGAAAACCATCTTCAGGTTATTCAGTATTTCTTGGAAACCATGCCAGCGCACAGATACATGTTAGCAAAGCAGTTCGTTTCATATCTTATCAAATACATGGAAAGAGAGCAGATTTTTATGAAGAATGTCTCTCTGATATGTGATCGCTCAGTGGTAAACTCGTTTATTAAATTTATCGAGCAAAATACTGGTATTTATCACTTGTTGATTTTATTATTTTAGTCATCGGAATCAACTGTTCTGTTTACCTATCTTATTAAATATCATCAACGATTATTTCGGGTTGGTTTTCTTAACTATACGCAAATTATATTTTATTTTTAGGATAAATTGCAGCGTTATGTCTTGATCTTGCTATATCTGCCTCCACGACTGCACCAATTACATCACATTCGTCTGCGAGACAAAATTGAACTCTGTGTTTCGTGTCAATCGCTTTTCTAGAACATTCCAAAATTTTTATTTCGTTCGTCAGAATAAATTATAGCTGCTCGATGTTAAATACCTTTAGAATGACACTATTGGTCATGAATTTCTGAAGATCAATACTGTACCAATCAATGTTGACTCTAAGTTATTTGAAAATGTAAATATATCCAACAATGAGCTGCAGTAATTTATTTCGACTAACCCTAAATCTGCGACCGACATGAAAAAAGGATTCTGCATTTCTTTTAGATTGTTCATATTAAACCTAAAATGATCCACATTACACCGTAGGTTTATCCTCGCACTGATGGTCTGCCTAAAGATATTTTCTCGTTGGAGTTTCCATCTGATAGTTTGGTTGATAACATAAACCATCATCCTAGTATCGTTCCCGAGGGCAAAACTATGCTGAAATTTTATACTCAAGGTACGTGAAAGAAAAAATTATGTCCGATTTATATTGTGTACATGCATCATTGTAAAATTTTTAATGAATTTACTGTGTTATAAACTATTGAAGAATTAAAATTTGTTAAAATTTGTGATAATTTTCTAGCAAGTTTAGAGGAGGATCTTCAAGATTCTTTACAATCAAGTTCCTCTTTTGATCTGACAGCTGATGTTGTTAAAGAACTCATTGAAATCACTCAAATTCCTGAAGGTTGAAATTTAGTATTTAAATAGATGGATCGTTTTGATTTTTTATGATATCCTTTGAAAATACTTTGCGCATTTGAAATGAAACAATAAGGTTTCGAGAAAAAAGGAATGAAAAGTCGATTTTATTTCTCTTTTCATAAGTGACTTACATTATTGGCACATGTTTTTATAGAGGTTTTGAAACCACCCAGTGTAACAGAGATGTATAATTTTTATAGAAGTTTTTAAACCTGCATTGTAACAGAGATGTATGATTTTTATAGAGGTTTTTACACCACGCAGTGTAACAGAGATGTATAATTCAATATTATTTTCTCTTGTCTTATTAGAAGTTGCGTGTTTCACTAGGGTTGGGCAACGGGAAAATGTGATTTATTTTTATTATATATTACAGATTCAGCGATATGTCTTCTACAGAAAAGCAACGGAAACTTACAGATAGCAATAAGTATGTATTTCGAGAATGGTGCATGTGCTAATGAATCTATGGAAACCAAAACCAAAGATTGTTCTTTGTCAATGGACGTCGATCATTGTGATAACACGGATGAAAATACCAACTTGCTAGAAGGCAAGTATTCTTACAATTTGTCGATCGTAGAAGTTATCGGAATAGGCCTTACTGTTGTTGGTCCGTTTTAAATTGATAGGAATATCATACCCTTACATTTGTTGTTTCTCAACATTTATGACATGAATAGTTTTCCCACATTCCTATTGTTATTTTTTTTCTTTCTAAAGTCACTCATATGTTCTTTATCAACACCTTGATTTTCTTTGTCGTTTACTTATAATATACGTCTCCAATCCCTGTGGGCTTGGTAGCTCAACAGGTAGAGCGGCGGACTAGTATCCCGAAGGTGCGAGCTCAAATCTCGTCCAAGTCACATGTTTTTCATGTGCATATTAAAACCGTGTTAGGATTAATATATTATATATATAATATACAAAGATAGACATAATTTGTTTTTTACTTGTAGAAAACGGCACCTCAACATCCTCTCACCTACAAGACAGTATCGTAGATTTATTGGTTAGACTAAGAACTCTTCTTGTGACATTGTCCTCGCCTCTTTCACCAAGGTAAGATACTCAATAGTAATTTATACCGTACTTTCTTGCTGTAGAAAGATGAAAAGAAACTATTTTACCATAATCAATAGTTTTGTGTCCGATATCAACACATTTTCAGCAATTCTGAAGTTGAATTCAAGAATTATAAACTGGACTTCCTTCTTTAACTTGTGATTCGTAAATGGTTAAATTTGGGTGTAGCTCTTTGTTTCTTTGTCTTTTTTAAAACATAGATGTCCAGGCGCTCCTGTTGTAAATGATGCCGTACAAAAAGTTTCATCTTTGCTCCAATTGATTCGTCGGCTAGGATCTTCAAATGTTGAAATGATTGGAAATGTAGAAAAAGAAACGTTAAGAGAAGAAAATCGTGATGTCGATTCATTAAATGAACAAGAAAAAAAGTAAGTTTAGAAAGCTTGCTCTATCCTTAAATCTCCATTGCATTATTTTTAAAAGTAATTTATCTTTTAGAAAGAAAAAAGTGAAAGAACACCGTCAGCGAATTTTGGATGAATTAAAGCGTCAGAGGGAAAAGTTCGAGAAAACGTTTTGCTCAAAAGGTACTTTGAAATAGAATACGATTTTTTCTTTTATGTTCTTCACTACCATTCCTTCAGTTAAAATGCACAGTTTGACTCTGATCACGTGTTGTGTTCTTCACTACCATTCCTTCAGTTAAAATGCACAGTTTGACTCTGATCACGTGTTGTGTTCTTCACTAACATTCCTTCAGTTAAAATGCACAGTTTGACTCTGATCACGTGTTGTGTTCTTCACTAACATTCCTTCAGTTAAAATGCACAGTTTGACTCTGATCACGTGTTGTGTTCTTCACTACCATTCCTTCAGTTAAAATGCACAGTTTGACTCTGATCACGTGTTGTGTTCTTCACTACCATTCCTTCAGTTAAAATGCACAGTTTCACTCTGATCACGTGTTGTGTTCTTTACTACCATTCCTTCAGTTAAAATGCACAGTTTGACTCTGATCACGTGTTATGTTCTTCACTACCATTCCTTCAGTTAAAATGCACAGTTTGACTCTGATCACGTGTTGTGTTCTTCACTACCATTCCTTCAGTTAAAATGCACAGTTTGACTCTGATCACGTGTTGTGTTCTTCACTACCATTCCTTCAGGTAAAATGCACAGTTTGACTCTGATCACGTGTTGTGTTCTTCACTACCATTCCTCAGGTAAAATGCACAGTTTGACTCTGATCACGTGTTGTGTTCTTCACTACCATTCCTTCAGTTAAAATGCACAGTTTCACTCTGATCACGTGTTGTGTTCTTCACTACCATTCCTTCAGTTAAAATGCACAGTTTCACTCTGATCACGTGTTGTGTTCTTCACTACCATTCCTTCAGTTAAAATGCACAGTTTCACTCTGATCACGTGTTGTGTTCTTCACTACCATTCCTTCAGTTAAAATGCACAGTTTCACTCTGATCACGTGTTGTGTTGAATGATGATTTTAAATGTAGCTTAAGTTACTTTATCTCATGCTCTAAGTAATGTTCTTTTATGTTTATTGGTGAATAACAGTAATGATTATTTTACTACCCGTAATCTTAGCAGAAGAATTTATGTATGTTCACTTCAAACCTTTCCACATGTGACCGAAATATCTATCTAACTTTTTCTGACAAGATAGATACTTAATTTGACCCATGAAAGAGGAAACTGTTATACTGCAATTATTTTGTTATTTTTCTTTGGCTTCCATTTTCATATATATAATTTGAAATATTTTTAATGATAAAATATAGTCATGTGTGTTTTGACCTTTAGCTTCCACCTCTGAAATAAATACTGAATGTTCAAGTTCATCAGCTAAACTATTTCATTGTGCAATTTGTGGCCAAAGTGCCCCTTCTACTGAACAACGACCTATAGGTTATGTGGTCTTTATACAACCAGGAACTGGTGAGTTGTTGAAATTGCCTTCTGAAAAATACTTTCAAGGATTTGCAGCTACAGAAAGATGTTCTTTATGTTTCTTTTAGTTTTGAAAAATCGTCACAAAAGATGTAGTAGATCAACAGAGTTGTATTATTCAAACAACGGCCATTCTTCTTGTCAGTTATTTAATGAAGTATCTAATGAAATAGTTTGCTGTGGATCAATTACTTCTGCTAGAAGAAAATTTTTGTTGACATACTTCGAAAAGGTATTTTGGCTCTGTCAATACTCCATGTTTTATCATGTAACGTGTTGTTTCAAATATTGTGTTGCTAAATGCTTTAGATGAAAGATGTATTTTTAGCATCATAAAAATTTACCATTTTTATGAAATAGATGAAAGCAACTCAAGCTTGCGAGCTAGGTATTGACGGTGGAGTTCATGTACAATCTTGTGGTCATTGTGTTCATTTGGAATGTCATCAAAGCTATCTACAATCATTAAAGGTTTTCATACAATATATACAATAATTATTTCTGTTGACAGAGAACTGGATGCACTATTGATAGATAATTGTTCTAATGTTTCTATTATTATTATTCTTTCTATTACAAATGAATTTAGGGTTTTTTAATAGCTTACCCTCTGGTTCGGGTTGATCCATTGATTTGATAACTTCTGATTCCTTCATTTGTTCTCTTCCCTTCCTTAATGGACTTGCCTATGGGTTTAAGGTCTTACATCGTTTTCTAAACCTTGAAATTTTTCACTCATAATTAATGTTTTCGAAGAATTTTTTTCATTTTTGCTTGAAATATAAGTAAAACATTTTTTTGAATGTTTTTAGACTTGTTGAAACATGCTTTCTTATGCTTAACATCGATGTTGAATATTGGTGTGTTTTTTAGGACGATACATCTTTGCCTGGTAATGATAACGCTTTATACGATTTTGATGTCAATAACGAAGAATTTTTGTGTCCGGTTTGTCGAAGACCAGGAAATTCAATCTTGCCGATATTACCATCGGATATTTTGAAATCATGTAAACGAAATAAGGTAAGTTTATTAGGTAACTAACGCCGTATTCTAAAAGCTCACTGACCATCATTGAGTACGACACAGAAATCTCGTTTTAACCAATCAATAACGAACTCCATCAATGGCTAGGTTTTTCGCTAAATTATTGCAAATTACTGTATTTCCTATATTTAGCTCCAACCTAGCGTCGTTTTAGCCCCCCCCTAATGATCCCCCTCTTAAAAGGTAGAAAAAAAACTACCTCTACTTATCCCCCACTCTTAGTAAATATAAAAGCCACCAAAATCAACCACACGATGAAATCCAAATGATAATTAACTACAGTCATACGTTAGTCGTTTGAAACACGGTAAGCAATCAGTGAAGTGAAAATATACTGTCTACCCATATTTATGAAGTAATTTTGAAGCACTGCTCAATGCTTCTTAGCTATTGTGGAAATGTCATGCTATTTTTTGTCATGTTTAGGTCATGTGTTATAAGGATATTTTATGTGAATTGGAAACCACTATGAAGAAATCACTTAGTAATGTGAGTATAGCAAGATGTTGTGAAAAACACTTATTTTTTCATTTATTGACGAATTGTTGTAACTGTATTTTTGGCCATTCAACATGGCGCTCTTTTCAAGACAATGTTACTTTCCGCTAATGAATGAAGTTTTAAAGATGAATATTGACAATCAAAACGTTTGATGTTTGTATCTTCATGTTTAGAGTTGGTCCAAGTTAACTACATGTGCCCTCCAACCAAGTGTTCTAAGCACGTCAGTGACTTTTCTCGTGGAAACTATAAATCGTTTACACTTAAATAAAGAACGTGGAGGTTTTTCTTTCTCACAATGCAAATTTTCCCTCATTGTTGCAACTGTTAGGTAAGGATTACTACAAAACTATCTTACCTAGATTCAACAATGTACACTTATAGATGGAAAACTGATTTTGATAAAGAGAAACTTAGTTTTCCGGTGAAAGTTTTTGGACTTTAAAATAGCATACATGAATGAAATTTTTTCAACGTAGATCTGTGTTGGAGGCCGAGCACATTGCTATTCAGACTGGAAAGTTTTTTTCATCAAGAAAATGCTTTTTTGGTTTGTTGATTTTCTTCACATTTTGTATTGTGATGGCGTTAACGTTTTTATGTTTTTGCTATCTATTGAGAGTACTTGACCTAAACTATAAGTAGAATTTTTAAGTAAAGCTTTTTGTTTTAGGAACTTTGCTGCAAACATTTCAGTTTCAATGTCAAACTCTTGTTCGTCCGATGTATCATGTCTTTAACCTGTTGACAGGTCAATGTGTCGAATCTTGTGAGCAAATGTATGACTGTTGTTTTTTTATCTGTTATGTATTACCTTTCAAAAGGATAGTATTGTTGAAATAAATCAATTGTAACAATTCTTTTAGGCTGGAAGAAGATACTTCTATTAATGATGTACCGTTGTTGTTAGGAGATTGTGTCTGTTTATTACTAAAATTAATGTTATCATGGCCAGCTCCACTTGGTTATCGTAAGTGTTTTTTTACGTAGGTTTATTTTTGTTTGTTTAACTGACTTGAAACAAACTTGAAAAGATCTTTAAAAGAACTGCGCTTTTTGCATTACATTGAAAATTAAGGTGAAACATAAACAATTAGCAAAATGATTAGCGATGTACAAATTATTCTTAGTTCACAGTAAAATTTCTACTAATGCTCTTTTATGTCTTTCCAAATCTTTAATTTCGTGCTGTTTTTATTTGCTTTAGGACATTTTCAGTGTTTAGTTCAGATGGTGTTTAACGTTGTCCTTATTCAAGTAAGTATTATATACATCTACACATGAAGCACATGTATAATGTTCTTGTTCACAGAAATTATTGTTGACAAATGTAATTCTTTTTATTTTTACGTATGTCATATAATTAGGCAATGGTTAAGACTTGCTGTTCTCTCAGTAATGATGAACGAAATTCGTGGAAATCACGTACAACGAGATGCAAGGTAAAATTTAATGTCTGTTTATTGTTTTTTTCATACATGCTTGTTTAAATATGACTTTGAATATTTTTTCATGATATTTCTATTTTAACTTTATGCACTCTTTGACTCGTTCATCAATTATCCCTACGTATTGACACTTTCTCCCTCCAGTGCATGCTTTGTACATCCGGGTATGCATAAACATGGCGTTAAAAATTTTGATCATTTTTAATGTTTGACTGTCTGTATAAAAAAGCTGGTACCTGATGTTATTTGTGATGTCTTATCAGGAACTCGTCCGTTGTATTTTGTTAAGAAGTAGATTTTTTGACATCCACGAGTACGAGATGCTATACACGTGTGTAATGCAACGAAACAGCTATGCCTTAGAGTAGATTATACGTAAAAAAAAGAGTTCTCTAAAAGTGTTTTCCTGATGTGACGTCTAATTTTACCTGACTGTGCAAGTGCGGATAGTTTCTATATTAAATTTTGCATAGAGGGACTTAGTGGACTGTGCATTTTCAGATGATTTTTCAAATAATTTTGTGATGGAGCAAGCTATTTATTACGAAATCGGTGCAGGCAGATTCAGCTGATCGTTACCTTCACATGGAACAGTTGGTTGAGTGGACTGCGCATGCTCAGATAATCTTCCAGTTTATTTGCAACTAAGGGGCTAGTTACTGTCAAAGTGTTGCTAGATAAGTTTCTCAATTGTTTGAGAAAACTATTACTTTCACGGCAATGCCCATTAAAAAGTTATGGTTTTTGTATGGTCTGTAACAGTCAATCATTTTGTTGTCAGGGTGTTGCTGCTGCTTCGTGTTTGTCTACTGAAGTTATTTTAAGTCTTGTATGTTCTCTGCTGGCCGATAGTAAAATATGTCAAGCATCAGAAGAATGTCTAGGAGTGAGTTCAATATCACGTAATAATTATGTAATGCATTCCTTTTACTGGAACGATGTTCTCAGATAAATGTGCAATATTTTATAACATTTCCTTGTCTTGTTTTTTAGATTTCACATTCCATATGGTCACCACAATCGATTGAAGTCACTCTTCAACAATATTGTCTTCCTTTTCTTCGTCTTGTCTCTTCCCTTTCATCTTTATGTTATTCTACGAAATCTTTAACGATACAGGTTTGTGTTTAAGGTAGCCTTTTGTGGAATATGTATGTTGCCGTTAAGATAGCTGTAAAATACCTTCGAAAGTTAAGGTTATTAAACCAACTGTTGTATTTTTTCAAGGATGGGGAAAACGAATTTTTTTTATTGACTAAATCATTGGGTCTTCATGACGAAACGGTGCTCAGCTCTACGTTTTCTGTCTCAGATTGCTTTAAATGGTCACATATGCCTCTGTTAGAGTTGATCAAAACTTGGTGTGATCAATTTTGTCATGCATCATCTAGTCACGACACTTTTCCCAAGGTATTTTTACAATGTTATCTTCTCTATAATGTGTTTTTTAAACTGCTTTTATTGTTGGTATTTTTTTCATGGAATTTATATTGGTATTTTATGATATTTAATATTTGTATTTATATACGAAAATGGTATTTCAAATGTTAGGTTCTTTATAACTTACCACATACGAGACGAAATTTTCCTTTTTAAAACATTACTTTAAACAAGTATTTCAAAACGCGTATATCAAAGAACTTAAGGTAATAATTATACTAAATTAAGTTGCGTAAATAATGAAATGTTGCAAAACGGCATAAACAATAGCAAATATTTTATACCTTCAATTCTCATTTGAAACTCAACTGGGATTATCAAATATTGTTTTTAAAAGTTAGTCAAATTCATTTTCACAGCATTTCGTATTTAAATCTGTATATTTCGATTCTTTTTAGGATCAACTACCTGGAATGGATGAGTGGGAATTACCAAAATTAATAAAACTGCCCGAAAGTTATTGTAGGTAAGTAAACGTCATACTAAACGTCATACTAAACGTCATACTAAACGTCATACTAAACGTCATACTAAACGTCATACTAACAGCGAAAATATTATTTGTATATATGTTTCTCATCATTAGTATATATAGCTACGTTTTTGAAAAAGACTGGTTTACTGTGTAAGTTTGTGTATGTAGTTAGTATTATTGTAAATTTGTAAACAGATAAACTCCCTGGGGGACTTCATTACTTGTCGATTTGTTTTGAGAAAGAATCTGTTTTTTAATTATTCTCTTTTTTAGTTTGTTTCGATTAAATCGGAGAAGGTCTTGTGATAAATGTGGCAGTATTCCTGAAGAACCAACAATATGTCTTGTGTGTGGAGCTTTTCTCTGTTTACGTGGTGAATGCTGTCAACGTGATAATACACGTGAATGTGTTCAGGTAGGCTTATAATTTCACGTGACTTTGATCTTTAACCACGTGCGTATGAGAGCTATTATTTCTGGGGGGGGGCAGTAAATATTTTCCCGTATCAACAAAGGTTCCGCCATATTTTCGCCCGACTAACGTTAAACATTTTCCCAACTTTTCAATCTTTAAATTTTCTTACCCACCCCCCGTCCCCTACGCCTATGCTTGTTATGACTTGTCAGCAATTAAAGAAAAGTTCGCTCGTAATGCATACTTAGTTGGAAAAATTCCTCTTGCTACGAGAATGACCATTTTCTTACTCCCAAAGATATTTACATAACTTCAAATTTGAATGGCACTTTGTAAATAAATTTATAAGTAGCTCCCGCTGCATTATGTAACCAATCAGATTCGAGAAAATCATAGAACACCATTAGCCATGCAAAAATAAAATACATCTCAATACTACATGTCAATACTAAATCTCAATCTTTGTTGTTTTATAGCATGCAATTGAATGTGGCTATGGTACAGCGGTTTTTCTAATGTTAATGTCATCTAGTGTTTTTGTAATTCGTGGTGAGAAAGCTAGCGTTTGGGGGTCTGTGTATCTTGATGAATTTGGGGAAGAAGATATCGACCTAAAGTATGTATAAAAAACATTTAAATTATGTTCTAATGTTTCATGATTGCTGTAACATTCTTTGACATTGAGATATTCGGACATTTTTTCCAGTTTCAGTCGTGTCTTGACATTGAGATATTCGGTCAACTTTTCAGTTTCATGCATTCATGTAAATACTTTTTTACGTTTTAGTGAAATACCAAAATCATTTTTTCATTTTCCAGGCGAGGCAAACCTTTGTTCTTATCAAGTGAGCGCTACGAAAAACTACAAGAACAGTGGCTCACGCATAATTTTGACGCCATTTGTAAGAAATGGGTTCTACATCATAATAATTTATAAATCATTGTACTAAAGAAATAACATGGATAACGTTTGTGTTTATAAAGCATATATTTATATTTTCAGAAAGTATTCTGTTTTGTTAAAAATGTGTATATAATGTTGATGTTATGTTCAATAGATATGAATAAATATATAACTACAAACATTCACAAACAACTATAATCTTTGTTGGCACGTGTCAATGATTATGCTGTTGTTAGTTGTTGTTTTTTTAAATAATGGATATGAACTACGTAGTATATAAATCTTGAAATTAATGTTGAAAAAAGTCAAAGTATATCATTAATATGATTACAAATTTACTGTATCAGTAATGATACGTACATCCACTGACCTAAAACTCGTGATTTTAAAGTGGTATTATCACATCTGGTTATCTGACTGGAAGGGTGCAGATTTTCCAAGGGAGGTTCTTCAATGTGCCCCAAGGACCGTTATATACGTTGTGTAGGCTTAGAGATCAGTGACCATTTGGGATAAAAGTGTTGTAAGCTTTTCAATGCAACTTTTTTTCTTAATGAAAAGTGATTTGAAGTATAAAGCTTAGTCAATTTTATTTATATGTTAACAATTCTAGGTGTATTTCAGTACATTACTTTCTTGCAACATATCAAATTTATAAAGTAAATGGTTTGAACCCGGGAGTATCATAACATGTTTGTGGATGAAGATCGTCCAGGTTCGTAGAGTCCTGAGAAGGACTGCTGTTGGTGTACACTGAAGTTCAGAGTCAAGTGGAGTTTGACTCAAGAAGAACTTCAATTTTTCAACTTCAATTTTTGAGAAGGACTTCAATTTTTTCTTTTTACAGAATATCCTTCTCAGGACTCTACTAACCTGGACGATCTTCATCCACAAACATATATCAAATTTATGCAAATCGTAAATTAAAAACTTTAACCAAAAAAAATTTTTTTTTAAAAAAAGGAAGGAAAAAATGAAGTTTTTTTAAATTGTCAAGTTGCCAATAAGTTAACATTACACAAATTTGATTGTGTTTCTCGAAAAGCATCTCATACAGAACTGCAGTAATCAAAGTTAAGTATGGTCGAATAATTGCATTACAAATAGAAAATAAGGTTTCTTATCAATAAATATTTTAAACCATGTAAGGGCCGCTATACTTTATGATATATTCTTGTAAATATTTTCTGTGTTACTCTTCCAAGATAAATGTTAGTCAAGTGGTCACTCCAAGAATTTTGGATTCATAAACTTGTTTAATTGGTTTGTCTTGAAATTGATTCTATACTGAGTTATCTGCATTGGTATAATATAGTGACTGAAATTACAATTTACTGGTTGTGTATCGGGATGGTACCATGGATGGTACAATGGGATGGTATCGGTTAATTATCATATCAAAAGTGCGCATGTCATTTAAGACCTTCCAAATCGAAGGCGATAGTTATTGGAAATGGCGGCCACTTGAGGTAAGCTGTGTGGCTGCATTGAAGAAATCCTGGAATAATTATTCATCTTTATTGGTAAGGAACAGATTTTGAAGCAATAATTTATAAAATTTTAAAATGAAATGAATAAATTTGTTTTCAATGATCGCTTTATTGTCTACCGAAATTGATAAAGTTGTTTGTCAACTTTTCATCATTTCATGATTCATTCATTTGGAAGCATAAATGAAAGAAGCAAGTCAACGACAATTTATGCCATATTTTGGTTGTTTTAACATTGCTGTAATTCGCGAACCGCTTTATTGGAAATCCCACCTGCCAACGTCAATATTCAATATGAATATGACAGCCCATAAGAAAACATCTTATCATTATTTAATATCCATGCATCAAAACTTCAGCTTGTTGTAACAGCAAAGCAATAGAAAGATGAACATTTGAAAAACAAAATTTTACTCTATGTAATTAGTTGTGTAGTATTTAATAAGTTTACATTTTCATACCTGATTCAAAAAGATATATAGTGATGAGAAACATCAATTACTTAGTATTTGATACCATTGATACTAAATAATGTGGCATCAGTATCAATTACTAACTCAGTATCCTTGTATACTTATGAACCCCTATTCTCAGCAAATGTATAAAGGTAAGTAATAGTTTAGCAATCCGAAATTTTTGTCACAGGCTGATGCTAATAACAAAGTAGTTGGTATCATAATAGAAATAGAAATTTGGTATGTATCGTCTAGCACCAATGAAATGTGAATTTTTTTTCAAAATCACCATAGCCATGGCAACGAGTACTTCAAGTTCAACCAATCATGATCATGCTTTGCAAGTGATCAAGAAATATCGAACTTATGTTGACATGATTGTTGATGCAACTATCAGTAAGTTCTTAGGTTTAGGAGAAACCAATAATTATTTGAATATCCCTTACACAAAGCTCTTATGTGTTGTATGTGTTAAGCTTTGATTCTGCTTAAGATTGTGTGCAATTTGATGTTCTTTCTATTTTACTCATGATGGTTAAAAAACAAGCAAATATTTGTTCAAGTGAGGTTGGCTTAATGAAGTCTATGAACATGTATCTGACATCAGTCTCTTTTAAAAGAAATCATGTTACTTCCTTGGTTTGTACAAATAAATCTTAACTCTTCTGTTAATAAGTATCTCTCTTTAGCAGATGATGATAAACTAAATGCAGCTCAAGAGATAAGTGAAAATTTTGAGGTACAATACAATTTACAATGTATATTTTCCGTGTAATTCAAGCAGCTTATCAAGCAGCTTTTTTCTTGTTTTCTCTTGTTAGCTTAGGACCAGGCAGCCCCGCTTATTGTAAACTTGCAGACTAGCAGAGTAATTAGCCAGTTCCATCAGTATGCTGCAGCTTTTGTGTGCAAAATTATAGAGGCTTTATGCTTTGAAACTTCATTTCATTCCATTTCACACCCAAAGTTTTATGTAAGCTCCATCAATCCCAATCCACCCCCCTTAACTTGACTTGTTTTTCTTGTTTTGTTGTATGCCCAATCTACAAGTTGTTATCATCATTAAAAAGATGACTTTATATTTGTAGGTGATCATTGTTTCTCCACACTATGCAGGATTCCTAGAATATGCTATTCCACGATTTCTCAAGTTCCTTCGAGAAGGTAAGAAAGATAAATGAATCATGGAAGATTATTATTGTCAAGACAGGTGAATAACGTAATTTATACCTACGTGTATCTCTGTTTGTTGAACGGTAATATTCTTTTTGCCAGGTGAACCTCAGTTTATTGCTGAAGGTGTAATTCAGGTATGGCTATGTTTTGATGTCATGTAGCTTTTGTTGAGAATTCTGAATGATGGTTTTGTTTTTGAAATAATGAAAAACATGTCAAATAATACTTTGGAATGATGTATTGTTTTACATTGTCCATTGTGTTTCATTGAGATGAAAATGTTGACCTTTATCGTTATTTTCATACATTTTAAGTGTACGTTATGCTGGCTCACATTTTTTATCATTTGCAGCAACTGCGAAAGCTGATCTTGGAAATCATTCATCGTATTCCAACAAATGACCATCTAAGAGTGCACTATAAGGTGTATATGAATAAAATATCATTCTAATTCAGAGATAAATTTGTGTGCACCTGTGATACAAATACACAGAATCACTGGACTAATTTTGATAAGGATTTTTTGAATGTCATTTACTTTACATCAAGTATAAGTTACATCAGCATTTAATCTGACTGTGAAATTTATCAAAGCTTATGCTGAGCGCTTTCTTCTATTGGGAACTTTAATCCTTCCATCATTCTGATTTGCTGTTTTTGTTCTACATATTCACGAGGTTTTTTAATTTAAGAATTTATTTTTTTTACAGAATATCCTTACTGTAATGTTTAACATGTTGGAGGTAATCCGTTACGCATTCTCGTTTAAAACAACGTTATAAAATATATTATGATGATCAATTATACGTTTGTTTTCTATTATAATGCAAACATTATTATACAGAAGGTGAAATATTAGAAAATATACAATATAGGTTCTTTAGTGTCTGTCACTTTTATTTCTCACTTCTGGCTTCGTGTTTTCTTTATTCATTGATACATTTGCTTTTGCTCTATTCATGTTTGCATAAGGACAGACTGATAAATAACTCACCATTTCATTATACATTTTTTATCAGTCGGAGAATGAAGAAAATGTCTTGGTTTGTCTTCGTATTATCATTGAGCTACATCGTCAATTTCGTCCTCCGATGCAAGCAGAGATTCAGCTTTTCTTACATTTCGTCAAAAACATCTTTAAAGAATTACCAAATAATATTGTAAGTATTTTGTTGTATGATTAATTTATTTTGTCTGTATTTATCATATTACTTGCTTCACGTAATACGTAAATAACTAACGGTAATTGATGGTTTTATTACAGCGCATTTCCTAGTGTAGGAACAACTAACATGTTTGTATATTACTCGAGAACAGTATATGTATTTCTTCTGAACTAGTTAAATTTCTGTTTATTGGTACAGATTACAAAAGTGTTATCTTGTATTTTTTATATTTTGATCACTTTTAAGTGAATGGATCATTCTTGTAGAAAACGTCTTTTGAAGTTGTGACAATCACACCAACTGGTTATCTTCCTGCTGAAGTTAATGGTGGTGCTACTGCAGCTCCTGTTGCTCCTAGTCCTGTTGTGTTAAGTAGTCCTGGTCAGTCTTCTAAAGGAAATAGTCAGGATGTTACTTCAACTGGAAAAACAAACCAACAGGTATGGTACACACTCTAGGTAGTAAATTTATAATGTTTGTACTCCTCACGAGTTCTCGTTAGTACATTGAAATATAGTATTAAAGTTCATTGATATAATTACTTTGTTTTTTAGACTATAATACCTAAGGCTGTTACATCATTGAAAGTTCTAGCGGAATTGCCTATAATTGTCGTTCTCTTATTTCAGGTAGGCTCATTGTAAACATTTACGTAATTAATAGTCTATGTTATATTACTATTCATAAATTATAACTAAACTCATGTTTCTTAACGAGTATTGATAAAAACTAAGATTTTGTTTTGAATCTACTCAGGTACAGGGATTTTGAGGAATGTGTGAAGCAAGTAAATTGAGTTGCTTATTGAAAAAACAAATAATTCTGGATGGTTTCATTTTTTGCAGCTTTACAAGACGAATGTTTTGGGGGAAATTCGAGAGTTTATTCCATTAATCATCAAAACAATAGTTTTGCAACCGTCCATGCAAGCAAGGTGTGCAATTTAATTTAAAGAAACCCTACAAAACCATTTAAAAAATAACCCTGAAATATGTCCAATGAAAAGGCCCATGTTTCAGCCTGCACATGTTTCAGCCTGCTCATGTTTCAGCCTGCCCATGTTTCAGCCTGCCCATGTTTCAGCCTGCCCATGTTTCAGCCTGCACATATTAAGGTATGATGACTTGCAGTAAATGATCTATTAGAAGAAATCAATTCTTCTTTCTGTAGGAGTTCATCAAGTTTTAATAAAGAAATATATGTTGACTTTGTTTCGGCACAAATAAAAACTCTGTCATTCTTGGCTTTTATTATAAGAGCGTATCAGGTCAGTTGACATGAAAGATTGTGTGAATATTGGAGTTTTTGTTTATTTATTTATTGTTGTAACTTGGTGAATGTTTGTTTATCTAATAAAATATTCTGCCAAAACGCTTGAAATTTATACTCAGTTGTTCTTTGTGATGTTGTTGTCCACAGTCTACAACTTAAATGTCCGCTTTGTACATACGTGGATTTGTCAAATAAAATCATACGCTCTCCAAACTTTCAAGCTTTTACCATAAAATTACTAATAAATTCTTACTTGTACAGTATTGAGTACGTTACGTCTGAACTAACAGTTTTTTCTGAAATATCTTTACTACCATAGTTGGCATTGGCTAGCAATGGTACGTACGGTCATACGTATGTGCAAATATTTTTTTAAAAAAACTGTTAGTCCAGGTCTATGGCAAACACATACATGTTCACTCTGATGTCAACTTTGTCTTCATAGGAATACGTAAATAACTTTTACCAGAATATGGTTGGAGGAATGCTTGGATTATTTCGCTATTGTCCTCAGGTACCTACTCGGATTATAACATTTTAATATAACACATAATGAAATAATATTGTATATGAAATCAAAACTGTTTATCATACATTAAGAAGCGAATTTTGACATTAAAAATATGTTGCGTTATGTGATGAATTGTCATTTAAACTTCAGCTTGATAATTAGCTCGTATCTGTAATTCTCTTTTCCAACTAGACGCAGTTGTTTCTACCTATTACTTATATGCGGTCTTATATCTTATACTCTTAGGTGCTTTAGAAATTACATATGTGTTGTAAGTCAACCAATTTTTTGTTAATACAGGAAGTTGCTCATTTAAGAAAAGAGTTGTTGATTGCAGCCAGACATATATTGGTCACTGACATACGAAACAGTACGTTGTTTTACGATTATTTTTTATGATAATAATATTCAACTTGTTAAACTTACTTAGTTCTATATTTTCATGTAAGTTAAAAAGGACGTGACGTTATTATGACGCTTTTTCCCTTTTATCTCTTGCGATCTATACAGTAAACTATTCAAGTTAAAAGTTCCTAGGGCCAAGACTTTACTCCTTTGATGCTCTACGTAATGCTCAAGGAAGAGCTATTTTTTGTAGGATTTGTTCCGTATATTGATCAATTGTTTGATGAAGACGTTTTGATTGGTTCTGGTTGGACTGCTCGTGAATCACTTCGACCGTTGGCCTACAGTACATTGGCCGATCTTGTGCATCACGTTCGAAGTCATCTACCACTTCAACATTTGTCTCTTGCCGTACATTTGTTTTCAAAAAACGTTCATGATGAATCTCTTCCTGTCAGTATTCAAACTATGTCATGTAAAGTAAGTTTTTTTTATTTCTCATAAAATATTTTACTTCTTATTTGTCGGATATGATCAATTACATTTTTTATTTCTGGAAAATGTTATTAAAAAATTCTATGTAATATAGTAAGGACAAGGACATTGTGAATACGTTATTATTACTGTGATAAGCAAAAGTAATGTTGTTAATTACGAAATTAGTTGACTGGATGATATTTTCTTTACAGTTGCTTCTAAATCTGGTCGAAGGTATACGCAAAAGTGATGAACAGGGAACAGTAAGTCCATTGATAACCTGTGTTTTTTATACCTAAATTTTGCATGTGAAAAGAACCGTAAATCTCATTCATTATTGCTTTGTAAACTGTATTTGATGACGATAGCGAAATAGTTTGTTGTATGTCTTATGCTTTTTTTTGTAGGGGCGTGAAATACTGATGAGAATGCTCGAAGTGTTTGTCAGGAAATTTCATTCGATAGCCATGCATGAATTGCCAATGATTATGGAAAAATGGTAAAATTCGTGAAATGATTGTTGACTTAAAGTAGTGTTGATTAAATACAGCATGTTCAAATTAGTTTATTATCCTATATTACTGCTATCCAAAGTAATTTGTAGTATTATTGAGTAGTTTTGGAATGTTAACGCACCATTTCATTCTTATTTATAGCGACAAGAAAAATGATTTCTCCACAAACACAACTAAAGAAGCTGTTACTGCCACAACCACTGTCGATGCTAACGCCAACATGCAGAAAGTTACATTGCCTTCACTTGTTCAAGAATCAGAATCATCTTCAAGCAAGGTAACATGCACATTGTATTTGATGCAGTATTGAAGTCGATAGTTTTCTTAATTTCTGCACATAGTATTTGATGCAGTATTGAAGTCGATAGTTTTCTTAATTTCTGCACATAGTATTTGATGCAGTATTGAAGTCGATAGTTTTCTTAATTTCTGCAGCTGTGATTTCTAAGCTTTTTCTTTAACTTTTTTGTATTATAGAAATTCGTGGAGTCAAAAACGAGCAATTTTTCGGCAGCAGATTGCAAGAGTATGGTAAAGACTTTAGTTTGTGGTGTAAAGACCATCACATGGGGTGCTGGATCTTGTAGAGGTACGTACTCTGGACAAAAAAGAATTATTTTGTCGTGTCATGTTATTTTAGAAAGCCAATCTCGCTTGTAATGGAGATCACCGCTCACACAAAATTGTAAATTCTTAGTTACGAAAATGCATTTCTCTGAATGCCTCTATAGTTACGTATTTAAGACACACTTATTTGTAAATTTTAAAATGGTTCTTGTGATTAATATATCATACAATGTGAAAAAATATTTGCATCTTGCATTAATATACATCACATAGTTTTATGCAGCTGCTCTAGATATGAAATGCAGTGATTTTTTTAGATGCAACAACATCAACCCAGGCTCAAGCTCCTTCCGACAAATTTTTCCTTCCTCAGGAGACACCGCTTTTTTCACGTCTTTTAAAATATGGTAGAAATTTTATTCTTTTGATTGTGCATAAAAAGCAATTATTGAATGACGATGAACGTGATATGAAAAAACACGGAACAGTTGTTTCATGATTCTTTATTTCGCGTAAAAACCAAGTTCAATGATTGCTATATTATTATTTAAATTCACTATAGAATTGATGAATTTTGATCACTTCTATTGTATTATTTAATTCATTTGTGCTTGTTATGTCCAAAGTCGCATCATTTGTCGTTCATTTGTTATTATGATCATTGTTCATTTGTTATTATGATCATTGTTCATTTGTTATTATGATCATTGTTCATTTGTTATTATGATCATTGTTCGTTTGTTATTGTGTAATTGAGAATTTCTTTGCATTAATTGAAATTTCAGCTCTGCAAGCATTGGATATATATCAAGTTGTGCAAGCTGGAAACGGAACATATTATATTCGAACACCAAAGTATGTTTTTGTTAAAATATAATTTAATGGATTTAATTTCATTTAAATGTAGTTAGGCCACATGCATTATTTATCCACTGCATGTTGTTGAAGACTGTTTGATGATATGCGTATGCTTGCAAATAGTTCTTCGCAAATTTAATTTGCTGCCACAACAAATTAGTCAAATTTGTATTCTCAATATGCTCAAAAAAACAATACCAAAAACTGTGAATTCTGTTTGCAAGAGAGCAATTAATTTTATTTTTTCATCTCAAAGAGAGTTGAACTGGATTTAAACATTTTATTGACATAAAGCGACAGGCAAATATTGCCTAAAGCTTACTACGACCATGCACTTTGGCATAGCCTAAAAATAATTTGGTTTTTATCCAATTTGTAATTTGTTTACATTTTCTCAGTTCGCAGCAAATTCGTATGAAAGAGGAAAAAGAGATATTAGAACATTTTGCCGGAGTTGTAAGTTACCGTATTAGCATCTGACTTATGTAATACATTGCAACTTCTATTTAAAGAATGCTTTACTTAATTTATTTCATTTAATGCAGTTTACCATGCTGAATACCAACACTTTTAAAGAAGTATTTCAAGAAAATATTGAGGTAATTTATTCCTTTCATTTTTTGAATCAATTTGTTTTCTCTTTTACAGCATAATGGTCTCTCTCTATGTTTTACATTAATCACACCCCTGATCTTAGTACTGATCTTAGTTTATAATTTAAATTAACGAGATGGCCTTTATTTTTAGTATTTGGTCAACAGAATCCAGGCTAATTTCGCCTTACAGGTATTGCACCAATAGTATGTATCCAAAACACGTCATCTATGCTTGTATCCTACAATTTCCTGAGTTTCTTCATAGATAATTCCAAATTCATTTCTTGCCAATCCTCACACTTCTGCCACCTTTGCTACAATCCTAATGCATTTTTTACTGAACAAATTGGATGAAATGGGAAGTAAGTAATCGGATACGTATAACCATGTTTTTTACTTGTTTGTTAATTAAGTATTTATTTCTCTTCTGCACTCAATAACTTTTTAGCCAATGTTGAAAATTCCAATTTGTATCTGAAGTTATTCAAACTTGTATTTGGATCAGTGTCCCTCTTTGCATCTGAAAATGAGCAAATGTTAAAGGTTTTGATACAATTTTGTTATTTTTTGTTTGATTTATTACACTTAGCGACGTAGATTCATGATTGTATGCTTGTGTACGTAAACTATTTTTCCAGTCATGCTCCCTAAACATACCCTCACTACCCCATTATACCCATACTTAACCAACACGTTCTTTTCGACTTGATTAACAAGGTTTGAGTCTTTTTTAATTCAGCCTCACCTCCATGAAGTTGTAAATCGATCTATGGAACTTGCTTGTACTTCAAAAGAACCTTACAATTACTTTCTGTTATTAAGAGCTCTATTCAGGTCAATTGGTGGAGGTAGGATTATTTCCTTTTTGCAAAGAAATAATGAGTTTTTTTATATTTAGTATCGGAATTATGATGGCCATGTAGATTATACTGGATTAAATTTTAAATTTCTTGTAGGGAATCATGATCTTTTGTATCAAGAGTTTCTTCCTCTTCTACCGAACCTTTTGCAAGGTACATATAAAAAATTGCCTCTTGGAATTTCAACATATTCAGAAAAAAAAGTTGTTGTTGCATGTCAATCATCAATTTTCATTCTGGCTAGTGAAGTAATTAAACATTTTTAGGTTTAAATAATCTTCAAAGTGGTGTTCATAGACAATACATGAAAGATTTATTTGTTGAGCTCTGTCTCACTGTACCTGTCCGTCTTAGGTAAACTTTGAACTTATAACCGTACCATCCTGCAATCACCAACTCATCCTTAGATTGTTTTTATCTTTTAGCTCCTTGCTTCCATATCTTCCTATGTTGATGGATCCTTTAGTTTCTGCCTTAAATGGCTCGCAAACCCTTGTTAGTCAGGTTAGAGGAACATGTGTTCAGAATAAGTACGCTGTACGTACATTAAAGCCTGTTTTCCACTAGCCACGTATCGTAACGTATCGTAACGTATCGTAACGTATCGTAGCAAAACGTAACATGGCGCATGCGTGCTTATGAATTTGATGGTCAATAGGCATAATCACGCATGTGCCATGTTACGTTTTGCTACGATACGTTACGATAAGTGGCTAGTGGAAAACAGGCTTAAGCCTCGCACGAACACTATCCTAAAGATACGTGTTTAACATATTCAAAAAATGTATAAGATGTTTACCAAAAAAGCTTTATAAAATATCTTAAGTGAACTCCCAAATTAATTTCCTTTCGGAATAACGAAAATAATTTCGCATTATAATAAAATCATTTAAAGAATATAATAGTTCAAGAACGGACGTGTGACCCATGAATCAAAATTGTAGTTAATAAAGAAATTATACCAATTTATAAAACATGTTTAACGTTTAATTCAAATTACAAGTTAAAAAGTGCAGTGTTTGTGTGAAACTTAGCACCGTCCTTGGATCATTGTATCTTCAACATCTGAATTGTATGATATTAAGTTTATTTTATATATCACATTCAATTCTTGATATCACATTTCCCGGGCTTTATCTCCTGCACAGGGACTTCGTACCTTGGAGCTTTGTGTTGATAATCTTCAACCTGATTTTTTGTACGATCATATTCAACCAGTACGAGCAGAGTTGTTTCAGGTAGCCATATTCTGCAAAGTATTGTTTTTATAAATTTTGATTAATAGTGAATCTTATTTGATGTTTTCTTACATGTCACGCTGTTATGTGTACCGCATGCAATGAATTTTGATTCTTATTTTATAACAATAATTACTAATTTCTCATGTACTTTTTGTTCTCTTGTAGGCCTTGTGGAAAACACTTCGAAATCAAAGTGATAACATCGCTCATGTTGCATTCAGAGTTCTTGGAAAGTTTGGTGGTGGCAATCGACGAATGCTTAAGGAGCCTCAAAGGGTACTTTTTCTGAAACTATATTGTTAGTGACAGCTTTAAATGACAACAACGTTTATAGATGAAGCTAACGTCGTTTGGTGTACAGTATCAGCTATTTATGAGAAAAATGTTTTGGAAATCTACTGGAAAATCAAACGTTTCGTACGACGAATTGTAAAAATTTAGCCTGATCTATTGATTTTCATGTTCAAAAGTTTCCAGTAAAAACGTTCGTTCTTCATTTAGAATTCTCTTCAGATTATCTATTCAACAACGGCAGAAGTTTTACGACTTCATTATACGTCTGTGATACATTGCATGGCGGAATAACTAGTAATGTGTTATTTCAGTCGTTTGTCTCTTTTTAGTTACAACCTAATGACACGACATCGATTGGGCCTTGTGTTTCAATATTTTTCACCGAAAGCAATTCTCCTGTTGTTCTGCCAATTTCATTAGTACGTATAGTCTTCTCTGTAAAATGGTGTATGTTGGTACTCTATTCCGTATGATCTATGACCAATTTTTTTATTGATGATGATTTATAATTTTCTTTGTTTTCTGTCAGGTGATCAAAACTGCTTTAGAAGAACTTAAGTCTGTTACTTCTCTTGCACCTCAACCAACAACTTCACAACAGCAGCAACAGCAACAACAAAACAACGCTCAATCTGTAGAGAATGCTGCCTTTTATAAAAAGCAAGCATGGATTGCTATTCAGGTTGAATTTATACATATTTTAACTGTTCTTCCTGTTTACATTTATATAGTCAATAGTGGGTGAATTTCCGTAGCAAAAAGTCTTAATAATATTTCTTCATTTTAGTCATTTCTTGTGGTTATGATTTCATTTGAAGATTCTGACAATGTATTTAATGAATTATTAATGCACGAGAGGTAATTATACATATATGTTTTTGACGTCGTCAATTTACATCAGTTTATGGTTACTGCGCATCTCACCTTTGAATCATTTGAACTTAAATTTCGCAGAATTTGTTTTTTACCACGTGCTTACTCTCGTGCTCAAGCCTGATATATACATGTATTTTAGTTTTAAGAAGGATTTTCCAATAACTGGGAAATCAGCCATTTCTCCTTCCGTGGATGAAGCCACAACAGAAACAGTTAGAAATGCGCTTTTGGGAATGCTTGGTATGTTTTTCCTTTGTATTATAGATATCTGTTTACCTTCACAACGTTGAGTTAAAACTTTGCATAATTTTATTTCATGGCAAATGTCACTTCTGGTTAAATAGTGATTTGATTGGGTCACAAACTATATTTCTGCTTCTCTCATACAATTAAATGAATTTTCTAAATCAAGCGGCAACAGTTCTCCAAAAGCAAAATAAAAACCATGAAGCAAAATAAAACGAAATATGAAAATAAATGCAACATAAAAACCATTTACAAATGTTAGTTGGAAGAAGAACTGTCAGAAAGTGAGATTTGTTATGTTAACAATACAAAATGGATGTCCTGTGTTTTTTTCAATAAGCTACAATTGTCTCATGTCATATGATACACTTTTTACTACAGAGAAATATTGTTGGACTGCGGTGTTTTTGTACAGGGCATTTTTACGATTAGTGGCGAGTATTCAAACGAGTCATACTTAGTGTTAACCTTCCGGGGGTGGGGTGGGGTGAATGTAATTTATGTTTGTCAAGATTTAATGTCGTTCATCAATTCATCGAAGGTTATTTAGACAATTTTAGTTGGCTTATTTAAAAATTCATATTCAGGCTATCATGCAGTTTTGTTTATTTCATATTTCTATTTCAGTGGCAACATCAAGCGTTGAGATAAGAACAAATGTAATTCCATTTCTTTGTCATATTGTGCGGCATTATACAATCCTTGGTATTGCACAGCAAGCTGGGCCTGGTCAAAGCAAACCATCTACAAGGTACGTGCATTCTTTACTCGAGGTATCTTTACTTAAAGCAACCATTGCCAATTAAGAAATTTTTTACTGACATATTTTTGTTATGTCTATGTAGTCCTCAAGGAACAGATATTCATGTTTTGATCGATGCTATTGCTTCAGTTATGATGTTAGAAGAAAAGGAGCTTTGTAAAACAGGAGAACTAGCTATTTTAGTTATGTGTGAAACTGCAAGTCTTATCATCGGTGATTTATATAAGGTAAATTATTATTATGATTATGTACTTACGGGTAAGAGTAAAGAATCATGTTCTTGAAAAATATTAATTTCATGTTAACTGTCGTTCCTTAGTTTTCCTTTGTTCTTTATCGCCTTGTTTTTCTTGAAATTGTGAAAATGATCGTTTTTCAACATCACCCGTATATTTTATGTTCACATGATGTATATAATTGTTGTTTTTTCTTGAAAAAGGCCTTGCAACTACCATTGTTTGAATATCTGCTGGAAAAACTATGTCAATGTTGTTATGAAAGATCTTGGTTTGCAAAAGCAGGGGGGTAAGGACAACTTTGATAACTTGTTTGTAATGCATTAAAAAATTGCATTTGTAAAATTTAATGTTTCTAAAAATTTGCGTTGCTATTTTGGAACGTTGCCACGTCGATCTGCGTTATTACAGTTATGGTTGGTTAAAACTGTGCAGACTTTACGACGTTTTTGTTTTCAGTTGTTAGATCTTAAGTTTTTAACTCTAAGCCCATTTTTTTCAAACGTTGCTTAGATGCAGGTCAATAGCGTTCTTGATGAAGACGATGCCTTCGAAATGGGTGATCGAACATCAACTTTCATTTGCCAAAGCTCTCATGTTTGTCATGATGGACCTTACGAACGAAGTGTCTGCAGGAACAGTTGATTCTGCTAAAGAGACTTTAGAGAAACTTGTTCGTCAATGTAATGCCCGAGATGAGAAGGTGAATTTTTCATCACACGGGCTTTAGTCATGACAAAAACATTGTACAGGAGAAAGGATATTTATTTATATGAAAGAAATCCAGTAGAAAGTGTTTTGATTTATGTTTTAGGATGAAGAGATTATTGCCACACAGAAGAAATGCGCTTTAGCGTTGCTCCAACATCTTGTGAGAGAGGTTGTATCAGCAAACACCGTTGTTCGTGAGCAGGTTTGAAAACTAGAAAATCGTAAATAATTGCATGTACCTAAAATAATGATGTACATAGAGCATACACTTGGGTGTACCATTATACCATTCATAATTCAAAAGGACTTATTTTTGCTTAAGTTTATATGTATAATTTTACTTCGAGTGTAAGGAATACGCAAAACGTTTGTGTTGATTTTTATTTCATCTTTCTAGGCTCAATCTATGCTAAGTGTACTTTCAAATATATCAGGAAAGTCAGTTTACGACATAATTGAACCACACAAAGGAGTATGTATATTTTTCATATGTTTAGAACTCATTGTACTAACCAGGTTTATTTATGTGCATGTCAGATACAGACATATGTATGTACAGTTCAGTTGTCAACTGCATAGGAATCTCTGTTTTTGTATATCAGTATGGTTAATGTATTGTTACGTATTTCATCGACAACAAGCCCGGCATGTGTTCAATGTGTTATCGTTAATTCAAAATGATACGTTGTTGTTGAATTTAACATTAAACCTTTTCCGAAAATAATCATTATTATCGTTTTTTCTTTGTAATTATAGCTTCTAGAAGAAATGATGCCTCCAAAGGTACTTTTGTTTACTTTATTTATTTCATATTTGTAGGTTTTGTTATTAATTAAAACAGGAAAAACTTACGATGGAGATTGACATTTTTGAACACATTTTTTCAATTTGCTATCACGAATTCATATGCATACCTGGTTATTTTTCACAGAAACATCTTTTGAGACACCAGCCTGTTAACATGCAGATTGCTTTGATGGTAAGTGTAGTTTTTGTAAATGAAATCTCTTTGAACGATGGATATATTTGGTGTTTTAAATCATTCGTGAAAACGTATACTACAACATTATAGGCCATCTTATTTCATTCTTGCATTAGGCGTACAGTAAAATAGCCTTTGTTGCAAAGCTTATTTTCACGAATTTAGACAGTTTATCTTTTCTCTTGTTAAGTGTAAGATGTTTTGTTGTCCACTATTGTTATCCGCTATTGTGTTACTTTGTGTTAATTATCTCATTTTACTGTGCTAAAAGCGGTGTTTGATATACATAGGATGGAAACACGTTCTGTGCAAATCTAGAGCCTCGATTATTTACGTTAGATCCTGTGAATGTTCCTGAACATAAGATTTTCTTCAGAGAGGTTGTCTTTGTATTTTTCACGGATATTTACTCATGAACGTTTTATAAAGTAAGTTTTTCTTTTTTAGTTACAATTTCTTTGTGAAGCTGAAGATTCTCAACTACAGAAACTTCCTTGCTATAAAAATGTCAATAGCTTTTCGGAACTACGTAAAAGAGCTCTGTGTGAGTATATTTAACTGAATTGCTTTTCTAGTAAAGCGCAATTGATTTTATGAATAAATTATGATTTCTTAAATGCACAGCTTGATTATGTAAGAAAAAACTTACTTTAACAAATACAAACTCAAATTTACTTTGTTTGTCCTGCAGCTGAAAGTAGTAACGCTGTTGAATGTTTCAACTTTATTCGTATTTTTTATTGGCTACCGTCTCAGAATGTCAAATGCTTAACTTTGCCTTTACTTCAAACAATTGTAATTTTTAGAAACTTAAATGATTTTTCCATTCAGATGAGTCATGTTTTTCTTACTCGTTTGCCCTTGTAAACAAATCGTAGATTTAAAATGCTCTAAATTTTTCGCATGTTTTGCATCCTTTTAATGAAAAAATTCCATTATTTTTTTTGCGTAAAAATTCATAATGGATTGTAAATAATAATTATATGTCTCTAAAAAGATGAAGTGCGTGTGTGCAAGTTTTATCTATTTCTGCAATTCTTATTTTTATTTCGTTGGTCAAAAATTGATGTTTGAAGTTGAATACATCATAGAAGGAAAATTTTTATCTTTAGTTACCTTGGCGGCTTATTATTATATTCCTCAAGTCCGAGACGTCATCTTTAACTCTCTTTATAAGGTATTCTTGTTTAAAATATTACTTTACTATATTGCATTATCATTATCAATTTAATTTCTTTATAGGCTCTAAATTCTAGTTCTGCCGAGGTTCAAAAAGCTGGCAACGAGGCATTAAAAAAGGTAAGATTTTATATTTGGGGTGGGTGGGTAAAATATTAAATCATGTATCATTATAGATTATGTCTGCGTTTTTTGCTACTATTTTGCTTTCTGCTAAGTCGCCTGTACTCGATTTTGTTGACTCGCTATTTGTTGGTATTGTTGGATTATGTTTTCATTATTTTCCTTTTGTTCAGTTCTTGGCAAAAACCCCCCAAGTGGAAGCAGAAACTGTTCAACAAGCTATACGTCCTTTGTTTCTATCTCTTGGTGATCACAGAGCCCTGAATCTTCAAGTCATCAAAGTATCATTCTAAGATGTTTAGAGAATGTTTTTGCAAAAAAACTCTTTATTACGTCCTTAAAAGCACTTTACATTTTTTCTGTTTTTTTTTCAGCGTCTCTCTTACGTTATGGAGCTTTTTCCACATTTATTTAATGAGAAACTATGTGATCAACTTTTGGTAACGACAGTTTGTTTCTTTTTATTTGGGTTGTTTGATATTTGCAGTTGGAATTTCACGAATCTTTACTTTGACGTGTACTAACGTCCATTTATCACCATTCTCGCAAAAAATGTTTTAGATGTTTCTTTAGTCGCATTAATAATTAAATTATTGATACGAATTTTGATAGACTCATTTGCAAACTCTCGCTGAAATGTGCATAACTGCTGCAAATCAAATTCAACAAGGTGCAAAGCCTAACAAAAAGATGGATGATGTAAGTTATGATTGCAAATTTTTACCATGTATATGTAGCTTGTTTATAAATATTTACTGTAGGCAGGTATCTTTCTTAGGTTATACAGATATGTGCGGCTATAATTAATATATTTCACTTGATTCCGGCTGCATCAATGAAACTGCTGGAACCCTTAATTCAAATGGTCTTAAAAGTTGAAAAAGCTCTATTGGTAAGCACTTTCATTACTTATATTTTGCATCGTGCGCGTATGTGGTTTTTATTATCAAGATAAATGTATGTCCGTACAATATTCTTTTGCCTTTGGATAGCATTTCGTCAAAAACTTGAAAAATTTCTTGTAAAGTATTTTAATAAAAAAATGAGAAATGATTTTAAAAAAACACTAGGTGTGTCCGTTTTGCAATTTGAAATTCTAGTTACGGTTATACAGTTGTACAATTTATATTGTATGAAAGTTATATCTACGTGTTATGTACGAGCATGCGCATTTGTGATGATTTATAACTATCAAATTCAAAGTTAAATACAGCTTTACAATTTTTTTGTTCAGATTGTTTTCTCGTGTAACATTACCTCATAAACTACAAGCGAGTTTCGATGACTTTTTTAAATCTTATTTTGTTTTATTCTAGACATCAAGCTCCTTTCGTAAACCTCTTTTAAAGTTTCTTGTTCGTTTCCCATCTCAAACTGTCGATTACTTTCTTTCTCACATCAACATTTCTCAAACGAGTAGATTGTTTCTGGTAAGTCGGATTGTTTGTATACTTATGTTTCTGGTGAGCTGTGTACATATGTTTCTGGTGAGCTGTGTACATATGTTTCTGGTGAGCTGTGTACATATGTGTATACATATGTACATATATATCCGTACTTCTATACTCATATATGTGTCATATCTTTCTTCTGAGTTTTTAAAGCATGAAAATATGTTTAGCAGTCTTATAGCATGATTATGTCGAAAAATACAGTCAGTACAGTGTGTTAAATTTTTGGCGTACATTTTCAAATTTTTGCGACATGATATCAAACATTTATTGTCAAGCCAAAGATTGTTGTATGAAGAACGCTGTGATGTTGAGTTAGTCTTTTTTCCTAGTGTAAATTGAAAATTAATTATTATTATTCTTACTGTGCAGTATTTCCTCGAACAAGACGACGCAAAGGCTCTTCGTGGAGCGATTGAAACAAGTCCTTTAAAATTGGTTAATAGCACATTTCTTGTCACACAGGTATTATTTCACTAATAATAGTTTACAGCAAAAACACTGCGATCAACACTGGCGATTTACTCCCTTAGTTTACTCCAACCCTAACCCTAACCCTGACCTAAACCTCATTTGTGTACGAGTTTAGTTTTATTCGTTGTTTTTCCAATAAATAAACATGAAAATGTTTGCAGAAAACGGGTAAAAAGAGGTGCCTTCTTCATTTGCTTGACTTTAATTATTTATATTTTAGTTGGGGCATAGGCATACATGGGAGATAGCAGTCCTAAGTTTAAATGCAGTTATTAATTATTTTAACGATTGGAATTTTTACCTTAATTCTGGTACTTGTTCGAGAGCAGTTTTGATTGTAGTTCATGTAGCAACAACTTTTCCTTTATTGGGTTATTTGATTATCAAAATTACGATGTATAATTACTTTAAAATTGATATTTCAATATGAAGAATAATTAAATCTTTACAATTGCTTTAAATTGAATTTTGTCATTTTTAAAAATCTATGTACTGAATAGCTTACAGTAATTGTGAACAAAAAAATGGGGCGTTTATTCGAGTCTGGTGTCGATTCGAATCATTAATTTATTCGTTTCAATCTAAACGTTTTGGCAAAATCTGATTATTTTGCATTTATTTTTAACAAAAAAATGGGGCGTTTATTCGAGTCTGGTGTCGATTCGAATCATTAATTTATTCGTTTCAATCTAGACGTTTTGGCAAAATCTGATTATTTTGCATTTCTTTTTCTTACACGATGTAGTCTCAAGCTGAAGAACAAGCTGCTAATTTTCAAAATAAGTTAGAATTACAATTCCAAGGAATAATGATAGTCAGGTACTTTATGAATTTTTAACCCCATATATATAAATAGTGTTAAACGAAGTTTACAAATTTTTTCTTTCCACAACCCACTGGTTTTCTCTATCACGATACAACCCCCCTCCTGCGCGCCTGCGCACGAGACCTATGCTAGATGATTTGTTTCTTGATATTTAAAGGATTCTCGTGAAATTCAACGATGAGTGGTTGTCACATAATCGTGTTTTGGTAAGACTAACTATGTCATATTGTATATGAGAGTATATGACTGAAATGATTATATGTATACATGTTACTATATTATACTATTTGTGTATGGCTATATAGAAAAAATTAAATTACTGTAGGACTGCATACGATTATACATCTTTGTTTGTATGTACTTATCTACTTATGACTAACTCTCCACTTGTTGTCAAATCTACTTGTTGTATGTAAATGCTGCAAAAATCATCTTAAATTATCCTACATCTTTCTTTGTTATCTAGATTGGACATTTAAGAAGGATATGGACTTCTGAGAGTTTTCAAGAAAGAATAAACAAGGTTCATAAAGCAATGAATAGCATAGGCACAACAAGACTATCAATTTTAGTTTTTTGAAATCAAAGTTTTTTAGATGTTTGTTGTTTCTTGTATTAAGGAACTTTTAGTAGACAAACTAATAAATGGTATAGTGAAGATTATCTTTGCTATAGAAATTGTCTTTATCGCGAAAAATTTTTCTGTTTCACTGGAAGATCTTCCCAATAAAGGTTGATTTTGTTATTTGTTGTTTTTTCAGGATGGAGTACCGGTTCACCGATGGAGGGAACCAAAACTTTTGGTTAAGTGTTTATTAAATTATGTAAAGTAAGTACATCTGTTTTGATATCTTTGGCCTTCAGTGGTCTTGAATATGTTTTGATGAAATTGATTTGAAATGAATGCCATTGCTTTGATGATTTTATTTCATTATTTGTTTTAGACACAAGCCCAGCGAGGTTGAATTACTGTTTGATTTATTGCGTGTGTTTACCCATCGCCATATTCCTGCTTTTCAGTTTCTCAAAACGTTTATGAAAAATGTTACGAAGGTAATCGATATTAAAGACAGCAAGGTCATGATTTCTTTTTGTATAGGAAACAAACATTTCAACAGAAATCTAAAATCTTGATGTATTGGGTTTTTTTTAAAACAGATCTATTCGGTAGAACAGAAACGTGCAGTGTTTTTCAAATTTGTCGACATTGTTCACGATGAGAATTTTCCCCAAGATTTAACTGCAAAGGTAAATATTAAATACCGTAATTGTTCAAAGAGGTGAAATTTAAATTCTTTCGGATGATAATTGTTTTTTATTTTAATCTTCAGAGTTACGTTACTGAATTTATTGAAGAATTTTTTATTGTAATGCAGGTTCTTCAATATATTATCATCCCAATGTTCGTTGCGTCGTTTGAAAAAGGTGAAACTGAAGCTATTATTGGCGGTCCACCAAATCCTGAACAAGATAATAAAGAGAACGTCATTAGTGTTTTTGTCAGTCGAGTTATCGATCCAGAAAATCCATTTAAGACCTCTGTATGTGTTATTGTATTTACTCCTAACAAACATAAATGGACATAAATTATACTTGCTGAATCTACTTTTATAATATATGATATTTTTTTTCTTCACTTTCAGCTAAATAGTTTTTTTTCTTTCAGGATGCTGTCCGTATTTTACTGCTGCAGTTTTCAGCATTACTCGTGGAGCATGCTTCTCAACACATTCACGATGTTAACAACAAGTAAGTTATCATGCATTCTCATTATTTATTCTTCTACGAAAACCTTGAATGTTTTAACCGGCTGCAATTTTGCGAATAACACATTTACAATAGATTGTTTGTATAAATTTTATTCTATGTTGAACGTTAAGATTTTCATCACCCGCCATGCAGTGTTATACTGCTTTGGTGTCACATGAAAACATAAAATACCCTTCTTGAAACCCTCAAACATATCTTCACCATTATAACAATTTATCCGACTGTTCCTTATGGTGCGTTTAGTGGATTGAAGCTGTTGAAGCAATTTATTACAACTTTAAGTGTGGAGTAAAATATTTTTCTCTTTTCAAGAATCTTGATTATTACGTCACCTTATTCTCTTAATTATCAATAATATATTTAAGAATATTTTATATTTATGTTAGGTTATTTTGTACAATTTTAATTGTTATATACATCGTCATCTAATATAAAAGGCATTATATTCTGATCTTGTATATTGATTTACAGGAAACAGGGAAGAAAGTTAAGAAGAATGATGACATTTGCTTGGCCTTGTTTGTTGCCGAATAAACAATGCGTAGTACTTAAACATTTTTAATTGGACTATTTTACATTGACTATTTTTACGCGTCTGTCATATTTTGGCGAATCTTATACGTAAAATACGTCTTCATAGGACCCAGCTACAAAATACCATGGTCATCTACTTCTTGCTCACATCATTTCCAAATTTGCCATTCACAAAAAAATTGTCCTTCAGGTAAATCAAATTCTTTTTCATTTTTCTCATTTACGAATAGACCGGTTTGACACACTTTATAAACCGGATCTTTTGTGAAATAATTTGAATTGTGAAGACATTATTTGAACCCACGAGTTTTGTAGGTAGTCTGCTCGCAGGGTAGCCAATATGATGAAACTTTTGTGTTTCAATTTCTTTCTGCCATTTGTTGTTAAAACATTTGTAAAATTTCATTTTTTCTACTAACTCAAGATTGACTAAGTTCTTTTTTAATGATCATAAAAAGAGTTGCAAAAGAACGTATGTTAATATGGTAGCTTTGCAAACAAATAGGTAAATTCAAAATATGAAGGGAGGTGATGAACAGATTGTTTTATAGAAATCAAAATTTATCGACAGAATCATTTCTTTTTCTTACAGCAAAAGGTTGTTTCTTTTCAAAAGACGCTCAAAACATATCACTATAATATAAGAATAAATATACTTTCTTGTCCTTCAATATGTACTTTCTATATTCGAGTTATGAACCAGTTTCTTGATTTACATGCTTTTAATATTGGCTTTTCATTCGCTTTTGTAACACATGTCAACTGCTGCCTACAGACAGTTAAAACGTTTCGATACTTCATATGTACTTAAGTTTTCATTTTGAGCAAAGAATGCCTCATCATTTAATTCATTGGAAATCGTTTTGCAGGTATTTCATCGTTTGTTAAAAGCTCATGCAGCAGAAGCTCGTAATGTTGTTCGTCAAGCTCTTGCTATATTGACTCCAGCTGTACCTACAAGAATGGATGATGGAAATGTAAGAAAGATTTTGAATTGTTGATTTTGTTGTGTTTACTTCTTTTTCTAGGAAACAAAATTCAAACCGTTACGTTTTTGTCTGTTCAAGTGGCTGACACTGTTGCTTTTTTCTTGAACTAAATTCTTTTTAAACTCACTAGCTACGTATATTTTAAATGGAAAATTTGGATGATTGAAATTTACCGATCATGAACATTCAAGCTCTTTGTTTTCTTACTGTTTGTATTTTATTCCATAGCAAATGTTAGCCCACTGGACGAAAAAGATTATTGTTGAAGATGGACATACGTTACCTCAACTTGTTCACATGCTGTATGTTTCTTGACTGTTTTCATTGTTTTGCTAAATCAGAGACACGATTTTACTTTTTAAACTGATATTGCGATACTGAAATGTGTAAAGTTTCGGTTTTTAATGAACATGGACGTTTCTCTTTCCTGGTATTGCGTCTTTTGAAGTGCCATTAACAAAAAGAGAGATTGGTTGAGTTAAATCTTTCAGTCGTCTTCAGATAAACGAAATATTGTAATAACCATTAATGATTTCCAGAGTACTTTTTTTTTAACAGCTTAGCTCACATTTATGGTTTATACAACTGAAAGTTTTGGCCATCGGAAATTGTGCTTAGAAACTATCGTACTGTTGTTTTTCAGACAGCTCCTAGTACGTCATTATAAAGTTTACTATCCTGTAAGAAATCATCTCATTCAACACATGATCTCTGCAATGCAGAAGCTTGGATTTACCAGCAGTGTGAGGATCTATTTAGTTATTTCGCATAATCTAGTTTTTGTATGTTGAGACCTTTTTACTTGTCTTTAGGCTACAATAGAAAATCGCAAACTTGCTGTTGATCTAGCTAACGTTATTATTGAGTGGGAGATAAGGCGAACGAAGGAAGAGCAAAAACAAGATTCTACGGAGGTAAATGTTTATTTTAGCACGCTTTTTTACAAGTGAACTTGTTTTGAATTCTGTATAAAAGTGTTCTTGCAATCATACATTTGTGTCTGATGCTGTAGGGGAAAGTGGAAGAAAAAGAAACACCAACTGTATGTGTTGATAAACTGTAAAGACTTATGCACAGTTTATTTATATGAATGATTTTCTTTTTTCTTTGTTGATATACAATATTGAATGATCAATTTTTGTTTCTTGTGATGGGCATTTTTTAATTTCATTCATTTAAGGGAGCAGTGAAACGAAGTGCAGAGGAAACTGCTCCAAATCAAGAAGCAAAAAAAGCAAAGATAACAACACAGGTAGAGCTACACATTTAACTTTCATGCTGAAGAAAAGTCTAAATATACTCGTATAGTAAAATGTGCACGCAGGGTTTATGTGCATGTTGGAATGTTCTATTGCGACTTAAGATATCCTAATACATATAATGTATTCTCCTCAGGTTTCTGTACCAAAAGACGGAAGTCTTTCAGCGTCTCTACGTGCTCCTGTTGAAAAACATCATGCTGATGCTGTTGTCAATTTTTTACTTCGAGTTGCTTGTCACGTAGGTGATCTTTAAGATTTACATATTGCATGTACGCGAGTTTATAGAAAACCGTTTGCAATTTGTGAAATAGTAGTTACATAACGTTTTAATGTTAGGTGAACGAGTCGTCAACTACTGTGGGCTCTCCAGGAGAAGCGTTATCAAAGAGATGTGTTTTACTTTTGAAAACTGCTTTGAAGCCTGGGTTTTGGCAAGGTGAGGTTTTAGGCATAGTTGATGTCTTTCTTCAAGCTGCTAATATGTATAAAATATGTTTCACCCCGAGCGCACCTTTGAAATCACGTGCTTGTTAGATCTCGGGATTGTGTAAGGGGATTGCTTAGTGCAAGAGAAGATATTGCTCTGCCTTCGACATTATAGAATAAAATTGTAATTGTGTGTTTTTGCTCTGAAGGAAGTGATCTCAAATTAGCGTGGCTTGATAAATTGTTCGTTACATTGGTAAGTATATGACGTGAGTGCATTGTTGAAGCTTTTAGAAGACTGACATTGACTTTAAGAGATCTATTTTCATTTGATTGAATAAAATCATTGTTAAACTGGTTTGTTTGAAAAAGCATTCTGTATACAACATAAAATGAAGAGGTTCATTGTATGATCTTTCATGGTCATGCGCTGTATAAGAAGATATCACATATATAATGTGTTATGTTTGGTTTTAATATTTAGGATCAAACTCCTGGAACAAATTTCAATAATGTTTGCACTGGTTTGGAAGTTCTAACATATCTCCTTACAGTTGTGGTAAACCCATCAATTCCTTTTTATTATTTGTTACTCGCTATTTTATTAATATCCTGAGACATTTTATTCTTCTTTAAAATTTGAAACTTTTGACAAACCTTTGATGAAATAAACGGTCAATTATGTTTTCGAGAATTCTATATTTCTTTATTTTAGCCTCGTGAGCATTGTCTACAATTACTTAAACCATTACAACGTGGTGTTGTGGCATGTATGACTTGTCAAAATATCAAAGTTATCAGAGCTGTTCATACATTTTTAGTAAAATTGACAAGTCTCTTTCCCCTTGAGTCAGGTAAACAAATTATTCTGTGGTTTTGGAGGTTTTTTGTCTTGTCATTTAAATTTTATGTTCACTTTGTGTCCGTTTTTAACAGCAACAAACACCGATAAATACGAGGAGCTTGAGTTGTTTATTTTTGTCTTGTTATTTAAATTTTATGTTCACTTTGTGTCCGTTTTAACAGCAACAAACACCGATAAATACGAGGAGCTTGAGTTGTTTATTTTTGTCTTGTCATTTAAATTTTATTTTCACTTTGTGTCCGTTTTAACAGCAACAAACACCGATAAATACGAGGAGCTTGAGTTGTTTATTTTGTCTTGTCATTTAAATTTTATTTTCACTTTGTGTCCGTTTTTAACAGCAACAAACACCGATAAATACGAGGAGCTTGAGTTGTTTATTTTTGTCTTGTCATTTAAATTTTATGTTCACTTTGTGTCCGTTTTTAACAGCAACAAACACCGATAAATACGAGGAGCTTGAGTTGTTTATTTTTGTCTTGTCATTTAAATTTTATTTTCACTTTGTGTCCGTTTTAACAGCAACAAACACCGATAAATACGAGGAGCTTGAGTTGTTTATTTTGTCTTGTCATTTAAATTTTATTTTCACTTTGTGTCCGTTTTAACAGCAACAAACACCGATAAATACGAGGAGCTTGAGTTGTTTATTTTTGTCTTGTCATTTAAATTTTATGTTCACTTTGTGTCCGTTTTTAACAGCAACAAACACCGACAAATACGAGGAGCTTGAGTTGTTATATACAAACCTTGGGAAGGTTATTTATGAAGGACTGAGTAATTATGCCAAGTATGTTCGCTCGTTTGTTTTTGTGTAAATTACTAAAGAAATACAACTCTTTGTTCAATGTATTTGGAAATTACGTTTTGTAATGTAATGAAATGTTATAATAATTGTAAAGCATTAAACAGTTGTACGTGGATTCACAGAACAAATACTGTACAAAGTTGAATACAACTATTCATCTAATTTTGCGTACTCAATTTTTACAGGTCTGCCACACAAGTTGCTACATCCACTCTTCAAGGTCCATTGCTGTTTCTTAAAGCTGCATTTTCGAGCTGCCCATCTTATATAGACAGGTATGCGTTCAATGAAAATGAATTTTCTGCTAAAGTTAAAATACCCAAGAGAACATATTTGTATATACTGTATGCTGTATGTATGCTTTTGAATTGTCCAATCTGTCCACAAGAAACACGCAACAAACGTTTTAAAATTATGTTGATTGGATATTTTGTTTCAATGTTCAGGCTTATCAATCCGTGTATAAGAGCTTTACAGAAAATGCATAAGGATCATATTGGTGGATCATCAGTTGGTACGTCTGCCATGATATTGCAACATTCCCGACCAATTAGAACTGATAACGTCTTTATTAGAACCGATCGAGTCTTTATTACGAAGAAAAATACCAATGTCTTTGTAATAAAGACGAAGTATCACTGGTTTTATTGCCAATCAATTTGAATAGATAACGTGAGAGCGTGTATATGTATGGTTAGCGATTTAGCATATTGTTTCATTTTAGCAAAACAAAGATTCGCAATCGTTTCTTCCATGTTTTGCAATTACTTTGGTGTATTTTATTAAGTTGTTTTTTCTTGTCGTTACAGGTGATATGCTTATAACATGTGTTGATCTTGTCAAGTCTCGTCTTTGTTCCATGGATGCAGAAGCAAGAAAATTGTTCATTTTCATTCTTGCTCAACTTATTGAGAAATCGCCTGTAAGTTTTTTTTTAACGTGTTCTTACAATACTCGTATAATAATTACTCCAAGGTCTGTGATTATTTTATGATCTGGCACCCATAACTGTGCATGGAATTCACTTTTGACTATTTTAAACTAAAAAGATTTATTAATATTTATTTAATGTAAATTGATAACAAATACTTCAGGCTCGACCACAGAATGATCTTTTTTGACCATGCCAAGACCGTTTTTGTTTGGAATAGGATTTGAAATTTTCTCATTTTAAATGGTGTTTCATTAATCTTGTGTTTACCATATTGAAACAACCCATTTCACTGATTATTATAGTCCACTTATAAATTTCTTGAGAAAAAAAGTGTACAATAGCATTATTTCTTTTGTTCACCTGTATATACCAAAGGATGCCAAATTACTAAAAGGAATAACTAAAGTTACTGAAGAATGGATCAAAGCTAGAGCTGTAAGTGTTCGAAAAATGCTCTGTATAATTACATATTTGCATGTATCATTTGTGAAGGGCATTCTTGTTACTTTTGGTCTATCAAACATGTTCATAACGATGGTTCATATCTATACTTTTTTGACAAAAAAATACGCCAACTAATTTGTTTTGTTAAGCAAATACTTTTGTTTTACCATGTGTTTTTAGGTGATTTAACTACAGTTCGTTATAATCAAAGCAATTTGCTCATTTGCATCTCTTCATAGACACCACAAAGCCCTACATTAAGAGAGAAAGCCATATTACTTTGTCGTATGATGCCTAATTATGAAAAACGTTTTCCTGAAGATTTTGAACTTCATGCGCAATATCTTGAGCTCATAAATTACGTCTACAGGTAATTTTTGCTTTTTAGTAAATACACAATGATTGCTCTACCTTCTTCATCAATATGTACCCAAGAAAACATATGACTAATTCAACTTTCGTTTTTATGTTCCTATGATTAGCTAAATGTAGCGTTTGAAATAGTTACATTTTTTTAGGGACGAGAGTTTACTTGCTACAGAATTAGTCGCTAAACTTGAGCCTGCATTCATGTCTGGACTGAAGTGTACTCAACCTCAGATCAGGTCTCGATTCATGGAGGTATGTTACTGTTCGGGACTTTCTAACATCAGTATAATGTTGGTCAACTTTTTGTGAATCGTTGAGATAGCAAATGTGTAAATATTTCTATTGTTGAAAATCAAGCATACTATACGTGCTGAAAAGCAAATTGCTTGCATCGCTTTTTCATTCGTACACATGAAGATTTCTAAGATAACTTTAATTTTTTTCGAAAAACTCAATGCTTTAATCAAGCGATATCTGAAAATTGATTTTACATTTTCCCGACGTTCTCCGCAAGACAGTAGAATTCATTCCCGACATGCTCCACTACACAGTAGAATTACTTCCAAAGAGATTGCTGAAATTACATTAATAATAGTTGAATCTTCTGAATTCATGACTCATGTTCTTTTGTTATGGTTCAGATATTTGATCTAACTGTCAGCAAGAAACTTTACGAACGTTTGTTGTACATTTTCTGCTCACAGGTAAGTGGAGAGAAACATTTATTGCATCTCTCCATCAATTTTCTCTTTTTGTTTATTTCTTTTCTTCCGATCATTTTAAGAATTGGGAATCAATGAAAAGTCATTTCTGGATCAAACAATGCATAGAGGTAATTTGATTGGTGTATCGCATTGTACACTTTGAGTTATGCTTGTGATTGAAGTCTTAGAAAAGTTTTTATGAAAGTCACAAAACTCCATTGTAATTTTTAAATAATATATTTGCTTTTTGGAGAGAATTTATTGTTTAATTTCAAGCTGCAACTATTAGTTTCCTGATTTATAAGTACTTTAGAACTTACAGATAAATTGACTGTTTATTTTAGTTACTTCTTGCTGCCGCCATGTGTGAACGACGCTTGCATTTGTCAAGTACTTTTAACAAATTGCCTTCATTGTTGAGCATTTTGAAAAGATCCAGCAAACAAGAAGCTAAAGATTTATTAAAAGCATTGTCGAAAGAAAATACAGAGTCTAAAGAAAATGACTCAGATCCTGCGAAAGTAGAACCCATGGCAGTAGGATCTTCTGAGGAAATGAACATGTTATTTGTACAGGAATGCTCTGAGGTTAGTGTTGTATACTGCTCTGTTTCATCTTTGCTTTTATTTCATCTGCCTTTTTATAACATATTTTATCACGTTATTATCATTGTCTTACTAAACATCATAAGTTCGAATTGTTGTATGTTATACTAGAAAATCTACTCTCTCATGGACGATGAATCATACCTTGCTAATCTTGCATTCCAAAACAATCGTGATCTTGCTTTGAAGACATTACTCAAAAGACATCATGAATTTTTAACGGAACAAAAAAATACAAAGGTATACCAATTTTTTCATGTTTTTATGTTAAGATTGGTTCAAAATAACAAGTCTGAAAGGCAGTGTGTTTATTCTTTGCATTGTCACTGAATCTTTAGTTTTAGTGTATGTGTGTGAACGTAAGAATGAACTAACGAATATGATTAATTAGAGCCACAAATATAAGCATCTAGTCAGAAGAGCCTTTCTCCATCATCATTTTTATTTCAGTCAACGCCATTTCTTGGAGCTTTGGCTCAGCTTTGTCACCGTGATACATCTCTTTCTCATGAAGTATGGACTTACCTTTTCCCTGAACTTTGGAAACTTCTCAACGAAAAACAACAGCAGGTATTTTCCTTTAATTTTAGTCTTTCGTTTGCGTTTTTCATATAAAATACGTTCCTGTTGTTGTATGTTACATACTTTGTGATGTGTAGTATTTTACTTTCTAGATTCTAGCAGGAGAGTTAAGTCCTTTTATGTGCAGCGGTACAAATTGTGTTCAACTTGACAGTCATCCTAGTGTTGTTCATACAATGCTTCAAGCAATACTTCGTTGTGAACCTATGATTCCCATGCGACCATCCATTCTTAAGGTGAAGCTTTAGAAGTTAGAAGTTTTATTTAAAATACAAGATGTGACAAACTCCTTTTGACTAAAGTCAAGCATCAACAAAAACCTTTCATTGGATTATATCCACTGCATTTATTTTATTTTGTTTAGTATCTTGGCAAATCTCACAATCAATGGCACCTATCAACATTAATGCTTGAAGATTACGTTACTTTATGTGAGGAATACGTTAGTCCACCATTACTTGACCCATCACCGTCTCTGGTGGAAAGTGTTTATCAAGAAGATGTTTCCGATATTAATTCTCAGGTATGTGAACATTATTGGACAAGCTGTGTTTTTCTTTTTAATCCTACGCAAGACATGTAATTATATTATCCTTTTCACCAGCCGCAATTTACGCAGCTACATTTTAATTTTTTTATTTCTGTCGATAATTTATTTTGGTATTGCTCAACATTGATGTTTTTTTCCCATAGTTTAGTTGCTCGTTTTGTCTTTAGGAAACGTTAGATTCTCTTGCTGAAATGTATTCACTAATCAATGAAGAAGATATGTGGGCTGGACTTTGGTTAAGAAGGGCTAGGTACTATATTTTCAGTTTGCGTCACTACGTCATTCTAAGCAACTTGTATAGTTTACATTGTATAAGACATATAACTGTTAAAGGTTATATTTCATTGTATAATATTTTAAGTTGCCCTGCCTGCTGATCATGTTATTTCTTCTTTTTTCTTTTCTCTTTTCCATGTATTCTTACTCCTTCGACTTCATCAATGTGCCAATTATACTTCTGCAACTTTTATTGTTTATTATTAACAAACACCGATGTTAAAATGCAACAATAACCATTTTTCAACATTCATCTTTACATATTGTTATTGTCAATCGCTTGGTCGTAGTGATTATCCGTCTTCTGTAAACGATCTTAAATTACTTAGGTATCCGGAAACTGCGACAGCAATTGCATATGAAAATCAGGGATTTTTTGAGCAAGCACAAACAACTTACGAACTAGTGAGTAGAAAAGGGACATGAAAACGTTTTTAATTTAAATATATTCTTTAATAATCTGTATTATCATAAAAGATTCGTGTCTTTACTGATTTACTGAACATTGATTCAATATCCTTCAGGCTATGACCAAAGCCCGTGACGCGCACAGTAGAAATCCTGCATCAGCTAATGTTCTTCCAGAATACAAACTTTGGGAAGATCATTGGATAAAGTAAGATTGTACTCACACACTTTAATACTGCTGCATGTATTGAATAAACCGGCTTGTTGCGTCTAGTTTCCCCCATTGCATCATACATTATATTTCGTGTTTGATGAAACGACCCAGGAATGACTGTTCTCTGTTATAGATTTCTTGAGATTTCCTCCATATAATTTTACTTTATAATAAAGTTCTTTCATTAATTAGTCGAAATATAAAGAAATGTGAATTATGTTTTGATCAATTCTTTTCAAATTGTTTGTATACGTACTATCTATCCCAAATTTTGGCATAGGCCCACCAGTTACATTATTACGTTCCATTATTGTACTTCACAAGGTGTTCTCAAGAACTTGGTCAATGGGATCTTCTTATGGAATTTGGTAAATCAAAAGGAAACAACAATCCATTCTTAGGTAAGGAGTATTAAGTTTTACTATGCTGATGAGGAAACTAATCTCTTAAACATCGAAGGCATATTAGGGTTAGTGGAAGGCAATTTATTTATACCAAATGAACAAATAGGTTGAAAATAAAAATGAACTGAACAATATTTACTGATTGAAGAGATATTTCTCGAGAACTGTAAAAAAAAGACAAACCAATCCAGCAATATATCAACGTTCCTCACGTAGTTACAAATGAAAGTTTGTAAAACACCACGTTGAATCGTGACAGAGAAATAATGAAATCATTGGACAAGATAGATCGACATTTCTCGCAATCTTAGAAACAGATAAATTGTCGGTAGACGAGAAAAGACTGATATTTAGAAAGAAAATTTTTGGCATCTTAAATAATAAGGAAGAAGTGAAGGCAAAAGTGACACGTATAGATTTGTTAGAGTTTGGATAAAAGGATTTCGAGAAAAGTTTTGGAAACTCCTTGAAACCATAACATGCCCGTTGTCTACTAGCTGCAAGTATATCTGCCGAGCATCGGTTTTCCCAAGTTGAGAAACATATGATAATAATGTTTGCTTTTTTAATTAATAAATATTTGGTAGCTGAAATGCACTGGATTTTACGAACAATGTATGAAAACTTGGTATAATATCTTGAAAATTCATTTTAGTTTTGGAAAGTGGTTGGCGAGTCCCTGATTGGCCATCGATGAAGGAAGCTTTAGCTCAGGTTTGTTAAGAAACAGTCAATAACCATTTTAAAAGTATGCCAATTGGCCAGCCATTGATACATACGTAGATGAACGTTACTTCTAGTGGTCAACTGGCCAGCCATTGATACATACGTAGATGAACGTTACTTCTAGTGGTCAACTGGCCAGCCATTGATACATACGTAGATGAACGTTACTTCTAGTGGTCAACTAGCCAGCCATTGATACATACGTAGATGAACGTTACTTTAGTGGTCAACTGGCCAGCCATTGATACATACGTAGATGAACGTTACTTTAGTGGTCAATTGGCCAGCCATTGATACATACGTAGATGAACGTTACTTCTAGTGGTCAACTGGCCAGCCATTGATACATACGTAGATGAACGTTACTTCTAGTGGTCAACTGGCCAGCCATTGATACATACGTAGATGAACGTTACTTCTAGTGGTCAAAACTGTATCTTTAGGTTGAAAAGGGTTTCCCTGACTCTATTTTATACAAACACGATCTTTATCGAGCATATATTGAAATATGCAATTCCGAAGATCAGCAGCATCCAAAAGTGGTAGGACAAAGTTTTGAGGATTTTATTCGTTTTAAACTTTAAGACATTAAAACATGTTGTCGTTTCACTTTTCCAAATTATTTACAAAGCTTCAACGTGATGTGGAAAAATTTGTTGAGAATTCATGTGCCCAAGCCATACGGCTGTGGAAACGCTTACCAAGTATTATATCACAACAACACGTTCCTTTGTTGCAGGTAGGGAAACTTTTTATTGATCCATTGATGATTTTGATAGCAATTCATTGCCTCAGATATTAATGATTGTTGGGAATTACTAAAATCTCAAAAAATATCTGCTTCGTTTTAAAAAACGAAAGACTTCGCTTAAATAATGATTTTTAGTCATTTAGTATCATTTATCTTTATATTTTGATATATTGGATAGTACAACAAATTGCCAATTTTCAAACGAAAGAGTTTTTCGTTTAACAAAACTAAGAGTTTTAAAAGATATAAACTCAAAGGAAAATTCAATAGAAGATATACTAGTGTATTTTTATTCATGCTTATTTTGCTTTTTCCTTGCAAATTTCATTTAAAGGCTTCACAACAAATTGTTGAACTGCTTGAAGCTTCTCAAATCAGAACGGGAATACAACCTCAAAGCATTGGTCGGAACACCAGTTTGCATGACATGAAAGCAATTATTAAGACCTGGAAGTTAGTAATTTCACCCTTATGTCATGAAATTTTCTTCGTTTTTTGAAGCTTCCTCCAACACAGAGCTACCTAAATATCTCGTAGTTGGTCATCTCACCATTACGTAATGATATATTTTAAGCTATGTTAATATAGCCTTCACCAATGTGAGCAACCTACATGTGACGTTTCTTTTGAAGTCATGCTTATGATTTCCATTTATTTAGGAACCGTTTACCGATGATATCTGATGGTTTAAGTCACTGGAGTGACATATTCCATTGGCGACATCATCATTACAATGCTGTTGTTAGTGCTTATGAAGCTCAAAATGATCAGGTTTGAAAAATTTTCTTTATCGAGGGATAATTGATGCAACCCTCAATGTATAGAGGCTATCTCATCTTGCCTGTCTACATTCTCATCATAAAACAGAAAAGTTGATAAAAAATGTAAATCTAAACGTTTTTTGTATCATTTACGACTGTGCACATTATCTACTTTTTTTATATTTAAATATACAAATTAATAAGTGTTTCCAACCCATTTCCTCGGCTTGTGTTGTATGAACATAATCATATCAATATTATATGCTTAAGATCTTGTATTACGTTTTTTTTGTTTCAGACCAACCATTCAATGCAGGGTGTTCACGCATCTGCGTGGTCAATTATTCGCTATGGTCAAATTGCAAGGAAACAATCATTAACTGGTGTTTGTTTGGATTCACTTAGCAGGTGGGAAAATTTACAATCTGGGAATATATTTTTGATAAAACTTCCTGGTAAAATGTTGTTTTGTTTTAATACTGATATATCTTTATGTATTAACTACCATACACAAAGTTACTCGTCGCATATAGAAATGACATTTTTATTGACTCTTAGTAGAAAATATTTGTTCAACAATATATTTTGCTCAGTACATTTTTTTATATATTTTTTGGTTTTTTTTTCTCGTAGAATTCACACGATCCCAAGTGTTCCAATAATTGATTGTTTTCAAAAAATCCGTCAGCAAGTCAAATGCTATCTTCAGATGGCTGGTACAATGAGAAAACAAGAATTGCAGGAGGTAAATAGTCGAGTCAGATTTATGTTTCCATGTGTTGTGGTAATATATTTATATTGTATTTATCATGCTCCATTATTGTTAATATTTGAATGGTTGTCTAACTTTTTCTTTTTTCAGGGTCTTGACGTTATCGAAAGCACAAATTTAAAGTACTTTTCAAAGGAAATGACCGCTGAATTTTATGCATTAAAAGGAACTTTCTTAGCGCAGATTGGACGGTAAATTGAAATTATTGTGCACGTTTTCCTCTTTTTGAAAGACCAATGTTCATGTACTTTTTACTCCGTAGCAAGCATTTAAAATGCCGTTTGCTGGCATGTCAACTAACTTTTATCAAATTTACGGATACACGTGCCGCATACAGTTGATGAAAATAATTCTTTTTGTTCGAATGAGGATTTCAAACAATATCTATTGTTTTTTCATACACACGAACAATTTATTTTTTTATACTAGTAGTATTCTTATGTGGCAACGTCGAGATTATTTTGCTTTGACTAAACGATTATCTTTTTAAGTTTTTGCCAACCATTGTTGAACTATGCAAAGGAGATTTTGAAATAGATTTTGATCTTTTGAAAATCTTTAGATCAGAGGATGCAAATAAAGCCTTCTCACAGGCCGTACAGATGCATGACAACTTGATCAAAGGATGGGCACTGTGGGGCGACTATCTTGCTGCTATATTTCTGAAAGAAAGGTATGTTGATATTGTTGTTAAACTATCTAGAAACATCGAAAATAGAAATGACAAAAGCCTATTTGCCAATTTCTGCTTTTCTGTCTTTACACCATAAGGTAAAATACTGAACGTTTTGGGAATTTTATATTTCTCTGATTGATGTAAAAGTCAACCTTCAAATATGTTTTTTCATAGTAAATCTTTATTTACATCATTGGTCATACAACCAGAAATATGACATAATTTGAGCAGCATTTGTCGAATGCCTTAAGTACACAATATTTCGAGCGAGGGTCGTGTCAGGAGAGGATAAGAGAAAAGTTATGAAAATAAGCAAAATGTACAATCTTCGTTGTACAAATTTCAATTTTATTGTTTATGTTCTCATTTCTTTTCCGTCACGCTTTTTGATAGATTTAATAGAACAATTGTACAAATTAATTATTTCACTGTTGTTCAACTATTATGATAAATATATGTTGACACTAAAGATAAATTATTTGTATAGAACAATGACACTGGGAGTTTATGTTATCATTTGCTATATGCAAGCATGTCGAAACCCTAACGAAGCAAAATGTCGCAAGTATCTCGCTCGTACCCTTTGGCTTCTTACCTATGATGATGAAAAGGTACTTTAGTTTTTGTCGAAGAAAACATTGAGCTGTTTGAGCACATTCTATCTAATACTCTTTGCACTAGCTGCATGCTTTATATGAACAGTCCATATCTTTTATTTTCTCGTTTGTTGTATTTCGTTTTTTTCATGCTCAATGACAATGACAAAATGTCAGATTTTCATTGATACTAAAACTGACAGTGGTAGAAGGACCATACATTATGTGTTTGTATAATTGAATATATCTTTATACTGATATGTACGTAGGGTGTCCTTGGAGAAGCTTTGGAGAAGTACTGTGTTGGAGTGCCTCCTGTTCATTGGTTACCATGGTAAGATATATTTATTAACTATCCTTTAGAGGATTGCTATCGCGGGGACGTACAAACATGATGGATATTTTAAAATTTACAAAAGTGTTGCTTTTATTACAATATGTCGTCATTTCACGATCATGAATTTGTAGCTGTTCTTTGAATCAAACTCGTTTTCACGAAATTGAAACTTCTTCTTTTACATTATGTAAAGAAACATGGATAAAGAAAGAAATTGTAATTTAAGACTTTTGATTATGTATTAAAAATTTGTTATTTCTTGATAAAACAAATTGTACAAAATAATAAATTGCTTTTACTAGTTTATCACACCGTGTCCTTTTTGATGTATTTACAGTGAAAGAATTCCATTACTTTTTTATGAAAATGAAATAAGTTGTGGAGAAGAAAGCCTGAGATTTTTTGTTTTGGAAAATTATTGATTTCTTTCGAAAATATGTTTCAATCGTTGTTTTTTTCTGTAAATAAACAAAAAATGTTTTCGCAGCATGAACATGTCAAGTTTTTCTTCTATATTGTGGGTTTTCCATCTTCAGGATTCCTCAGCTTCTCACTTGCTTAACGCGGAAAGATGGATTAAAAGTTTCAAACTTACTTCTTCAAATTGGTCGAGTCCACGCACAGGTTTGTTTACTATGTTATTATGTAGGGATTATAATCTAGCATATGATGATTTCCTGGCTAACAAAGTTAAAGGTTGTAGGATTTTTCCCCACAGATTATTGGTGCTCAATATCATTCTCAAAGTGTTAATTTTCTTTGTTGTGAGCTTTCAGGAAATTTCCTGGGAACGAAGTTAATTGATGTGACGGAAGCTTTTTTAATGATTGTTTATTTTTCAAATAATTTAAGATGTTTTTTATCTTCGTTAGGCTGTTTATTTCCCTATCAGAACTTTGTATCTTGCATTAAAACTGGAGCTCCTAGAAAAGTGTAAGTGATACTTATGCATCTTTGGCTATTGTGGTGAAATATTTTTGCAAAATATACATATATTTACAAACTTTTTTCTGATCATCGATTTTCCATTTCTATACAATCACTGTATATGTAGAGTAACAATCAAAGTGTTCCTATTTTTGAAAATGTTGTTAATTTTAATCAAAATTGTTTCAACTGCATGCTGTCAATTGTCATCGTTTAGAATCATTTTCTGTTCATTTCAGACAAACATGAAAATAACACAGGAGCAAATAAAACCAGTAAACAAAGCTCAACGACATCCACTACAAGTACAACTACAACTACAATGACAACTGCTTCTATATTACCTACTTCCACAATGATTAACCCTACAGATGAACAAAATACCAAAGTTGAAGCCACCTTATCTATCTCAACAGTAACACAGAATGCAACTAGCGTTAACAAGACCTCGATAGTAAGAGAAAATTATGTTTGGTCTGCAAGTGTAACTTTTTCTGCTGAAATGGTTTAGTAATTATACCAAATAAGTGATTACCCGAATTATTTTAAACTTTGTGCAAGGGAAACTTCAAGGGATAAATGCTGCATGAGATTTTTGTGTATATTTTAGTCCCAGAGTTCATCAGTTGACTCAACAAGCAGCTCAGATAGCGCTTTAAAACCCAATGAATGTAACACTTCAACAACCTCTTCCAATTCTGCTGCTTTACAAGGCAAGTGACGAGTTTCGTGTTAAAATACTCAAATTTCGCGTATTTTCTGTTCTCAGTACATATTTAATCCCTCATATCTACATATAATACATAGCTATGATTAACTGTTTAGCTACTCTAGTTTGATGAATGTGAGCTCAAGACACATCTGTTGAATATTTAGTGTATTATTTTTTACGTCCTGTAGGTCAGGGGGGAGGAGAGGCAATGCGTGTAACTCCTTCAATGCGGTTATGCAGTCGCATAATGCATGCGTTACGTGATCTGCATCCTACTTTACTGGCTGCTCTTGAAGGCATTGTTGATCAGGTATAGATCAATTTAGAAATAAAAGATGTTTACTGTGTTAACACTAGCTTTGAGGAGACCTTTTGGACAACTAGAGAGCTGTTCACTGCATAGAGGTTTGCATCTCGTCCAGAGTTCTCACTAATGTCCCCGAGACTTGCAAATGCACAAAAGATATAATTATAAAATAAAAACAATTCAACGCGTCCGGTCATTGGGTCTGTGAAAACCGATCTGCGCTCAATCAATTAAATCAATCAAAGAGAATTTGCAAATCAATCATTAATACTTGTTAGAGGAAAAATTAAAAGATTTGTTTTAAATTTAACGATTATTAATGCCAAGTGTGTATGGTGAAAATATTTATGAGATCAGTGTCATACTTTAGTTCTCTTTCACTAAGTAATTTTTGTAAAGAATGATTGGCTTCTCGTTCATTTTGTCTTTCTTTCTTTTGGTTACATGTAGATGACATGGTTTCGTGAGTGTTGGCATGAAGAAGTTTTAAGACAGTTACGTCAAGTACTTACAAAATGTTATCAAGTCGCTTTTCAAACAAGGACAGATGGTTAGTGTAATATTCATGCAGTTGCTGAACCAGCCAGCCAGTTGCTGAACCAGCCAGCGGCGAAGCTAGAACGCTATAATTGAAGGACGTCAGCTGTGCCATACTAATTTCTTTTCAAAGTTCAAACTCAGGCAGAACTGAAATATAAATACTTATACATGCACCCACCTGGCCAATAAATATTTTAGTTTTGCCCATGGAACATGCGTTCAATTTATTCCTAAAAATTTCAAACAAGATTTTTTTGATTATTTATCTGCAGTTTCCAATGCGAAAGTGACACCTCACACGATGAGTTATGTGAAGAAACTTGTCAGTACATTTGGAATGGGATTTGAGTTAGGTGGTGCTACATCGCAGCAAAGTGGCTCCACAGGCTCAGAGTCTCTTGCAAGACGAGCGCATGCCACTGTGCAGGATCCCATGTTTCAAAAATTAAAAGAACAGTTTACTGCTGATTTTGATTTTAAGTTAGTTTATAACTACTTGTTTTATCAGAAATAATAATCTTTTGTTGTATTTAGACTTGCGATTTGCAAAACTTTGTTCCTTTAACAGTCTGTTCTGTGCTTTAGGTCCCCTTGCTCACTTGGTCTTCATTATTTAATTGCCAAATTGAAAAAATGGATAAAGATTTTGGAGGCAAAGACAAAGTTATTATCTAGGTAATTTTGCAAAGCATGTAAATGAAAATATCAACAATAGTTTTAGGGTAACCATATTACAAGAAATGTTTAATTCTGTTTTTGTTTTGTTATTTGTTGGTGTGTGGAGGTTTGGGTTAAAAGTGAGTGTTTCGTCGGCAGATAACATTCGTGTATATCATTTCTAATTTTTGTAGTTCTTTTCTGCTTGAAGAGCGCTGTCGTTATCTTAGTGTCTTTTCCATCGCCACGGCCGATGTTGAACTTCCAGGAGAATTTTTAATGCCCAAATCGAACATCGTATGTTTATGCTGTTTGAGATTCATTTTCGCTTCTTTTTTCTACACTTGTTACACTGAAATGCTTTTGTTATTTGTTTAAAACTAAGTTTAGTTCAACTCAGATTTTTAAGTAAAATTTACAATATTAATATAATATTCAATATGAACATAATAACCCAACATAAGACTTTTAAAGAAGCCATCACAATAATACAATCAAGAAAGATAAAAGGTTTTTAATAATAACGTTTCGTCTTTAACTTAAGTCATCTTCAGATTATTATTATATTAGAATGTTATAATTCTTCAGAATATTATATTAATATAATATTTTAGTAATGTGACATTACTTATAATCGTTAATTCTTATGGCTTATTTTAGCATAGCTATTATTCCATACGTATTGCTCAATTCATGCCTCGTGTTGAACTGGTACAAAAACATAACATGTCTGCTAGAAGATTGTATATCCGAGCTAATAATGGCAAAGTAAGTAAAGCTATAGAAATTATTGATAAACGCAAACCAATCATCATTTCTCTCTTAGTAGCATATATTTGGTCATGAAAGAATCGTATTTTTTATTAAATATTGATTTGTATGATTTACATTGATTAATTTCGATGATTTTTCCCCTTTCATTTTCTCTAACACAATATAATATGTAACTGTAGATTTATCCATATTTGGTCGTTAATGATGCATGCGTCTCTGACTCACGAAGAGAAGAAAGGGTTTTACAGTTGTTAAGAATTCTTAATCTTTACTTGGAAAAACGCAAGGTATCGTATAGTTTATTTATACTCTAGTACGAAATTTATTTTTGGCTGGTATTTAGGAATTAATGTACTTTTTTTATACATTTTATAGGAGTCTAGTAGAAGACATCTCTTATTCACTGTACCTAGAGTTGTTGCTGTTTCTCCTCAAATGCGCTTGATTCAGGTATTTTGTTTTTCTTCTATCATTTGCCAAGATACATGTGATTTATACATTGACTTTATTACTATAAGATGAACATTACTTGGTAAATGACCTAATGACATGGGGCCGATTGCACGAAGCCTGGATAGCGTTATCCATTGGACAGCGAAAAATTTCAAGCTTGTAAAAAAAGGTGCTTATGTTTTTCTTACGACAAAGAAATTTCGTAATCTTCGGAACCATGTTTTATTTCAGTGATTGTTCAGTTCGAAGCTCATACCTTTTGCTTTTTAAAAGGTTTTATAAAAGTTTAAAAAACTTCCTATCCAATGGATAAAGCTATTCAGGCTTCTTGCAACCGGCCCAGGTACAACGACCACTGTTGGTACATAATGATAATGAGTACAATGATAATTTATAAGTAAACAACTTTTTAATGATAATATACAACAGTATCGTCTGTTGACGTTATTTGTAGTTATTATGACGATAATTTTTAATGTATTTTTAAATTGGTGATTTAGGATTCTCCATCGTCTATTTCATTTAAAGATATTATGAAGAAGGTTCGTCTCTGTATTATGACAGTATCATTACGGTCATGATAAAAATTGTTTGAAGATCAATGAACTATTTTGTAAAGAGGTCGAATATATTGAGCGTCTTTCGTGTACATAAATTTCATATGCATATGTTATTGATGTTTTGAGTAATGTCGGCTTATCTATGTTATTTTTCTTTAGCATTATTCAACACAAGATATTGATGAAGATACTGCAGTTGCTCTTTATTATGAAAAATTAGCCGCTGTTCAAGCAAAAGGAGAACAAAGTACACATCAGGTTTTAAGAGACATTTTTAAAGAGGTAAGTTTCTGGAACCTGCATGTTCACACGTATCCAGATATGTTCATGAGTGGAGAAAAATAATCAACCCTCCGTTTTAAAAGCATGTTATTTTGAACTCATTGCGTGCAAAAATGAATCTATTCCTTTGAATCTGAAATTATCTTTACTGTTTTTCTTCATCCTGTTTTTTATGCTGTTTGAAAATGTTAAAATTTCGCGTTTGGGGGGTGTCGGTAGCACTTCAACTTAAACAATAAAGATTGAAATGTTCTAACCAAGCACCACCTCTCCCTGGTTATATTTTAAAATTATTATATACTCCTTCATTTTCTATTTAGATTCAAAGTACAATAGCTCCCGAAGTTATTTTAAAAGAATGGGCAGAACGCACTTATAGACAAGCAATGGACTACTGGACTTTTAGAAAACAAGTAAGAACAATTCGTCTGCTGAGAGTTTTCTCAAGCTTTGAAGATGCTTGTATTGCACCCTGCATGTGTTAACTATAGTGAAATTAATTTATATAATGTTATTTACACATGTGGTGGAATTTGAAAAAGTTATTTTTCCAAATGTAGAATGAATCGTGACATTAACTCAACAACTGTATTCTTTCGTTATAGTTTACAGCTCAACTTGCTTTGCTACAGTTTGCCGAGTTCACTCTTCATTTGTCAAAACTGTCTCCCGAAATGTTACAAATCATTCGTGATAATGGAAGGTTAAACGTCACTTATTATAAGTTTGAAATCGACGAAAGCAAAGGTGAATTATTAAGTTTATGACAATAGGTTACATAATGAAGGTAATCGTTTGTAATCTCTTGTTATACTTAAAGGTGAACTTGATGCCAATCGTCCTGTCCCATTTCGACTTACTCCGAACATAAGTGGATTCATCTCGCCAGTTGGTATTGGTGGTGTTCTTACTTCATCTATGGTTGCTGCAGCAAGATGTTTAGTTGATCCAAAGTTTAGTATTGATAGCATCCTTCGAGCTATTTTGCGGGACGAAATACTTTCATGGCACAAAAAGGTTATTGTTTTGTCTTATTTGGTAGATTATTTTTTTTAATTAATATAAAACGATGTTTTTGTACAAAAACTGTTAGTAAAGGCAGTATTTTGGGGAGATACTTCGATATCGACTGAGAATTCAAATTGTCTATTGCACTATGCTAAAGGCATTAAAATAAAGAAATTTTTCCAGTCTGTTTCAGTTGGCTTCCTGCATTAACTTGCAGCTTACTCGCAGTCATTTTTCCTAATTTTCTGCCAAAATCAAACGATAAAAACATTACTGCCATTTTGTAATGACACTCGGATATATTTTAATTCTTCTTTCTTAATAGCTAGGACTCATAATTTCATTTACAAGGACACATTTCTGATTCACAAGACACAAAGTATTTAAAACACACTTATTTTATTGCCTGCTCTACTAGCATGAAAAACTCACTTCACCATTCAATGTGTCTGCATTAGTTGATGAAGAAATTACTCAGTGTATTATGGAAACAATAATACAGCTTCGAGCTTCGATTTTGTGATACTTCTTGTAAACTGCTTTTGAATAGCAATCTTTGATGTATGCGTTTGTTTGTTGTTTTTTAGAAATACGACAGTCTCATGCATTCTAATGTACAGTCAACATCAGAACAACTTGACAACGAAGATTTGATAAATTTAGTGAATAGTGCTGTCGGTTCTGTTATGACACGTCTACAAAGTAAGCTAATATTTTATCACTTTCATTTTGTTAAATTTACATGAAAAGGGAAGATTGTATAAAAGCACAATATTTCCTATTTCTGTCAACAGCTAATTTTCATTAAGAGTGTGTTAATTTCTTGTATATAATTTCACTTTTATTGCAGATTTGGCAGAATTTGATGGCGCAGAAACCAAAGTTAGTACTTTAGTTGGGGCCGCAATGAGTGCGGATAATCTTTGTCGTATGGATCCAGCGTGGCATCCTTGGCTTTGAATATTCTTTAACAATGGAGATGTCTTAGAAAGTCTTTTATTTTATGGAGGGCAAAAAAGATTCTTCGTATACACGTAAGCAATTCGTGCGAATGTGAAAAAAAGATTTTTAACGAACTGTGACATTTTATTTTACGAGTTTGTTTTTAACAAGACAATATTTATTTATTTTGTCATAAAACATGTCAAACTTCAATAATGAGAATGTATAAGATGTGAGAGGATATGCTATGCATGTATGATATATTTAAACGTTTATACACAAAAACGATGTGTGTTATTTGCTCTGTGAAGACTAGATTGACATTCAACATGTCACACAATAACATAAGGTTTAGAACTCTTATACAAAATTAGCAAGTGTAAGTATGTTAGTAAGTTCTACTCTACCTTTTTGCGAGTGGCACTCCTCAAAGAACCGCTCTATTTTTGCACATATTCGATGAAATGTGACGTCTGGAAAAAACTCTTAAAATTTAAAAAATGGCACTTTATATAAATGCTCTGTGTCAGACGCAGCTGAAATCACGAAATCTCTACTTGGTTTGCCCCGTGAACAGTGGCGTCTACAGCTCGATTATTTAGGTAGGGGGACAAGACAATTGATTTCAAAAGATTTTAATTACGAAAAACTTGCATATATGAGTTCACCGACGGTGAACTCTATTTGAATTCTAGTTGAGGTAGAACTTCATTTCAAGTTGTCAAATATTATGACAGTTATGGGAGAAAAGTTTTTGCCTAAAGGAAAGTTGCCATTATTTAATTATTTATTACCATTTGCTATTGTTACTTCCGGAAGTAATTACACAAGTAAAGGAAGTAGCTGACGAGTGAAGGAGTGGTTACAAAGTTGAGGGGGGATTTCAAATTAATTAACAATGTTGAACAATGTGTATTACCGTATTTGCATGCAAAATTGTATTAGAGTTTACGCACTTTTTAATATGAGTTTTTCTACTTTATGTTTTACTTTTTCATGATATCGTTCTCCAGTTTCAATATCAAAGATAGAAAGAATGTCGTCGCCATTACTATTTTCAACACCTGGTCTTCAAAATAACACAACTTTATACGAGTTCAACTCACAGTTTGTGTCTGGTGAGAAGGATTCAGCGTCATGTTATTATAATTTTGGACAGGTATCTCCTACAGCTTTTTTTGTCGCGACTAATCAAGATAAATTAGACATAGATTTCTTCTAATTTCTATCATGGCGCATTCACTACCTTCTATATTAAGATGTGTGTGTCGGTTCTTCATTTTTTAATAATATTGTGATATTTTACAGATATATAACTGTGATACACTTCTCTACAATAGGCCTGCTAATTCATATGATTCTGACATGTGACAGATGATATAGACACATTTCTCTTGATTTTTGTCAGATGTACCAGACACTATATGACTGATAGTTTTACAATCAAAATGTTTCATCATGTGCACTATTTATATCTTTTTTCAACTTAAATGTTATTTTATCAAGCATAAATTTTATTTTGTCCTACTCTGTGCCTCTCAATATCTTTAATTATACTTTTATCTGTTTTATAAATGCAATATATTTTCTAATATCAAACAATAAAATCCACGATTAAAATGAACATGGTTACCAGGGGAAAAATCTCACCAACAGAGCTTTACATCTTATTTTAAGCTGATTTTGAAATTTAACAGATTCATAAATGTTGGGTTGTTTTTTCATCCCAATTCATCTATTCTTTAAATTTCATCTGTCTGTTTGTCACTGCACAACTGTTAAGTGTAGTACTCTATTCAGTTATTGATAATTTATGTGTGTTCATCTTACCTTTATCATTTTAAGTACTAAGAGAAAACTAAGATTGATGACAATAGCCAAACCTATGAAGAAGGTTAAGATAAATACTTAGTTTTAAATATCTTCTATTTTCATAAAATAATGTGGAGACCAATTTGCAAATTAAGTACTCACCAAGCTAATGTTTTATGTACAAAGTTTTTGCACCGACTCAAATTTTATGCAGAATATAATCAAATATGTTTGCAATCAGATAAATGTTCAATTTGTTCAAACTCTGTTGTTTCATGATCGTTTTCTTTCATTTATAAAATGAGTATCTACTCAATTATTTTTATTAGGATGGAGAATTTGATCAAATATCAGCAATTGAGGATCCATTGAAGATGCCAACAAACCTTGCAAGAGAAAGTTTTTCTGAATCTCCATTTCTGGAAATTAATGAGACTCTGCTGCAAAAATTGTACAATACATGGTAAGTATGTACGTATGTTTATTCAAACTTGATGAACACGTGTAAATGCTGTCGACATATCTTTGTTTAGATATTATTTTTTTATAAATTTGAAATTTGGTAGGTTAGCAGATGGAATCAATGGTGTCCTTTATGAGTTAAGCAAATCAGTCAAAGGTAAGGGAAATATGTAGTTCAATATGGATATTTTAAAAGATTTGTTGGATTTCAAAGAGATAAATACAAGATTGATTTTTGATTGCACTATAGCACTATATCATGTACAACACGTGACGTCATTCTGGTCACGTGTCCATCAATATTGTTGTAACAACATTATCAGACTAACATTTTCTATAGTTTCAAAATTTAACTTTTGAGAGTCATTACATTCCATTATTGAATTTAAAGTAGTGATGAAAGTTTTTTATTTTCTGTTCAAGCAATCCAGAAGGGTTGTAGTTAATGTGCAGTCTTTATTTTCATTTTTATCATTTGATGGTCGTGAAAAAACTCGATAATTTCTTTACATGATAATTTCACCACTTTTAAATCGCTGCTAATAATGCGCACATTTTCTGACGAAATACAAAACAGGGATTGTGACAAAAATACATAGACCTTGTCGCTTTTTTGCTCTACATGTATTTTCAACTTGTATTTATGCCCCTGTATCAATTGCTAAACAACTGTACGTCCAAACTTTCATCAAAGCAGTTTTAAAATTTTGTTTGGCCTGTTCAGGCACATTTTGGCTGGAGTGTTCATTTATAAATGTGGTTTATCAAATTCCTATTTACGCAGATACTTCCAAAATCACTTTCCACTTGCAAACTCATTATAGAATAGCTAATCACAACAATTTTTGTCAGAATATAGATTATTTTCGGCCAAACACATACCTATTTAAAGGAAAAGTCAGCGCATAATGATCTACATACGTGGATTTTAATGAGAGAGAAAATAATATAGATTATCTTTGGCCAAACACGTACCTATTTAAAGGAAAAGTCAGCGCATAATGATCTACATACGTGGATTTTAATGAGAGAAAATAATATAGATTATCTTTGGCCAAACACGTACCTATTTAAAGGAAAAGTCAGCGCATAATGATCTACATACGTGGATTTTAATGAGAGAGAAAATAATATAGATTATCTTTGGCCAAACACATACCTATTTAAAGGAAAAGTCAGCGCATAATGATCTACATACGTGGATTTTAATGAGAGAGAAAATAATATAGATTATCTTTGGCCAAACACGTACCTATTTAAAGGAATAGTCAGCGCATAATGATCTACATACGTGGATTTTAATGAGAGAGAAAACAATATAGATTATCTTTGGCCAAACACGTACCTATTTAAAGGAATAGTCAGCGCATAATGATCTACATACGTGGATTTTAATGAGAGAGAAAATAATTGCTAAATCACATGAACACAACATGAATACACTATGATGAAAAAGAGGCATGTGGTGATTTCATAGATTTGACCGTTATAACTATTGGTTTATTTTCTTTGAATTATCTTTGAATTATAATTTCATGCACCCTTAGAAAGTAGAAAGTTTTTACAAATTAAAGATGATGTTTGTCAATTTTTGTAATATCAGTGCCAAAGATGATTTCAAACTGCGCTCAAAAACTTCACACATTTTCCAAGTGGATGCAAGATTTGGTAAATGTTATAACATTTGGTCAACAGGTATGAAAACTGGCCTCCCTGTAATAACACAATTTATGATTAGATAATCAAGTTTATGATTTGTCTTTTCACCACACGAGTTAAATAACGAAAGATTAATTAATAAAACCAAATGCTAGGATTTTATAGTAGAATGCTTACGTACTTTCGGCATTCAGTTATTTTGTTTTCATTTAGCTGAAGCAGTCATCAGGAATTTTACGCACCAGGTAAATAGAAAGCGTTAAAAACAGATTCCTTTGCCGTTTTAGCCAAAAAGCCTGGTCACTTAGGAAGTTTATGTGATCCTTTCATGATTTTTTTGTTGAAGTAATATTTGTATTATATACTGTTTCTCGACTCTATATAAGTGACACTTGTTTGGGGAAAAGTTACCGCGACATTGATTAAAAATTGGTTGAGAAGGTACATTCCTATAGCAAATTTAGTTTAGTGGTGAATTCGGGCACATTGTACGTATGTTTTATGATGTGATTACAGTTGCATGATTTAACACGCTTCTTTGGCTTTCGAGATCAGAAGATTGTCAGAAGTCTGTTGCCAAATCTTTTCTAAACTGCATCCTTAAATAATCCATTTCTTACGTAACTATAACAAAATAATACCGTTTGGAATGGGTTACATGTAAATACTTATATCACCACAAATGTCTGCCTACTGTCTCTGCCCAGAACAATGGTAGTAAAATACACGTTTGCGTTACATGTAAATACTTATATCACCACAAATGTCTGCCTACTGTCTCTGCCCAGAACAACGGTAGTAAAAACGTTTGCGTTACATGTAAATACTTATATCACCACAAATGTCTGCCTACTGTCTCTGCCCAGAACAATGGTAGTAAAATACACGTTTACGTTACATGTAAATACTTATATCACCACAAATGTCTGCCTACTGTCTCTGCCCAGAACAACGGTAGTAAAATACACGTTTGCCTCAGTTGAGAGTTTTTATAGGCCTCGTTTGTGTGTTGTCGTGAAACTCATGGCTATAATTTTTCAAAACAAAATTGGGCCATTTGTTTTTAGCGAAAAAGTTATCCAATTAAAGCGATTGCTTGGCACCCACATTTAACAATGTTTGCCGTGAATCTGAAGGTATATTTTTAGATATTTAAATAAGATATTTTAAAATAAAGACTTTGTCGTGGTCTCAAATCTAAAAATTGTTTTAAAGATTGCAGTAGCCATGACCGATGGCCAAAATAAATGTGAAATCTAAAAGATACTGTTGACAAAATGGCAACTTTTTAGAAATGTTGGTCAGGTGTTTTGTATGTAAAACTGTTAGAACTCTTAGGTTATTTTGGCCTTCCACCGTGGCAATTGATATCTTTGAAACAATTTTTACAATAAAATGTGTAGTACAGTTTTGCCAGATGAAATTTAAAAATATTCATGATCGCTTGCGTCAAAAGTTCACAAAAATGGCAAAAAGTTCATATTTTATCTAATTTTTAAGATCGGAAGTTAACGGATTAACTCGGAAATTTTGTAAAACTCTCGGAAGTATTCGGAAAACATCGGATTATTTTAAAATCGTCGTTGTTTTGAAAGAACTGTCGAGCTATGAAGATTTTCTTTTCATTAAACTGTGATTTATGTATACATTCTTTATGAAAATGATGAAAATACAAAAATGCATAATATTTAGAAAAGTTCACAAAAAGTTCACAAACTTTTAATGTTCATGAAATTTTCATGAAGAGAGCAAAAAGTTCACAAATCTGTCAACTTTGTTCACGATCTGGCAACACTGCTGTAGTATATTTATAAAGTACTTAAAAGACGTTGCATTATTTATGTTGTCATGCCAATCACGTGATCATATATACGTACACAACCAATCAAAAAGCAGAATATAGTTAAGTGTAGGATAAATTATCATGAAAATTAATGATAATTATCATTGCACTAATAATTATTACATGACGGTTTATTGTGTTTCAGGATGATACCATAAGAGTTTTTATGGTGAAAAGGTAATAATTTACGATTTTGTCAGAAGCAAGTTTTGATTGAATAAAGTCCCAGATCGTTCTATATCCCAAAAAAAACACCACCCAAATTCATGATGAAGTTATCAACATTTAATAAAAAGTGGCAAAATCATGAACCGCGACTATGAGTAGCCGATACAGAGAAACCTCATTGGGAGCAATACGAAAATATGTTCACAACTTGCAAACTTAACTCGTATTATTTGCATTGTTAAACATTTTTTAGCCTAACGATATTTTTTAGTTTATTTTTTGTTTGACCTTTTTTTCTGTTCAATGGACTTTCAAATATAGCTGTGTATAGAGTCTAAAATAAACTAGAGATGTTTATGTCAATTAGAGATGAGTCAATGCTCTTTTGACTCTGTTAGAATTAAATAAAAAATGTTCACTTTAGAGAATCAATTCCAACAGGTTTATAAGTGCATTCATAAAAACAGGAAAAAAATCCAGTCTTTATTCAATCCAAAATTACTCATAATTTTTGCAAATTTCGTCAATGGTAAATGTTGTACACTGGCCATTATGTACCTTTTATGTTTAGGGGCCTTATTAAGCTTCTGAATCATAGAAAACAGATTAATGTCTCTTGTTGTGCTTGGAGGTAAAATTATGTTTACAATTTCTATATTTCTTCGATAAATTTAGATTTTAAAATCAAATGATGTCAATATAATACAATTGTATTGCCTAAATTCTTATGTTTAAACGGTTTTAGGCCCCTGTCATCCTCAGTTCTTGCGGTTGGATGTGAAAACGGAGTCATTATTTGGAATGTAAATCAGAATTCGTTGGGAGTAAGGTAAACAGTTATTTTGCTGCAAATATAAAGTCAACAAGGCCATGCCCGATATTTAGAGTTTATGAAAATAAATTTATAATTTAAGGCAAGGGCCAAGCTCTGCGAGACTCTTAACATACTCAGGACATACAATTCTCACATCTATATCATGGAGCCCCGGTGGCAGATTGTTGGTATCAGGTTCTGCATTAAATGGTGTCATGATTGTAAGTTTCATGTTTTTTGAACTTTTCAGTCACTAAAAGACGTACGGCAGAAATTTATTTGAATAATCTTTTTAAACATTTTGTAAATGGGTCATGTGACCGAACAGAGTGCCAAAGCTTTGATAGTTTCAAGTTTATTAAATTTCTTTAAATTCAATACTAGTATGTTTTTCGTATTTTATGCGTTTTATTGTGTCGAATAATTCCGTTGATGTCGTTTTTCCTGAACGTTTTACTCACTTTGGACATTTTGTACATTTTGAAATCTAAAATTAAATTGTTCATAGTTATGTTATTATTTTGATCTTCAAAGTTTAACTGGCGCCTACTATTTTGATTTTATGCTTTGATTGGTTCGTACTTCCATCATCCATTGAATCTTGTCGTATTGAGCTAACTCAAGAAATCAACATTTATGGACGTATACGGAAAATAGATGAAACGTTTAACTACAATGACTGGTTTAATTCCTTACCTCGTTTCATCTAGTTGAAGTCTACCGTTTTTACAATAATAGGTTTGGGATGTCGCTATGGATTGTGGTACAGCTCTTCATCGTATTGGTGGCTCAATTTCACAAGTTATGTGGTCACCTTGCGATACTAAAGTATTTGTTTCAACTGAATCAAGTTTAATACGGTATTGAAATATATTTGTAATGTATTGCTATACGACCTTAAAATACTGGTCACTTTGTGCGTATTATTGTCAAGTTTTAGCTGCAGATAAATGGTAAATTTTAATATGTTAAGGAGGCTCATTTTAGATTCAAAGTGATTTACAGCAATACGATTTGCTGTAAAGTATTTTAAATTCGAATCTGACCTACTCTGGATTCGCTACTGACTCTGTTTTCCTAACTTTATCGTTTTATTTTACGTTTAGTAATTGTAGTAGTGTGGAAATGTATTTTTATGTGTTGCATTTTTTTCTTATATAGGGTCTGGGAAACTCAAAAATGGACTTGTGAGAAATGGACAAATTTAGCCTCCAAATGTCAGGTACGTAGATGAGTGTGGATATCAGCCAAAGTACAACAACGAAGAAATGCAAAAAGTTTGTGCGATTATCTGAAGAAGAGTCGAAGCAACGAATTGAAAGCGCAATTACAAAAAAGGCGAAAGTATTTTGCTTACCATAATTGTTTTTTCTCTACTAGTAAACAAAAATCGACTTTGTTTTACGTGAGTAATTTTTTGTCTGAAATAGATTGCACATCTCAAAGCCTTCCTTTCCAAAAATTTGTATTCCTACATTTCACATTATGTTATAAAGACACTTTTCATGTGTTTTTGTTCTCATTGCTTTCATATTTATAGGCTGCATGCTGGAGTCCGGATGGAAGATTTCTGGTATTTTCTGTGTTAGAGAGGAAAAGTCTCTATTATCTTAAATTTTGTGAACCAGTTGGTAAGTTTAGATATTTGGTACTTTTATAAATTTGTTAAATTAACTTTTAGTTGTAGGAAGACGTGAAGCTAACTTATTTTTTCTACCAATTCTCTTGGTTATAAAACAAACCTGAACATTGCTATTCAAGCGTCAAGCTGACAGAGTCAAATTAAATTCAAACAAACTCTTCTTCTCCTGTAATGAGACCTAGAAAGGACTTCTGCAACTAACCTAAAATTTCACGTAGTTAGTGTGAGGGCACACATTTTGCTGCTGTAATGAGACCTAGACAGGACTTCTGCAACTAACCTAAAGTTTCACGTAGTTAGTGTGAGGGCACACATTTTGATTTATAGACCTCCTGAAAATATTGTGTTGTGTTAAAGCTTCCTTGCGTTGAGATTCCTACAACATATTCTCCTTTTGATTGTAATTTATTCACAAAAACACGTTTTTTATTTTTCTTATTTGTCTTAATTATCTCACGTTAGAAAGAACAGGCATGGAAGATTTCAACATTGGTGGTGCGAAAATGGCGGTTGAATGTGCTGATCTTACAGAATACTCTTGGGAGGTGAATGACACTATAGTTAGGTATAAAAAAGCTGACCTATGTTGCATTTCTATATCGTTTTATTTTGTCATTTTTCCCCCAAAGAATTGATTGGACGATACGAAATGAATTGATCTTTGTCATCCGACTTTTATCTTTTATTTTAAAATTTAAAATGCGACTGGAAAGCATGACTTGACAGTTCTTATGTTTTTCCCTTAACATTTTTATGTACTTCCTGTTGCTTTCTTACTTTTATTGTTCTTGATTTAATTATAGAGTTGGTGGCTTTGTAAGTAGTATGACGTGGGACCCAACTGGTGAAAGGCTTGCTTTATTACTTAAAGGTAATTACGTTGTCTATTTACGCTGCCTACTGGTCATTTGATATAAATATTTGGTGTTCACCCATTGTAAAAACAGTAAATTTCTAAAGAAATGAATAATGCTTATGATCTGACATGTGTAGGATGTTTACGCCATTGCTTTGGGTAAATAAACTTTTTTATTTTTCCAAAGATGAAAATGGAAAAGCTCAAGATTATATACCAGTGTTCAAAACAAATATTGAAAATGTACTTGATTTGATTCCCAGGTGAGGATACTGTCAAATGCATATAAATACTTAAATTTTGTGTACATTTCTCTAACCTATTTTCTTGCATGCATTATATATGTATAGTAGCTACAGAACCATGTTCTATATATACTACATATGTATATAATGCCGTTTTCCGCAGCTTAGTATTTTTCCGAATTACAACGGCTTTCAACTTCAATAGGGGAGAAATATTAATCTACACGGTGTATCAAAAACTGAACAGAAAGAAAAACGTCATTCAATTTATCAGCGCGCAACATCTGTCAAAACCTTAGCCTGCGTGCAGTCTCTACCTTCTCCGCCCTAATTTTCTCTCCCCCGTAGAGACTGCACGCAGGCTGGAGTAGGTAGTTGGAATTTCAATGATTCATCTGACTGAAAATTTTTTTTAAATAATAACCATTTTCAACCATTAACCACCAAAGATTTTTCCAATATTGCGCGCTGGCGACTTTAGCGACGTTTTCCAAACTGTTTAGTTTTTTTATATACACCCTGAACATGGTGTGAAAAAAAAGTAGACTCTACGAAAAAGTTTTTTAAAACAAGACGCGCGCAGACTAAGCAATAACTTTTAGTTATCCTAAGTACTTTAACGTTCTCTGGTACAGCTGGCAATGAAATTTCTGAAAATGTCAGATTTTCTACCAGTGAAAGAACGTTGTTAAAGTCCTTCAAAACAGGGTTTGCGCACAAAAATACTCATCGAAATAGTAATTTAATCAACATGAGTCAAACTTTGGACTGTGTTATACAAGCTATCAAAAATTCAAGCAATTTGGGGCAAGCACTGAACAACGCAGGATCTTTAAAACCTAGGATATTTTTGCGGTAATGCCATTTAAAACCTGCTTTTATTACATGAAAGCCTATTCATCTTTACCATTTATAAATTATACAATCCATTCATTACTTGCTTGTTTTATTGCAATGGCAAAAAAGACAACATTATAGAAATCAAAAATCAAAGAATATATACGCTCAAAAACTAACTGCCAAATTTCCATACATCTACATACGTTAGAAGGTGTGTGGATTTTGTAAAAGATTTATACCAGATTTCTTGCGAAGTTAAGTATTGTGTTTGTGAACCACGTATAAAGGCGTTGTATGGGTTTGGACAGAATAACATAACATCACTTGGTATTTTATAAAACTATCATTTTGAATTGAAATATTCTTACCCAAGCGAAGATTTAATTCTTCGGTGTGATGCTTCAAAAGAAAGATCTCGCGGCAGCTTTGTTCCAAAATGGTTATAAAAAGGTGACGATCGAGAATGGTTGATCTATAAAAAAAATGACCATAGTGAATGGTTGGCCCGTAAAAGAGGTGACCATAGAAAATCATTGGCCTAAAATAAATGTGACCATAGAGAATTTTGGCCTATAAAAAAGATGACAATAGAGAATGGTTGGTCTGTAAAAAACGTGACCATAAAAAGTGGTTAGCCTATAAAAAAGATGACCATAGACAATGGTTGGCTTATAAAAAAAATGACCATAGAATATGGCTGCCCTAAAAACTTGATCTGCCTCGTAATATGAGGTATTAGATCTTATAAAGTGATTACTGACAACAAAAATGTATACCAGATAAATCTTTGACATCTTAGAAAGACAGATAAAAAAAATACTTTTATGAGAAATACAACCCATACAGCAAATTGTGATCAGTTCATAGACAAGACTAAAGAAAATGTGACCAATAAACTTGACAGGATAGGCAACTCATATACTTATTAACTTTTCTAGCGAACGTTAGAACATAGAATAATTTTCAAGTTCAGACGTTTGATTGTAAACTGAGAATGTTATCATGACGTTTTATAAAAAGAAAGAAACAAGAAAAAATGGCAATATTTAACATAAACTCATTTGTTATACAAAGAAAAAGTTTGTTGCATGATGCATGATAACAACTCTTATGTTCTTACATTCAATGATAAATCTACTTCTTTTTAACATGCCTATCTTCACTATTTTCTACGTACGTGTTGAAATGTTGTTGTTCTTACATTCAATGATAAATCTACTTCTTTTTAACATGCCTATCTTCACTATTTTCTACGTACGTGTTGAAATGTTGTGAAAATCCTTCCGTTATAGTGGTTTGATTCATGGATTACCAAGTAATGGACAACCTCAGCTAATATCTTTTCAAAAAAACTTCACGCAAGGAGCTCTATTGTCTGTTGTAAGTGTGTGCATATCGTACGGTATTGTTACTAAGATTATTATACATTTCATTTATGATCCCCAAATGGAATAGTGAGTTATATCTTCCGAGAGTCTCAATGTTTTCCGAGACGAAGTCGAGTACGGAGTTTCGTTATATAGGGACAAAGATCATAGATTTCGACAGCTTTTTAATAAAAAAATCTTTTGGGAAATTCGCCCTGCGAAATTTCGTTGCAAAATGCTATAAGGTGACCACGCCATTTTTGGTCGACTTCCAAGTGTTTTCTGAATCCTTTTTCTATTAATAGTTGAATTTTGTCGCTTAGTAAGCTCAAGTTTTTTTTAGTTTTCGGCTCCATGGCTGTTTTTTTTTTGTTGTGATATTAAAATAAGCGGACAATAATTTTTTCCCTGAGGGGATACATTACATGTATTTTAAGTCATGTGACTACGAATGAAGCAAAGTTAGAGTAATAATAATTTTTTGCGACGAAAGATTCATCTTCAAATTATTACGCTAGTTGTTTCATGGATTGCTATTATGAATTTCTGAGATAGTTGTATTTCGCTCCCCTTCAGGTTTGGTCGAATGGTGAAATGTCCTTCGTCCCTATGTTATTTACGCCGAAGAAGATAATTATGCAAAATGGCATTGCTTCTTCCCGTGATATTGGTATTGGGTAGATTATCAAAACGATTTACTCAAAGAAAGGAAAATTCTACGTAAAATAAATGACCACCTGACAACCATTTTGAAAATTAAAACATTTTTATATACATAGGTAGGTTTCTTCTTCAGACTTACGGGAGGGATGATTTCTTGCGAGAAAGAGTATGAGCAAAAATATCAATTGCCTTTTTCTTACCAGGCAGTTTATACAATTAGATTTTAACATACTGAACATTTTAGGGTTTGTATTGGGCTACTACTAACCCCCGTACCCTACTCCTTATCTCTATTCTCAATACACTAACCCTAACCCTACCCCCTGTACACCCACCCTAACCATAACCTTATCCCCTATACATTAAAATACACTGACATTTTTTGTGCGACAATCAGAAATTCAGAATGTTAAAAATAATTGGATGTTTGCTTGCAATGAATGATCAAGTCACTATATCAAGTATGAACGCAAAAAACTCGTTCCCATTGTATGAAAATGTTTCATTACCTGTTTGGTAACTGTCGATTGATTATTCATAATTTTTTGTCATTGTAAATAGTGTGATTTTGAAATTGGACTACTCGTTTACTTATTAATTTAGCCGTTTCTTTCCAAAACGTTATTTTCCTATGATTAGAAATTTTGATTTTGGCACATGCAGCCCACAAGCAGATCAATGTGTTAGTTACCTGTAAGCCATGAGGTTTTGCTACAATTATGTTTTTAAACTAGAGCTGGTTTGCATCATAATACTTGCATATAATATTTCTCTGTACTGAGAACTCAACTAACTTACTGAAAACACTATAAAACAATATTCTTTTGTTAAATAGCCACGACTATTGTGTTTTGATCAAAGTTCTTTTTTTATTCTGTGTTTCACTACAGTATTTAACACATAAATAGCTAAATTGTACGCGAATATTGTGCCAAAAATTGGTGCAAACCAAAAGACAATGATATTTTGTAGCAATTTTTTTCGAAATTGAAACAAATGCACACTAGCTAATGTTGGATTCATCCAGACTCCAGTAGAATCCGCTAGAAGATATGATATTAGCACACTGGTGGCTGTATTTATAATAGGATTAACTGATTTCATATTTTCTTGTCGGGTTACCAGGTCAACAAAATTGCAAATAAAAGTGGCAAAAAATTCCTTTAAGAAACTAAAAACGATCTCAATTTTAAGCTCCAGTTTCCATGAATATTCCAGATGTTGGAAATGTTGAGAACTTTGGGTTAGTTTCCACATTAATGAAATATAAAAATAGCTTAGAAAGGCTCCGCTTAACTGCATCATAGTTAACATTAAAAAATCGTTCAACTTTAAACTTTGAAGCAAATCGTACATCAAGCCACATGGATTAGCAGCTCTTCCCTGGAAAAGAAATTTGCCGTTCTTTCCAAGTAAAATCAAGAAACCAGCACACAATGCCACGATTACTCCATATTCGCTGTTTATGACACCGATTTCAAATACACAAGACGAATAAGCAAATGTTGCTATTGCTTCCTCAAGATAATTTAAGGTGATCAAGTATTTGCGAAGTAAATCCTTCAAATACTGCTGTAATACGTAAGCAATGTTTAACACAACTAATATGTGTAATACACACAACGACAGAACCATAACGTTAATTGTCCGTACGAAGCCAAAATAGATCGACCGTACGATTGTAGATTTGATACGAGACTATTAATTTAAGTAAGCACCATGAGCTGCTCTTTACATGAAAAGCTGACGTGAAAATTGTTGAGAAGTAGTTAATCGAGCAAAATTCCTATCGATATTAGTACAATATTATTGAAATTTTATATGATGTAACCCCTAAGGTCAAAGGACAAACTGGACAAAGGTTTTATTCTTTGTCTCTTCAACTTCCTCCGCACGATCGAGCTGTAACGTAGTAACAAAATTTGTCCAGCGAAGCGAGAGGTCTAAAGACGTCATCCCACTGAAGCTCGTATATCACTCGTATTGCGATATACGTTAACCTGCCTCTGCCTGGTCATTGAGCTGTTCGCTTAAGTAAGATAGTTGTTTGTAATGTTGTGCTTAGTTGTCATCGTGTATGAACGTCATGACTGTCATGCAGTATAAGTATGTGAACAGCATTTTGTATTACAACATATAAACAAAACGATGTTATTTATAACGAATCCTTTGTAAGAGCTTCAACATCCCTTAATTGTCCCCTCTTCTTTTCTTTTGTGATGCCTGAAATAGTAATGCCATACAGTGGTGGCACTTAACCAAACACACAATAACTCGATGTATTTACAGTAGACACTTCTGATGCTTTAATTTTACTTTCGATAATAAGCGAAATTCGATTTATGTTTATAAAATGAAGAAAAAACGACTGTTTCAAAGTTGCCATGATTGTTAATACAATCATTTTGATTGAGCTTATTTACAGCAATTGCTGATTTCGATAGCTGGTTGCAATGCTTAGTTTTGCTCATCTTGACTCATTCTTTTCCTGCGAAATTGAATAGAATGAAATATTGTTAAAATCTAAAACACATCAACAAATTGCACCAAACCAGGAAATTTAGTCTTCTAAAACATTAGTACCCATATTAAAAAAGAATTCATAGTTTGAATGAAACACCAGGACCTGGCCGTGTATACAATGCTATACCTTCTTCTCTAGTATTGTCGGTGTTTTCATTTCCACTAGTGTTTCCCCCTCCAATATTTTGCATTGTCTGTCGAAGATTATTGACTAAGCCTGGATTACTTTGTTCTAACTGTTGAGCCATCTGCGTTGCACTATATTAAAAAAATACGTAAAGACAATAATGAATTGATAAATAGTTATATAATATGTTTGCCTGAAGTCGACATTTGGAAATCACTTCAAGATATTTCTCGCTAGATAACAATATAATGAAAAGATGAAACAAAGAGAAAAAATAAAGTCAAACAGATTTAGAAAAAGAAAGCAATTTGTTATTACAAAGGTAACTAAATGATTAAATTGATATTTTGCTAATCATACTTTAACACGTGTTTTAGACAACGTCAAATTCGAACTCTGACAAAAGAAATAGAACACAATTTATGGTGGTATAAAGTCAGGTGTAAAACTATTGACTGTAGCTACTGAAAACACAAACAAAACTTTAGAACAATTCAAAACATAACATAACTTTAACGATTCTCTGGCTACTAACAATTGAAATATATTGGAAAAACCACCAGATGTAGCGTCATTCGAGCTGTTTGTATTTGTTTCAGCGTTACTTGAGTTGTTTGGAACTGTTGCAGGGTTACTTTGTTGGGACTCGGAACCAGCAGTTGTCGCCGTAGAAAAATTGCTAGGCTGCTGACCGCTGGAAGATGAATCTGCTCCTGTCATTCCACCAAAGCCTGACATCATATTCGTCATCCTAGATAAACGAATGACAAAAGTCATCGTTAACCAAGTGGAATTGAAAATGGAAGGTCAAGAAGCCATGTTGTTCAAAAAAAAGGTTTCAAAGAATTCAGCTCTTCTTGTATGTTGGTATATTAGCTTTAAGAGGAAAGTCAAGAAATATGAAAAATTATTTCAAAGGAGAAACACGGTTTTTATTCTATGGAAAATAACGTTAAACTTCGATGATTTAAAATTAAACTAACATTTGCTGCATTTGAGGATTTGCCATGAACTGTGACGCCTACAATTAAAGATACATATGCTTTAAAAATGATGCAGGTGTTTGCTGCCATGATACGCAAAGGCAATCATTTGACTCTTTATCTGTAATATTTACCATATTCATAATTCCAGGATTAGAAAATAGGGAATTCATAAAACTGCCAGGTTGTGCATCTGTAATAAGACTTACACAATAAAAAAGCCTTGTATAAATTAAAATGTCAAATATTAGCGCACGAAATTCTGATAGTTTTTTTAATGAATTCTTGGAGTTTACATCATTTCTGTAATCTGTTTATACCAGCACATTGCATGAATACATAAAAAAAGCTTTAGTCATTGTGCTTTTTCGATGATGCACTTAAAACAGACAACTATCAACAACAAATCAATGAAACGCACTGGTTCCTTGGAAGGTAAACAATGCTTTACCGTTTGTCTCTTTCGTTTTATCTTGCAAAGTTTTCAGATTAACAGTATAAAGTTCATTATCAGGATCAAGTTCTTTAGCCTTAAACACATACACAACAATTAGTTTTACTTGGTAAACAACAAATAAGAGCAAAGGTAGAAAAACAAATTATGAAATCTTCACAAGTAGCGTATATAGCTTGTAGTTTGGCATTATTTTTGTGCTTATGGCGTAACAAAAGGAGAAAAACAAAAAATTTGTGGTGATAACAAATTTAAATATTGCCTTAAAAAGCGTAATTGCCATAGTTAATGGACTGAACCGAAGAAAAACCAAGAAACTCAAAAGAAAACCAAAGAACCATGGGTATTTTCAGATGAAAAAGTTTGACGATACGATATCACAAAAAAAGCAAGGTGTACGTACATATCAAGGAATTGTGAATGTTGAATAAAAAGACAAAAGATGTGTCATCTACTGCCTGATGATTCATATTGTGGCTAAAATGTCATTTATTTTCGTCATGCATAGGTCAACTTTCAAAAATTAAATGATTATTTATTTTTTCACAAACCATAGCGAAATTTTTCTTGGCTTTTTCGTATTTTTCTAAAGCCATGTACGCGGTGCTATACGTATAAAAGTAAAACAGTTAAGAACTTTAAATAGTTTGGCAAACATTTGAACATTAAAGAAAATACATAAACAATTGATCATATTTTTTTTATCACACCCGTATAACGACACGTCAGTCGTCTTTCTTCAATTTAATAACTTTATTATTGGTAACTTCAGAGGATAAATTGTAAACCTCATAAAGACTTACCCCATTCTTCCATAAGCTTTACCATATTTTGGATCCAGTTCCAGCGCATCATTGCAGTTCTGAATTGCTTCTTCATGTCGACCTAACTTACTACATGCAGCAGCTCTGTATAATTGTAAGATTGTAAATGATCTCAGAAAAATACTCCAGTGTAATGCTAAAGAGAAACTATCAACTACAAATATGATACTTTACCGACAAGCAGAGAAAGCAAAGATACCAGTAAACAAGTTTACCTATTGCACAAATATACAGCGCTTGTGTTATCTAATTTGATAGCTCTGTCATAACATTTAATAGCCTCCTCGATTTTTCCATCTTTCATTAGATTGTTGCCTTAAAGCAAATAAAAATATGATTATACATAAAAAAAACAGCTTTGCAGATTAAACTTTTAAAAGAAAGTGAGAGTAATTGACGACAAAAATAACAATACCATTTTATGTACAAACTACATATTAAATAGTAGATACAAAACAAAAAATAACTACATCATTGACAATAATTAAGATGCAATGCATGTGAGGAGTTTTGATGATTTTCTAACCAACATGTATGGCTCTCTTGGTCAACAAAAAGAATGCCATATATGCCATATATATTTAAAAACTTGGAAAAAAACAAGCAATTTATTGATTATATCTAACATACATGAAAGCTTAAAGGTTAAACTTTTTAAACATTAATGACAGACAGATTATGAATCTTACAGTATGTGGCTGACATAAAGAAAACACATATAAAAAATTGTTAATCTTTCAATGTGTTAATTTTTAAAGGTCCAAGGATAATGATATGTAACCTTTACATGAAATGAAACTGATATTTGTACAAAAAATTGAGCTAGCAAATCTTGTTTAACATTATACCTTCAGTTTTAAGCTGCTCTGCTTTTTCCTTGTCATCATCTGTTGGAATTGACTTTGTTTGTGACATCTAAAGATCATGGTAAGTTTCTAAATTCATCATTAATCATAACAAAATGGTACATTAGCATCCTAAGATACATCGAATGAAAAAGTTCTCATGCAAAGAGCTAAACTTTTGAAGACATACCAATGTAGCAGAATTAAATATTTGTGTAAGAGGTTTATCGATGTGGTACTTTTCTACATCAGATGGATTACCAAGATGCACATGGTATACACTTTCTAAGCATTCTTTGACCACTATGAATACAAAATATGAAATTAATGAAAAATTTTACTTCAAGATAGAAGTTCATATTATGTAAATTGTAAATTCACAAAATTTCTTTTGAAAAACTTCAATAAAGTACATGTATCATTTTTTGGTTGATTTCAGAGCTGTTCCATTTATCTCCCCCATTGTAGAACTGGAGAGAAAGTTTGTTTTAGAATAGTTACACAAGAAGATAAAGAAGTGCAACTGTAAATCAGTACAAATTTGACAACATTACCATGATGAGATTAGGCAAAGTTGGATGTTAAACTTTTGTCAAAACAGAAAAAATATCATTTTGACTGAAATGAATGGAGTTTGTTCTAAAATGACGAAACCTCTTCCTCTCAGACAGAGTTGGGCAGGTAAAAAAAATTGAAAAGGTAATAATAAATACATTTCGAGTTCCTTTCTCGTTTCTGTTGCAGCAGCTGCACTTATACCAAAAAATACCAAAACACTTCAAAAAAACAAAATTTTGATGTAAAGTTATTGAATATCATTTTGTACCTTCCAAAGTTTCACGATCATCATCTGATCTTGACGTAGATAAGCATTCGGAATGAACAAATTCAAGGATTGAAAAAACCAAACGTTCATGAGACATTTTATGCAATATATTTCCAAACTCAAATCGATTCCCTTTTCAAAAATTTTCCACATAAAACAGTAACTAAAGTCTAAAAACACGAAAGTTGAAATAATGCAAGTTATCACTTTGTTTCAAAATAGATATAATGTGTACTTCATGTAATCAAAACTGTACAGTCTATATTGTACAACAAATCGAGCGCGGAACTTGTTCAAATGTGGGGGTGGGGGGAGCAGGGTTACATCGTTATTTTATGGGCACCAGCATGTTTAACTTCATCCAATACTGAATATTTGTATAATATATGTATGTCCGTACACACAACCGCATTTCTTCAATTTAGCCCTCTAAGGATTTTATTTCTTTTTGCTACCTTTAAAGTAAAGTTATTATAAAAGGAGTAAAAGAAGTTAATAAATTTTAATGCAAAAATGTTTAGGTGTTCTAGTTTGCAAAACACATGCTCCAATATTCATTTCTATATTTTATGCATAAACGAATTATGAAACGGAAAACAGTTGACTATAATTTTTTTAAAATTTCGACAAAAATTTTTATAAATGTGAATTGAAAAAATGCTTATACAAACCATTAAAACTTAAGAGCCATTTGTATTTTATTATGATTTCATCGTGAGATTAAGTGAAGTGGTAAATAGAAGGTTGAAGTTTATTATTGTTTTTTTTCACCTTTCAAGAGAGTGATTATTAGAGGAAGGCTAAATAGAGTAAATACGTTTACCCAATGCAACGTTTCAATTGACCATATCGACACAATGATTGACCAAGTAAATATTGCAAATAAATAATGAATAATTAAATTACGAGTTTATTTCAAAAATAATGAAACCAAGTGTTTTCATGCACTTGATATTTTATCAATTACTGTTTTGAGGAGAATAAGAGATAGAAGAAAAATTTAAATGCTCTATATGGTAAGCAGAAGCATTTGCCTTACAGTGGGAAAAAAGAGCAGCTTTGTATTTAGTATTACATGAAGATTAACCATGTTGGTGTGTTCATACTCTATATGTGAGATGAGACGTTGAATTTCACACAAGTTAACTGCTTTTTCACCGTAAACAATTTTGTAACCGCAAAAGCAGAGGACTGAGGCCATTCTCCCCTCATTCATTTTGTCTCCATTTTGCAACCAATTTCAGCGGCTTTGGAGGTCGATAGCCACGAATAAAAAATGCTCTGCGGTCCCTGCATAGTCCCCCTGCCCCTCCCCCTTGCTCTGCAGTCACTCATTTAAAGAATTTCATCTTTAGTTTTCTTTTGATGCGTAATAATACAAAGTTTTGCTATGAAACCATGTTTCCAAACAGTCCAAAGCCAAATGTTCATAATCCAGATGAAATTTATTCACAAATAGAGCGGGACTTTTTGCAATGGCTTTGAGATCACCAACACCATTAATACAGACACTACGAACTGTTTTACCATGACAGCGATGCTTGTTCCAAACCACGTAACGAATAAGCGGACTTTTAATCGTGCCTTTAAAACAAATGAAAAAATTTCTCTTAGGAGAACAAAAGTTATCTATTCGTTTCTGTTACATCTACCTGTTAGGTCAGTGAGTAACATTCTTATTTGTTACAATCGTAGTATCCGATGTACACAATCTACTACTTGCCGTTTCTGTTTCCTTCAAGTTTTGTATTTCGGTACAACGTTTGATGAAAGGTTTCTTCTGGATGGGCAGTGTCTTTAAGCCATTCCAAAAAATCTAAGGCCAGTTTATCATAAAGAGTATAGTTTACAAACATTCTTGAGAGTACAGCATACACTGAACCTTTGTAAAACGTAAAATTTCCATAAAATTTCTTCTTTAACGTCTTTGTCCGCTTTAGTCCGCGATGAACATAGAGAAAACGATCTCTGGTGTTTCTAAATATAACCAAAACTACTTTTTATGACACTTACTACTTATTGAAATAGTTAAAGCAAATTGTTTGGCATATTAGAAGATTTCTGTTGTTTTCACCTATCGATGGCCAGCCCTCCAGGCACAGCGCTAAATCCATTCATTTTGTGGAGTATATCCACAATTTCATTGTTGGTACGAAGGGGAAACTCTTGTCCTGTGAGATTTATTACGTATTTCCATGGTTTTTCATGACTGAGAAGATCTCTTGAGCAAAGAAGAATGCTTTCTAGGATTGTGTAATCTCCCCATATCATGTTTATTCGTTCTGAGGCTAAGAAAATATTTGGGAAGCAAGCGGCGATTGCTTCAACAGCACGGTAAAATATATCAGGTGATTTTTTATCGATGTGAATGCAGTAAAGGTTTTGGGGACGATATATCGCCCTAAGGAGTCTCTCAAATTGTTCAACATGCTTGTAAATGTTAATGCTAAAAGCTAACGGAAAGTCTCTTTCCTTGCCGTTTAAAGCCGTCATTATGTAACCTCTCGTTCTCTTAAATTTACTGCAGTCTTTTGTCAGTTTCAAATACTCTTCTGGTAGAGTAATTTTCTTTAAAGAATTGTTCATGATGTTTTTAGCTTCTTCGAGAGTATCTCGATCACCGTTGATAATCTTCTTACAAAATGCCGAAAATAAAGGACTAACTTTTCGAAGAATAATGTTAGTTGACTTAGTTCCATCAACGGTGCTACTTTGAGTAAGTTCCATAGAAATGTATATTCTCAACACAGCAAGAACAACAAGAAGACCAAAAATATTTTTGCACCTCTTGAGTTTAATAATTTTTTCTCTTTCGAACATTTTGAGAGAAATACTGAAAATGTTTAGATTAGGTATATCTTGTGGACCGTCTCCTTTCAAACTTGAAAGATTCCATTCATTAGTAATTCATATTTCGCTCAAAAACATACCGTCACTTGTGACCATTGTTTTGATCATTTAGGCTGGCACATTTGAACAATTGAGCGTAGCTAGCCTGAAGATTACTCCCGCTATGTAAATATTAAACATTACCATTAACTATTCTTTATAAGTAAAACCATGATAATGAGAGTATTTAGTGATTAATGTGCTTGAAAGTCGTGGGAGGTCCGGTAAAATTCCCCAGAATTCTCGCGTCATCACTAAGAAACATCATTACCTTTGGTAAAACTATGATTGCCAAAATCTTTTAGTCAGTACCTCATGCACTTTCAACGATGGTGCAAATCACATGTTTTTAGTACAAGGTCGTATTACTAGAATCAAGACCTTTGAATTTGAATAGGCGAATTCTAATTTGCTAAATACGTTATTCATTTTACTGGAACAGTACAAATTGAGGCAGCAATGGTTTAACTAATAAAAAATCTATTGTACTTTCAGTCAATCATCATGAAAATATTTGCATATCGGTCAAACTAAGAATAAATACGTTGAACAAACGTGTATTATTTCTTTTCTTTAGTCGGAGATCATCAATATTTTGAATTATATGAACATAATATAAACATTCGAAGAGTGCACTACTTGTAAACGTCGCTAGAAACTTTCTGCTGTTAAACATAAATTGAACTAACTGTTCGCCTATTCTGCGGTACATATGTTATATATGCGTTTGAAGTGCAACTATTTGTACTGCTGATATACATGGCAATAAATGATTTATCCTGCAAGTCTATCAAAACTTGTTAAACACAACTTTATTTACAATTATCTACTTTGAAAACTTATTGAAACTAATATTGCATTTTCTCAAGCATAAAACTGTAATCTATCACATTATCACAAAATAATTGTAAAATAACGACATTTTTCACGTTTATTTTTGAAGTTCCTTCGCTTAAAAGAATATAAATAACAAATCTAAAGATCGAAGGAAGGTTAGGTTGTACAAAATTCGTAAGTTATTTCAAAACAGTATTTGAAATCTGTTGCTTTAAGTGAGAAAATGTCAAGCACCATTAAAGAATGTCAAATTCTTAAGAAAATGTCTCTAATTTGTATCTTGTCATGCATTAGTTCATGATATAATAATGAATAAACATAAATAACTTTTGTAAAAAAAAACACACCCACATAAAGAATACGTAAAACAAAAACAAAGAACGAGCATTACAATGTGGATCATGGATGAGTAATAATTCTTCACTTTCGGGCAAAAAAAAAAACGATAAAACAATAAAGAGATATGGAAACTTGCAATGTATGATGGCTAATGTTTTCATCAACAAACGGAGAAGTAGATTTTTTCCTTCAAATTATTGTATTGAGCATTTGGTTTTCAAATCATTGATAAAGCTTATACTTTCCAAAACTAATTGTATTAAATTAGTCCTCGCAGTAAAATTCTGCGGAATTTCAACTAATCTATTCCCTTATAAACAGATGAAAATTCTATATAACTATTTTCTTCGATCATCTTAAAAATAATGTCAATTCATGATGACACCAGTAAATTCCACATGAAAATTTGACTTTCATCGTTATTAACCATTCAAAAGTTAGAAAGGGAGTCATTTTCATGAGCCTTTTCGATATTTCATATCGGCTAATGTTCAAAACATTAGTAATGTAAAAGGTAGACTAGATTAGTTCTGATAGTGTCTACAACAAACAAATTGCCATTTTTAAGCAAGATATGAATTATGTATTACAACAAAAGTATTACAACAAATTTAAAATTTGTTTGTTAAAACTAATATTTTGACCCAGCTAAACATTTGTAACATCTTCGATCAATCGATCTTGTCCTTCTTCATCACGATTTCGCCGTCCATCACGTAGCCATGACTAAAACATTATGATTAATTAATTACCTTGAGTGATTGTAATACAGTTTATAGTTAGATAAAGTAAAAAAATTATGTGTTCCATTGTATACTTGGTAATTTAGCTTTAGATGGAAATGGGCCGTGTAGTCTAGTATATATTTTTTTGTTTTGTTTATAATATCAGCACTTTAAGTAGCTATTTTTGCAATAGTGCTGCATGTTTAACTATAAAACATTTAACTTACAATGCATTCATTTTTTCAGCAATGCTTCGTCGAAACATTGCACAACTTTGCGTACTTAAATGATTCAATTGCAAACAATACAAACATTTTTTCACAGTACAATTCCAAATTTAAAATTTCCACACTTCGTAACTTATAAACGTTTTTTAAAATTAATTTGTTTTTTGTAACTTTGAAGTGGCTCGTTGATTAATTGATGTAAATGATAAAGAAAAGCGAACTGGACTGTGAAAAAATGGCATTATGGTGTATTCTAAAATGGTGAGCCATAGCGAACAAAGAGATAAAGACACAACGCCGCAACTTAAAATGACAATAAAAGCAAAATTACTGGTAAAAATAAAGTATGTGTAGAGTTTCTGTTTAAATGTTTAAGATGAACCTTTAGTAAATAATAAGTATACAACATAAAAACACTCAAAACAGCATAAATAGGAACGGATGTTAAATGTATAGTGGCCAATCAGATATTCAGAACCCTTGATACGAAAGCATTTCATTGATTCTTTAATATTTAATCCACATATCATCCAAGTTGAGGATTAGAAGTTAAAGTAAACAAACCGTAGTGATGACATCGCCACTTTTATTCATGTTACGATATCGCTTTATCGCTTTCTCACTTCCTTGAAAACGTTGGGAGATTTTTCCTAGAAAATAATACATTGTTTACATAAAAAAAATAATTAAATGGCACTTAGCACTGATAATAAAGCCCTTCTGCACTTGATAGAAACTATTTAGCGACAAAGAAAACTAATAATTTTTTTTTATTTCTTTTCGTTTTGTAGAATTTACGTAAAATATATATGGTACCTTTTCCATTGTGTTCAACATGTCTTCCTGTCACTTTAACTTGGAAGAAAGAACCGATACCAAATAGTAATGGCCAAATAGCAAATATAGTCCATGAAAGCCAGCATAATTCAATTTTGTCGTCAACCGTTATTATTTGCCATGCATAATCCACTAAGAGAAATTCTTCAAAGAAGAAATCTGTTGCCAATGAAATTAATGCAGCACCCATTATTGACGTTGATAAAACAACAAGGAATTTTTGAAACTTCAAAATCAGCAAAGCAGAGAACAAACCAGGCAAAACCAATATGGTTATCACTATCCACTTGGATGGGATTACGACCAGAGGTGATATAGCAAGGATAAAAAGAGCGGAGTAAAAGCCCCCAGGATGAATCCAAGTATAAACAATCCACATATTGAGACCAGAGTTGCTAGCACTGCAAAGACAACACCGACAAAAAGCGAAACACCAAGGAGGCTTGGGAACAACAAACCAGAGTAGAACTTACAAACAGCATACGTTGCAAATGCACTGACTGCTAATGATTCAGTGAATAGTGATATACGTAAGAAACGATAACCTATTTTTTGAAAGAAAAAGTTAAATATAGTCTCTGAAACATTTCTTTTATGTACAATGCTCATCATGTCGCATGTTATTACAAATACAAGAAAATTACATTACAAAAACCATAGTGTTTCATTAATCCTTCTTTTATCATTGAAAATGATCTGCAAAATTTGGAAATTGGAAAGTGTTAAAAAATCAATGCCAACCTTAAAATTTTACAGTAATTTTCAATCACAAATTAAAAAATGCCAAAGTTCATTGAGATAAACACTAGGCATTGTTTCTTTACTATTGAAAAAATGACATTCTTTTTTAATCCTTAGATTGTACAGTAGCTACAATAATTAACATTTAAAGAAGTGTCGGAGAGTAACGGATTTCCACTCGGATTTCAATATGATGAAGAATTATATCATTTATATGGAAATTAATGGAAAATGTTACCTGTAAATCCTAAGAAAAAGCCAGCTACAAGACAAACAGCTGCAATAGTAATAATGGCAATATACTCTCCGTCTAGTTCTTTTTCGATAATAAACACATTTATATCACAACTTTTACTGCTGGAATTGGTTATCGTTGGTTTAACATTCTCAGAAAATTCAATTTCCATCGCCATGTTCGTAAACAAAGACAAGAGGAAAACGCTCTAAAATAATGCGTATGATTTGAAGAAAGTCTCTCGTCAGTAATTGCTTTCAGTAACAACGTATTTAGCTACTCAATACGAGAAGAGTTAATACTTATTGCAAATTAATAATAAAAAGTATTCAGTCAACCGGACACTCAGCTAATCTTCTTCTTAAAAGTTAGAAAAAACAGCTACGGCGTTCTTAAGTCAAAATACCTGGGATACGAATATGCACAAAGTAATCAAGATTTAAATTTTGTTTGAATTAAGAAAAGAAAATATGTACTACGTGGTATAGCAAAAACTTAATTCTGCATGTAAGTGCATGATATGTCTAATATACGGAGAGCTTTAACGAAACTTTCAAAAAGTTTCGACTTAAACAAGACGAAGCATCAATTGAATGGAATAGATACAAATTATAATTTCCCAATTATTCATTTGAAATGGTTTATACAGAGAAGAACAAATCCAAAAAGTTTTCAAAAAGCTTAGATTAGAAAATTCATGTACTTAAAAGTAGCTTTACACTGTTTGGCTGCGTTTGAAAGTCACGAAGTTGATTTTGCCAAACAAGCATTGCATGTCAAGAGTAGAAATGTGGACAGGCTTTTCTTTTTCTGCAAGCTTTTGCGTTGTTTTCATGACACGTCATTTATTTTCAACCAGATAATTACGCTCTCAAACATTTTGATGGTGGTTTGAAAAACGTTATTGAATATTTGAACGCTTAACTACGAGGTTAAAAGTCATCGATCCGCAAGCAAGCATATGTTGCTAAGGAAAAAACATACAAAATAATGAAATGAATATAAGTTTGCAAGAAGTATTCGCACATTGCTGGAGTATAACTAGTATTGTTACCCTCAAGATTATCTGCTCGGTGAAGACATCAAAACGTTCATTTAACTTACGTCTAAAATTACCAGTCTGTTTCCATTGAATAATTCTAGTGGCATAGTTTTGATAAGATGGCAATCAGCTGTTGCATCAGGCCGTACAAATAAGCCCAAATATTAAGAGTTTTGAGTAGAACATGAGCAAAAATCGCAGATTCAATATTTGATGAATTAATTTCTTCGTAATCCGAGACTGAATCGAAACAACAGCTGAAGTGAAAGGCTAACGGCATTACTTATGCACATTGTAATATTAGCTTTGTTCAATAGCCGATAACAATATTTTTTTGATTTGAAACAGAACATTTTTTCTATAAAGCCTGTTTTTTCGAAATATTTAAGCTGATTAATCATGCAGACAGCAGGAAATGAATGAATAGTTTTATGTAACAAAAAGATTGAAGTTTTTGAGACAACACATGCTTGGAAAGATAAAATACGTGTTTTCAATGTCTGTAATTCGAAGATCTCAGTCTCAAATACATGCCTATAATACAAAAGTATTTATTTTATTGCGAACTGTTTCAATGAGCCACGAATTTATGCTGACATACCTTGTGCATCGTTTCACAATTGTAAGTAAGTAATATTATCTTTGTAGAAGCTTCTGTTTATCAGATATCACGTTGTTTGTTCGTCTGTTGCATAATAAATAGAGGATCAACCACAAGCGAAGTAGAGCCCAGACTCAAATATTTCTTTCATTTGGCATGTGGCAGATTGCCTTTCAATCATCAAACGTTTTACAACTAACTTAAATTTCTGTTTGAAAAGCTGCCAATACGTTTTTTTTCGAAAGAAACTTGCATTGAGATGTGCACATAACTGTTGATAGCAAATGTCATCAAATTATTTCTTTTCAATGCTGGCGAATGAAATTATAAACAAATTAAAAAATTTTAATTATGTATGTTTTATCGATATTCTTATTACTTTCAAAATACATTTTTTAGGAATACGTTTATTAGAGAAGAAGTTTCACTTCAGTGCATTGTTCCACAATCAGATCAGCGCATGTTATTCATAAATAAATCGAGCAGCTTGAGCCTTGAGTGAATAGATATTTTGAACAGTGAAATCGGAAAAGGATCTCCATTCATTAGAGTACAATGTACAATGTTATAACACAAACATACTTTGTTGTATATTTGAACTTTATTTGAACTCATCAAGTTATTTCACCTAGTTTGCCTCGGTTAATCAGTGAAGACGACTGTTATCTACGGGCCACAAAACCTCAACTTGTCTTGGCCAAGACAACAATCATATTATCAATAAAAATTCAGTTTTTAAAATTCATTTTAGAAACAGGTAGCCAGCTTCTTTAATAAGATTTTTGAATTAGTAAACCAATAAATTGAATAAAGTCATTTATGACATTAGCGATAGATTTTCCAAGCGGGAAACGTCATCGTATAATGAACATTAAAGCCGAGCTTATTGCAATAATATGAATTGGCAATAGTATTTTACTGACGTTTCGTTGCAACGCGCTACATCTTCAGAATGATAATACAATGTTACAAAGTGGGGAATATAAATGACATTATTTATAAATAAAAGTATTTATGAATAAAATCATGTACAACAGTACAATTGAATGACAATAATTTGAAGAAGCATGTGGGTCTTGTCGCAAGGCAAAAATATTGTTTAGCTTTAGGCCTTTAAGTGTAATAATTGTTGTCCTTTGGTTTTAGCAACTTCTCTAAGTATTTAAAAATTGCTTGAGGAGAGGTAAGCCAACTAGAAATCTTTTGCGTTTGGGAAAGGACCTATTCCTTCGGTGTGATAAAATTCTGTTCTAGCAAAATCTGGTATTTTTCTGGGACATTTGCTGACTCGCTAATGTTCTGAAACGGTGGTTTAAAATATTTATAAAAGCTTGTCTAAAAGACATAGTAAAAGTTAAAGAGCATGCCTTGATGCCGTGATTCACGTGCCGGTGAATGACGTTGTCGTATAATCACCATAGCAACATTCGTCGACAAGACAACTACAAACAAAATCATCAATGGCGAAAACACAAGTCATGTATGGGAGACGTGAGGGACAAATAAAAGGTTTTTGGATCAATTACTTTTTCAGACTTTGTATTTATTTATTTTAGACGTCATATATAGGCCATGTTTAGTCATATTGAGCTATTTTACTGAACATATAACTTTTTTTTTGTTATAGGAAACATGAATGATAATCCAGTGTCAATTATTCCTTCAGGACTTGATGCCAGAGATGTAATTTTAAATATTTTTACACAAATAAAAAATTCAAATGGGAGGAGTAGTAGCCAAGAAGAGAATAATAGAGTGATTAGTGCAAATGGCTTTGTCATTCTTTTAAAAGGTAACAGTATTACAACCAAGAGACTGGAAAAGAATCCAAGATGTACTATTGAAGACAAACCATGAAGCACAAAGACAAGAAGCTATTAAAGCAGAGAGAGAAGAATTACACAATATATCTAAAAATATGGTCAAAAATTGGGAGAATACCATTGAGGTACTACCACTGGGCACTAGCGATGAATGAGTTAGATTGTTTTGCTTCTCGGCTTATTTTAGACTCTTTGTTGCTTCATGTTAATGATGATTAAATTGTATGACAATCATTTGCTCTAGCTTCATTAATGTCATCATGTCTCATCAAAAAATGTATTTAGAAGAAAATGGTTTATGTGTCCATGTGATTTTTATTCAAACAGCATTCTTTATTTAGGGGCAACGACTAAAGAAACTTGAATCAAAGAAAATCAGGGAAGCAAAAGAAGAGGTTAGACATCATGCTACATTGCAATGTCTGAAAGATTTCATTAAATGTTTATCATCAAATAATGTGAATGAATAGATGATTGAAAAATATACCAATTTAGCATTTTTATTTTCAAATTATCTTGCTGACTTGAATCTCATTGCATTTTTCATGTTTGTGTTTTTGTTAAAAGCGTTCCTTGTTTTGTTCATAGTTAATGCTTGTCCTCATATACATTGTCATCCAGTTCATTTGAGTCATTTGAACAAAGTTGTCTTGATAGAGCTCTGTTTTATCAACTTGTGTTCAAGAGATGATTCTGATGTCTGAAACAACCTGTTTTAAAAAGTGAAGTTAAAATAGTGATTTGTACAATACTGTTTAGGAGGAGAAGAAATTGATAGACATTGAGGAAGCAAAATATCAAGCTCAAAAAAGAAAAGAAGCAATTGAGAGAGCAAAAACACTGCAGTATTACAAAACAGACAGAGTCAAAGGCTTTCATGTATGTTTCTGTGTTGATAATTTTTTTACTTTGACATTTACTGTTCATGTAACCACTAAGTATTAACCAACCATTCTTGTTTTATGCCTTCATTTGTCTGCTGCATTTTAAAAAATTTGCATGCAAACTCAAAGTTTGTACTGGATAGCTTACAAATAAAAGACTTACCTTACAGCTATTGGATCTGGATGCAGGCCATATATTAATTCGAAAAACTTCAAAATTGAATTCTTTAGCAACAAATAAATATATGCTTTTACCGAATATTGTAGACTTGCCTAACGTCGACGCTAGAAAACAAGACATTGTATTAAAGTAGTTTCTAAACTGTATATACGTAGAGTGCGTTGATGTTGACTGAAGTACTGAGAGAACGAGATGCGCAAGTAAAGATGAAGAACAAGCAAAAAAACTCTGCAAAGAATAGAGAAAATCACTTTTTTGATATTGAACAAAAGGTATGAATTACCTCTTTGCGTCTATTAGTACTAATGGAAGACCTAAAATGCTTTTAATATACTACGTAGGTTTCTGTTTTTCTTCCATTGGATGTTTTTTATTCACTTTTCTCATTCTGGTCTGCGATTAAAATGTTTGAGTCGTCGTATGGTATGATTCGCGCTATGTGCTAGATAAAGTCCTTTCTTACTTTCTTACTTTCTTTCCAAATTTGAAATCGAATCAGCCATTAACATCTTCTTTTATCTTCTGTGCCCCATAAGTTAGTACTATTGTCATTCTTCACATTTCTCTGCCTCATACCCAGTACTAACTACGACTTTCATCTTCACATATCTTATGCAACTCTCTGCGTCATATACTAGTATTATTGTCATCTTTACCTGGTTTAGTTGTCTTCCCCAATAGTACCAAATACAGATTCTATGAAAACAGAAAATACTTCTTCATTGTGTTGATAAAAATTTTCATAAAGCAAAACGAACAAGGCATACTAGAGGAGCAAGAAAAAGCGTTGAAAAGACATATTAAATGTCAGGAAGTGCGCAATTTCCAACAATTGCAGTGAGTTTGATTCTGATGTCGTAAATGTTAAATTCGCATTTGGTGTCATTTTGAGGATGACTTTTTCATTATTTTTTAGGATCAATGAAAAAGAAAAGATAAAAGCTTACGAAAAGGAGATGGACATAGCTGAAGGTCAAAGTATTAAAGAACAAGCGGTTAGTGACGCATATGTATTCTATTTGAGCATTCAAGAGAGTCACCTTATGTACTAGATACACCTTTATCCTCTTTCGTGACATGTCTACGAAGGTCACCTTATGTACTTGGTTCACCTTTATCCCCTTTCGTGACATGTCCACGAGGGTCACCGTATGTACTAGATACACCTTTATCCTTTCGTGACATGTCTACGAGGGTCACCGTATGTACTTGGTTCACCTTTATCCCCTTTCGTGACATGTCCACGAGGGTCACCTTATGTACTAGATACACCTTTATCCCTTTCGTGACATGTCCACGAGGGTCACCGTATGTACTAGATACACCTTTATCCCCTTTCGTGACATGTCCACGAGGGTCACCGTATGTACTAGATACACCTTTATCCCTTTCGTGACATGTCCACGAGGGTCACCGTATGTACTAGATACACCTTTATCCTCTTTCGTGACATGTCTACGAAGGATATCTTATGTACTTGATACACCTTTATTCCTTTTCGTGTTATGAAGATCTTTGTGAAGCGATACATCTTTATCACCTTTTAACTTTGCCTTGTAGGATTATAATTTTTTGTTGAGTTGCTATATATTGTCACAATTACTGCTAATTTCTTGTGTTATAAAGAAGTCTACTACATGTCGTCAATGTGTCAGTTGTACTATAAAAAATTGTACTTCACTTGTTAAGAATTTTAGATGTAAGTGAAATTGTCCTTGCATGTATTTTCTTTGCTTTAGGCTGTGTACCGAGCAACGAAACAATCAACTGAAGAGCAACGCCGTGAGGTAACTGCAGTAGAATTAGCGAATCTTAGATGAGTCAAAATAAATTACAACAGCTCATTATTTGATGACTATATTTCCATTCAAAACACCTTTGGTTGGCTAAATTTCAAATTGAGCAGCTATAATTCATTTTGACTGCGTAGAATTCACCATTTGGGGATTGAATTTGAACATGCGTGTAAGCAACCGTATTAAAAATACTGCTAGACCCATAAAGATTGCTTGTAAGCGAAATGCAGGAAATTGATAAACTTTACAATTTTCTAGCAAAAAAAGTCTTTAATGAACAGCCATAAAAAAGCGATAAAAGAAAGAGTGGTAAGTTGAAATTTTACGTAGCTCTTACTTATGTATATTTATAGATATGTATAGAGAGAGAGAGAGTGGTAACGAAAAAAATATTTCATGCTGACAAGCCCGTGTCGTTATTGCTTATCTTCTTAAAATTTAAACACTTAAGTATTCATGTATTATTAAAACCCCCTGAAGAGTGAGAAATGACGATACAGGCTTGTCGGGATGAAAATGCAGTTTTGGTGATATTTTTTCTCGCTACCTTCACATTTACGTTTTCCTTACATGCATCGTGCATTGTTATTGCGAAGAATCTAAACTCTAAAACTTCCTCCATGTATTTGCATATATATTGTATAATATAATTGTGAACATAATTCTACTCTCTTCTTAACTATCCATAGCTGTAGTGTACATTCAGAAAAAGTAACATGTTTCAAATTATTTCATAGATGCTTCTTGAAAAGGAAAGGAAAAAAGAGGAACTAGAAAATGAGGAAATTCGTCTGTTTGCCAACGCCAAAAAGGTGACTTTTAAAGACAGTGATGTTGGATGTTAACGTAGAAAACGTGCCTTAATTGAAGAAAACATATTGTTTGATGATACGAATTATACACTTAAATTCTTTAAATGTTATTTAGAAAATGTCGAAAATGAGGAAAGATAGAGAAATTGAATTATTTAAGTAAGTAAAATGATTTAAATGGGTTAGAAATTCATGTTAGAAATGAATGTTAACAGAGACAGATTTGGCACAAATAAAACATTGTTATATCAAGTCAAGGTTTTTGGAGGTATTGAGGTCAACCTCTACGTTTGCAGGACCATGCAAGAGCAAACGGAGAAAATACGTGAAAAGGTAGCGATGCAGATGAAGCAAAAAGTCAATGACGAAGATGATCGTCTTGCAAAAGCAGTTGCTGAACGAGAAGCAAAAATAGCGAAGGAAGAAGAAGCAAAACTGGAGAAAGAATTATTGAGCAGAAAAGCAATTCATCAACACAGAATAGACACAGTAAGTATGCATTGTAAAGAACATTGTGTAAATCACTATGAGACTTTACTTTCAAAAAAAATTCCTTTGACTGCTAAGATTAGAGGCAAATATGCAAATACACTGCATTCAAAAAGTCGCCACGAGAACAATTTATTACGTTCTGCAATATCAAAAGATTGATAGCAGCGATTTAACAATGACTACTAATCAGCTTGTTAGCTTTTGCCAAGTATAGCGTAGCGAGCAAAAAAGGTTTGGTACGGCAATGTAAATTTCAGATCATTATCATTATTCATTTCTTTAGAAAGAGTAAATTTGCGGGCTGCTTGTTTATGCCATTGCTTTAGGAAAAAAATATAGTCATCTTAATTGTTTGTTCAAAATTACAGGAGGTATATTCAAATTCCTAGATAAAAGATCGTGATAGGAAACTGCAAGAGGAAGTAGAAAACGATAAATATCTCCTCAAACTTCGTATGCAATCTGACATTAAGGTAAAAAATGGATAAACTTTTTCTAACATAAATCTTGCAATTATTTTCAAATGTTTTCCAATATATAAATAATGAAAATCATCTTAAACTCTTGCATGTTCAACGTATGATTAAGATTTTTTATTGTTTCTTATATTATGAGAGATCTTATTCAATTTGAGTAAAATGCTTACATTACGTCAGAGAAGAGCATTTGTTGGTTTGTTTTTAATTGTTTTGTCATCTCAGCATAAAACCCTTTTAAGATTCTATCCATGTTTTCGTTTTGGTTCTAAGTGTTCGTTAATAACGACTGCGAACAAGGTTGAGCCTGTCGAAAAATATACAGTTTCGTCACCGAATGTGACAATTTTTTTTCATTTTTATCAACTGAAATCACTATGAGTACAGGCTTTTATTGACTGGGGTGAATGTGAAATGAATTATCATTTTTAAACCAATGTAACTATAATTGTTTTAGTATAAATTTTCAGGTGTTTACATCTTCTATCAGTGCAACTATAGCATTTCAATTTTAAAATTGTTTATTGAATCTGTAGTTCAACAGTCATCGTAAATAGTCCTATCTATTTTTTATTGAATTTTGTCAGTATCAAAAAGAGGAAGAAAACAAGCTAGCCTTGAAACGAGACTATTCAAAGAAACTTAAGGATTACCACAAAGAACAAGCAGTAAGAGTAGTATAAAATTTTGAGTAAAAAATAGTGTCGACCAGTTTGCAACTATTTTTCAAAACCAAAAAACTTTTTGTGCAAGCAATGCTTCGTGACTGAAGTAGTAACATCGGTGAAGTAAAAAGCAAGCTGTACATTGCGCTATTTTTCAGTAAAATGCAACGAATTTATGCTTTACCTCACTACCTGTTTAACGAACTTTGCAGTGAGGTGTTCGGTCATTTCCTTTCTGCAATACAGTTGTATCTAGTGACAATGAAAATAGCTGCACACGTAAATGTTTTTATATAATTTATTAAATTTAAAATCGTGCTCTTTGATTTTTTTTTACAAATTACAGAGGGAAAAAATCCAACGTAAGAAGGCAAAAGAAACTGAAAATCTGAACTTTGATATCGAAAATGCAAAACTGATACGAGAAGAGGAAACTAAATTCCAGGAATATGCGAGTAAAGTGCTGACTGAGCAGAAAATCAAAGATCCCTTAGGCAATCATTTTCCACTAATAAAAGTAGCGAATGACGGTCCGGGTGGGGGACGTGGTCCTAGGTTTGATGGAAAAAGTGGTATTCGTCCTAGCTATATTGTTTGTGATAGTTCTGGTGTACAGTTACCAAACTATTCTCACGATGTTACTATACGTTGCAAAATACAGGGTGAGCCTGGTCAATCTTTTAAACGCCTTGGTTTTAACTGGTAAAAACATTGCTTTAGTAATTTGGATATTTCTATGAAGTGTAAAATTGAATGTACTAACGGAGTTTTTTTACAGATTAATAAGATGATGAATTCTGCTGTCCGCATTCCTGCTCATATCTTTCAAATTACTCATTATGTTCAATGTTTTTCTTCTCTATTTCTTTTCAAATTAATATTTTCTTCCTTCTTTTTGCAGGAATTCATCTTCTAGAGTCGTATCCACCTCTTAATTGTTTTAAAAACTTTCAGATGTAGCTGCCTTTTCTCTCCTTCCATTTTCTATAATTTTTTCCGCTTGTTTTCCCTCCGTTGATCTTATTGTTTCTATCGTTATCCAACCTACATTTCAAAAGCCTTTATTCTTTAAATCAGGATAATTTATTTGTCCAGATTTTTCATCCATATAAACTCCACATCTTTGTCTTCACTCTCTGATTCATATCCCTCTTAACTATCTTTGCCTTTACTACTCTTAATGGATTTTCTGTTTTACATCTTGCATCATGACTTAATATTATTCGTGCTTCCACGGAGTAAAAATATTACTCAAATTCTCTGAAACTAACCCCTTATTGAAAATTCAGTAACTTGCTAGCAAAAATCTTAATCAAAGATTAAGATACTACTTGTGTTGACTTAATGTTTGTTTGCATTTTTATGTAAAAACGTTCCCATATCATACCTGTTTGCTTTCAATATGTATGGTTCATTATGTTGATGATATGCAGGACGAAGCTAGAACATTAATTTGGGGGGGGAGGGGGGTGCGGGGAGTTTACTCATAAAGAGTTGTGCCCGACTGATTTCTTTAGAAAACCAATTCACTTTCACTTGGGCACAAGTGAAAGCGAATTGAATAGCAACTGAATATATGAATTAATACCACCACCCACCCAAGTTCTACCTACTAATGTTAAAGTAAAAATATCGAACTTTATTGTTTAATATTTGTGCATTCACATTTGTGATACTATGTTACTCCTTGTAACACAGCATACAAGGTAGCTATAGACACATTCGACGACTTGACCATAAAAATCACCTAATTAACTTGTTAATCATTTAATTTAATTTAGGCTCAAACGGGATTTCCAAACAGTATTTTCCAAAAGTTTTTTTATTTTTAGCTACATATATTTTTTTTCATACACATATTCAGTTTTCGTTGCTATTTTTTCGTTATTTATGTATACATTCTTCTATCTTACGTTGTTATGTAGCTTTTTCTTTTTCTCAAAAATTTAAAGTAGATTAGTGTTATGTTAACAAAGATGCATGTTGTAGGCATTCCTATTCATATAAAAGTTTTTGCTTTTTCATTCGCTGCACATCATTTGTTATCTACGTCAATTTATTACGTAAATGGCCAAAATCGGTTTCAAACAAATGGCGTTTGTGACAAGAGAACACGACTTTTGACAATTAGTGGGATTCTAGTATTCAATAAATTTACATGGCGAGCTTTAGCGGCGACCTCAGAAGATAAGAGAAGAATATCAGTTACGTCGTCACGTGATGCAAGAAGCGATTATAGCTTTTCCAAACAAACTAAACACACGACCGTGGTAGTCTTGATAAGCTGGCGTATCAACTGAGAGATTATTGTTATTCCGTGGACGTGTTGATAGAAAGATATTAATCACATGTTGTAGAGAAATTGATGGAAATTAGTGTTGGCAGAATTTTTAATGCTTATTATTGTGATATCTCACACGTCCTTCTTAATGATATTGTGTAGCATATGTTGCCACAAGCTTGAAGACAAACAGATATATTATAGTGTAGAATATGCTTGCATTGTTGGTGGCTAGTTTTATCTTCGTGGAGAGGACCAACGCGCAAAGTCAATCGTCGAAAATCAGCTATTAATATTATTTAACACCAGGTGTTCTTTGAGCGAAAATAATTTTTGTTATGAGAAATATAGCTGCTACTTCCACAAGATCGAGTTCTGTTAGCCCAGACATTGCAGCAAACGACATGAAGAAATCAAGGATACGCTCTTGTTGGGAAGAAGACAAACATGGTGAAATTGTAAGCGCCAATGCATGTGAGACAGACTTCAAACGTAGCAACAGTAGCGATGTTGGGGGATCAAATTCTCGTCTCGTTAAGACTGAAGTCAAACTGCAATCTGTGAAACTTGGTGTTTCCGACGAAGAAAAGTCGCATGTTGGGTATGTTAGTAATCAAGATGCCATTCACAACTGCTGTAAACGCAATTCGAGTGAGAGACGAACTGTTGTGAATATCATCTACTCGGTTTTCAAATCAAAGCGCTTTGAATCTGAAAAACTGGAACGACTATATCAGCGCTATTTCTTTCGTTTAAATCAGAAATTTATTAACTGGATTATTTTTCTGATGTTTATACTTTTATCTGTGTTGTTGGGAGCTCGTTTTGGTTTTGAAAATCGACAGCACAAAAAGCCATATTATTTAAAGGGTTTGTTTTTCCCGCTCATTTGTATTGTATATCTTCTCATTTTAATCGTGATAAATCGTTCGAAGGCGACACAAAGACATTTGACAATCTCATCTTACTCTATGATTGGCCTTTTTTGTTGTGTGGTAACAGTCGATTTCACGTTTCGTCCTGTCAGTTCTGCAGCAGATGGAGTATGGTCGTGTGTTTTCTTCATCTATTTAACATATACACTACTTCCCGTTCGAACTCGATTAGCGGTCGTTGGTGGGTGTGCGTTTGCCATGATACATTTGATTTGTTGTCTATCAAGGTTGAAATACGATGACAGTTTATGGCGATTGGTAAGTCATAATTTACGCAGAGATCGCTTAAATTAAATGCTCTCATAGCTATTTTTGAAATTGTAGTAAAACGAAATTTATTGTTTTGCAATAATTTCGTAGTATATATTTTACAGAAGCGTGTTTTAATATTTAAATATTTTTTGATGATGCAGTTTTTTGCTACAATTTTTCCCTCCTGGACATTTATATATAATGAAGCAATCTCATTTAGCAATCACTTTGGTTACATACCAACGAGTTGGGAAGTGTCAAGCATTAAATTTGTAAAACTGCTCCAAATTATTGTGTGGAACGAAATTTTTGTACTGCACTACTTTGCAAGATGCCCTTAACACGGCTTCATGCTTTTTATAATGTGTTATGTATTTCTATTATAGCATTTTCTGCATATTGTGACTTTTTGTTTGATTTTTATAATCTGTCCTATTTATATTATTTCCAAAGGTTTCTCTTCTTGGGTCATTTGCTTGCAAAATTATTCAAAAATCAAAAGCAGATCAAGTGTTTGAAAGTCATTTTTCATATCATTTAATTCGATTGGACTTTCATTTTTTCCAACTTGCTAAGTCTCAATTAATTTAATCCTTTTGGTTCTGATTGTATTAATATATCGACAACATTGAAACAATGTCGAAATGAATTTTTGTTATTTATTTTACAAAGAATAAATGAATATGGTCCTCCCAAGTTATCAATGCTAGCTTATGGCTATGTCATTGCATTTTTATCCTTAAAATGTGTTTGAACTCTTATTAGGCAGGGTGTTTAGTAATTAAAATTGTTGTTGATAACACATCAAGTAAATGAAATATTATGCAACACATTTTCATTCCATTTATTACACTTATCTGTAAAATCTTGAGTCGATGAAATGAAATCAAACACTACATAATATTCAAAAAACAATTATATTTGGCAAGTTCTTGGTTTTAAAATCGAACCTTCTCATGATTCATGTATGAAAAGACACGAAAAAACTCTGTGGTTTTTTTCATTTGTTTCTTTTTATTCACAGTAATCACAATGAAAACAAAGTACACAAACATGTCATTGCTATTCAGATAGGCCTTATGGCTATGTTCTTTGCAGCTTTGTTCACTTTATTAATGTCGGTAACTGGCATATAGATATAAAGTTCAGTTAAATAACTTTTCATTGCGACATAAGGGATGGTTGAAGCCAAATATATGCTGCAATATCTTTATCCACACAGCAACTGTAAATTGTAGAATAGGTAAGCTAGAAAGACTGTGGGACCCTCCCCAGCGTACATAACTTTGTTAAAAGTGCCCCAGTTGGATATTTTCATCTGAACTACAGTTGCCAAGGCATGTTTTGCATTGATGATTTAGAGCACGAACACACTATCTTTGTTCTCTTTTAGCTATTTGTCGGACCGCCAGCCTTTTCCCTCAAGAAAATTAAAAACTTAACTGGTCTTGTGATTTTTGATTACTACTTCTATTAATGAAAGAGACTTTATTTCCTAAGTATTGCGTGCTCTCTATGATATTGAAATCACTAATTAGCCATCTTGTTGTCAATTAATAAAATTTTGAATATATCTCAATGATATGTCGGACGGTGCGAATGACTCACTTACGGAGACTAATTATTAGCAAGCTACATCTGTTTTGGTCCTGCGTAATATAAATCGCTAGTTTGTGGGTATTTACAGCGGCAACCGTTTTTTGAGTTTAATTTAGGGGAATTTGAAATGAAATTATAACGCATTATATTGGATTTGAAATGTTCAACATTTAGTAGGAAAAGCTAGTGACATATTAATAAAAAACCCAGCTGCATGCCATTTTTGTGACTGTTGCATATCTATATTTGCCCAGCATGGGGTTTTATGATTAAAAATTGAAATGTAGTCGGTAAAAATGTTAGAAGACATCATGACAAGCAAAAAATCTGTTGAAGTTTAAACTAGCCACAAGATGAAAGGGTGCTATTTTCTCTCTATGAAAAAGGTTTATAGTAACTTTAAACTCAACAAACATTTAGGTAAAAACATATTGTGAAATATGGCAATATGCGTATAGAGCAAAAGAAACTGATTAAAATTTTGATTACTTATTTTTGTCATTTATATTTTGGTTAGTTTTAGCAAGTTTCTAATTTACGTTAAGCGTAAAAGTCTATAAATAATCTTATGCATTTTTGTGTCGCAAGGGCAAATCCTTATATAAGAGTGCAAAGTTTTTTATTTTTTCAGCGAATGACCGCTTTTCATCGCACATTAACCTAGCTAACGTTTTTCATTAAAGATTATTCGTACAAGCTTATGTTAAAATTGGTGTTAAAGTGCTTTCACAGTAATTTTTTATACTGTTTTTATCATTTATTAATTTTAGTTGCTTGCAAACTTACTTATCTTTGCTTGTGCAAATGCATCAGGAATATTTACGCACTATTGTACTGAGTTATCACGTCGTAAAGCATTTTTGGAAACAAGAAAGTGCATTGAAAATCGTTTGGAAAGCCAGAAAGCAAATCAAAATCAGGTATCACTTGTGATTGTATGTCATCATATGTTTCAGAACTATTACAAAAATGAACTTGTTACAAAGAGACTATATATATAAGCTGTCAATTCCATTGGCGGGCAAAAAAAGTTGTATTAAATTGATCTCCGTAATGTAGTTCACAAACTTTTCCAGTCTAGACGACAACTTTTTCTCAGTGTCACTCACGCAATAAACATCTTTGATTTGAGTTTGTCTATTCTTGAATTACAAATATTTATTGAAAGTATAGCTAAAAAAAAAACAAGAAACAGCAGGGGAGGAAAACTCTTCAATAGACAAGTAGATAGATGGATATGCATCACAGACATCTTTGACATCAAGGAAATTAACTTTATCGTTTTGTTTCCATGATACTTAGATATCTTCGTATATTTAATTTCTAAGGAGCGATTATTGTTGTCTGTCCTTCCTCGTCATGTTGCCTTGGAGATGAAGGCTGATATTGAGGCCGGCAATCGTATGGAAAATCAATTTCACAAGATTTATATACAAAAGCACAACAATGTGAGGTAATATTATTAAATAATATAAACATCTTACCTTATCTATTCTCTGAATATCTTTGAAAAGTATTTATTTGAAAGAAATTATTAAATTAATCAGGAATTGTCGGTATTCCAAATAATACAAATCATAAAGTTTGGTTCACCATTTGAAATTTAAGAATATCTGCTCACAAGCTGAAGAAAGTATTGAAGACAAATTTTTTAAGGTTTACTCCTCCAGCAAGACTACAATTGTTCCTGTTCTAAAATAAAAACAAAACAAAATAGGTCAGGTGGAACATTGACAAGAAAATAACGATGTAATGATCGGTCTTTTACGTGTGTTAAACTTAGATGTACATTTATATTGCGCTAAATTTTTTTTGTTTCAGCATTTTGTTTGGTGATATTGAAGGTTTTACCCAGTTATCATCACAATGTACTGCTCAGGAATTAATTCAAACATTGAATGAACTTTATGCAAGATTTGACCAACTTGCATTGGTATGTTTAATATCAAATGCTATGCTGTTTGTTAAGTAAAAATTGTTTTGGTAATTGTTCAATCAAACAAGCATACGCCAAAATAGTTAAAGTGCCAACGAACCGAAAATTTTGCTATCTGAATAATAATTTTATTGAAGAGATATTTTAAAATGACAATGGACATTCTAAACAGATGTGATGTATATCACTTTTAATTCTTGAGATATTGAGGTTTTTGCTTTGTCTGATTTATCTAACTTGTGACGTCCATTTCATAATGAGAACTAGAATTATTAGATACATTTACCTATACTTAAATTCAGAAGTACGGAGTTTCCTTCATTGTGACGTGGTTAATGGTATGAAATTCTGCCTACTAGTATCAACCTAAAGTTGTCAGGAAATTAAAGAGTATTTGAAACATTGTGAGAACTCGTTTGCAACATGACGTCACAAGTTGTATAAATTGGAAATAACAATTACGTCAAAATCAAGAGAATAAAAAGAGATATGCATTAACTGTTTTAGAAAGTAAGCTGTCTTTTTAAAAGTTCTAGTCATTTCAAACATAATTCAAGTTGAAAATTTTTCGCTTCATAGTACGTGTAAGAAACTTGTCTGTTGCTATGGTAACCATTTTAACTCCCCAAAATGTTTTTAAGTACAATTGGTACGTTTGCAAAGTTTCAACTCGTTTTGCTCAATCCCTTTTTTAGAAATCACACTTTCTTTGTTTCGTTATGACGTCACACAAATACAACTTATGACGTCACACCTAAATTTGTAAAAATTGCAATTACTTGGAATTAAATTAGTTATGTTGAAACTGTAACCACGATTCTCTATTATTTGACACGTATTGTCGAACAAAACAATAAATATTTGGGCCAAATTTCATTTCACACATTTCAGGTCGTTATATCAAATTCATTTGAATTAGATTAGAAAAATGTGAATTTCCTTAGCTTTAGGCCAATTTTTTTAGTCAGTTTAACGTAAGATAAGTAATTTTATGAAATTCGGGATATAATCACCACCAGCGTGAATATTATTTAATTTATTTTTATTTCTCTTTAATAACTAAAACTTTAACTCGTTATGTACTCCAATGTAATCGTGTATTTTGTTAAATTCTGATTTCATTTTTTAACAGGAGAATCATTGCATGAGAATAAAGATTCTTGGCGATTGTTATTATTGTGTGTCAGGACTGCCAGACCCACGACCTGATCATGCGCATTGCTGCATTGAGATGGGCTTAGATATGATTGAAGCAATCATGTATGTATTGTGTTATCCCTTGCCTTTATTGTTTTTATGCTATTATAATCACTTAACTGATTTTCGAAAGCGGTATTTTTTAAATAGAATGTTGTTTTTTTTTTTGCCAAACCTTTCTTTGTGGATTAAAATTTTCTTTTCAAAACGTATTAATGTTGTTACTTTGTGCATGAAATCACCTGGTAACACATTTACAAATGGTTGTTGTGGAATAACCGCAAACGAAAGACGTATTTTTTTATGAATGGCTTTATTTCATTTTGTATGAAATGATCATTTCAACTGATGATGTATTTGCAGTGCAGTTCGCGAAGCTAAACGCGTGAATTTGAACATGCGCGTTGGGATTCACACTGGAAAGGTTCATTCGGGTGTGCTTGGGTTAGTCAAGTGGCAATATGATGTCTGGTCAAATGATGTCACCGTAGCTAATCATATGGAATGTGGTGGACTGCCGGGGTATGAAATAGTTATAAGACAAATTGCAGTACGATGTAAAATTGTACATTGTATGTACACTACACTTCAAATTTGAATGTGTTGATTTGTGGCTTTCATAAACCACAATAATCTATGATTGTACAATAAAACTTTACAGATTATACTTCAGGTACTTTTGCTACTTATTTTGATTTGCTAAAATAATTTTTACGTATTCGTCTCCCGCCACTCTGGTAAAAGTTAAATGTAATCATTGGCTTAAAGAAAACTTCTAATTTATGTAGATTTGATTTCACTTTTCAAACTATTTTATGTTGCTTTGCCTCTTTAATATTTAACTATTTTACGTTCTAGTCGTGTTCATATCACTCAGGATGTGTATGATGTTATCAATGGCGACTATGAAGTGGAAGATGGCCATGGTGGTGAGCGTGATGTATACTTAAAAGAACATAACATGAAAACTTATCTTATTTGCGAAAAACACTCAAAAGACAGGGTAAGTAATTTGAGATTAAAAAATATTCTTTAATTAAAATGTCGAGTTCTACAGAAATTTTAGCCATAACATATTAATTATTGATTTGATTTTCAAGATAGCATTGTAATGCTAACAATTAAAAATATATAATACTCATTATGCATGAAATGCTGAGAACAGACGTAACAATAAAAATATATATTTCTTACAAGTCATCATACCGCGCTAATGTCTTTGTACTAACATTTTGTTATATCAAGCGTAGTCCGTATGTTTAAGTAGACAAGTTCTTCATAAATGTATGGTTTTCTGTTTGGCTATAGTGGTGTAGTCAAATCTTTGTTATAAAAAAATGTATAAGTATAAAGAGTTTATTCTTTTTCCCCTGAGATTATTGAAATTTTATAGAGTATGTTGCGAAGTCAGCAACGTCAGTTACTTCAAAGTCAAAACAGCATGTTTAAAAAGGTATAGATATTAATATTCATAATTTTGTTTTCATTTCTGACTACATTTTTCATGCAAGCGTGCAGTAACATTTCATACTTGGTATTGTAAAATGTTATCAGGTGTGTCTTTTTGTAATTTATGTGTTGTTTTATTTTTAGCAAGATGAAACGCAAGATCAGAAAGCAGAAGCAAGGTAGGAATTTGTTTGTTTCTTGTATATATTTGCAGTAAAATATCAATATTCGATCAAAGCAAATTGTTTCTTGTCACTGCAAACAATAAAGGACCCTTCTTAGTTATTTGTACAGAAAAAATGCACGAAGTCCAGGTACTATTTTGTTTTAGTTTCTACACAGAATATTATGAACTTTAGACTTGGAATCAACCAGAAAAATCCGGAGGATGAAGTTAACGATTTTCTCAGTACTTCTATAGACGCTCGAAGCGTTGATAAGTGAGTTAATACAAGTCTTGATTTTGTCGACGTAATTAAAGCAAAGCAGCTAGCTATTAAAGCCTTTTACAACAGGCTAAAGACGCAATTTTCTGATTTGTGCGATAAAGTATCTTACATTGTTACATTTGTGTAAACAAGTTTTAATTAATATAAAATATTGAATGGTATATTCATTTTACTATATCTTTCTCTTTACTACATTTTCGTTAGGCTACGACGAGAAAACATCTACCCTGGTTTGTTAACTTTTAAGATGCAGGAACACGAGGAAGAAGTAAGTTACGCACATGACTGAGCCATGCAGTAATTGATGTGAACAATTTATAATTTTTTTTTGTTTTTTAGTATTCAAACGAGGAGCATACAATGATTCGATCACAGATCATATTCAATGTTTTCATTCTCTTTTGTCTTTTAATCATTCAAGTTATCATTTTATCAAGGTGAGTTTTGAATGTCAGTTATTAACTTTTTCATTGTTAGTGTTTTCATAAATTACTTTTAATGGTCTCAAGTTTGATTTCATCCCTTTCTGCTAATTCAGCAAAGCAATGGCGCTTTTGCTTCATTCTATTTGTGTTTGTGTAATTTTTGCAGGAATTACGTTACGGCCATTATTTATGCTTGTGCCTTCATTGTCACGTGGTTAATTGTTGTGATTATAACAGCTGAGAATATACAGGTACGAATACTAATATTGGTAACTATCTTGTCAAAGAGTGATGTTTGGTTATTTTTGTGTTAACTTTAAAAAAAATATATTTTACTTCTATACATGCAGTGATGATTAACTAGGCTTTTTACTGAATTCTTAAATTACATACGCGGTAATAATTTTGTTTGCTTTCAAGAATAATACTTTCACAAGATCAACTTCTTCTTTTTTCTGTTTTAGCTACTCAGTTGTATTCATCATATTTCCAAGGCGATAACTAGTTCAAAGAAACTTTGTCAGGTTATTGCAACAGTTTCAATAATGATCAATTTTATGGCCGTTCTGGGAAACTTGGTAATTTTTACTAGTCAATTTTTATCGATTATGTTCATGCTGATTTTCAAGCGTCATTTTAAGTTTTGGTAAATGTTCTTTGTAGCTCAAATGTAATACATCTTACACAAAGAGTTGTAATACATCTACAAGCTCAACCATTACACCGCTCAATTTTGAAGATTGTGATTTCCCTCAAGTAAGACATTTTTTCTTTTTTTTATTCAGTTGTGTTTGTTCTTTATTAATTTTCTTCTATTTATTGTTTATCGACTCGTTGTTTGTCCATCTTCATGTCCTCAGGGAAGTTTAATTTGAGGAATTTAAAATGACGCAAATAGCTATCACAATTTATAGTTTTACCTTGTAAAAAATCTTTGAATAAAGTATTGATTTGACTCAATTCACTGACGTAAATTTTATGAACACACAGCCAAATCAATCTACCTTTCCAACAGTAGACACACTTGTCAAAAATACGACATAAAATTACAAAATTCGGACAATCAAATTGTAGGACATAGTATTGTTTATGTAGAATAGTGACAATAAAATGGTTTGGAGATGCTTTTAAGTTTGGGGACATTTGTGAATCTGATTCTAGTTATTCAGAACGATTATTTATAAAGGCAGAAGGCATAACTGTAAATACTAACCATTTTGAGTTGGAAAAAAGCATAACGATCGAAGGAAAGCTTGAATACTGGCAAGTTGTCGCGCTAATGACTTTTTTGTAAGGATTGTTACGGGCCTTTGCGGCGTGACTTAAGAGTATCCAGGACGGATTCCAGCTGCAGAAAGCGCAAAAAAAGCAAGCCATACAAATTTTTGAACTGTTTTTTATTACATGTTAGTTTCACTTTCTTATAATCACTAATGACTATTGTTGTTATTGATGGATGAAAGTTATATACCTAAAAATGGAATTTTAAACTATAACTGTATATTTAAATGTATAAAATTACGATGACGCAATAAACATTGTCTTGTTATGAATATGTGCATAGTTATTGTATTCAAAGCAGTCATGGCTCTCATCTGGAATCGTGCGGTACGTCGAATCTTAAATATCGTAAAAATAACAGTTAAAAAAATTCTATGATTTGAAATTTTCTTTGCTCGATGCAGCTAAAATCGGATCTGGAAATTTTTTGGTGGGGTGGTTTCTTACAACGAAATGCATATAACATGCATTTACATAAAATAAGCGCATGCGCAGATGATTTCTCTATTAAATTGTTACTAAGCATGCTATTTACTTCAAAATCGGTGCTAGTAGATGCACTTGGTCGTTGCCATGACCATGAACTTGGGCGGCTGTTAAAGTCGGCTGCGCATGTTCGTGTGGACTGCGCATGAGCAGATGATTTATGTGAAAATTTGTTACTGAGCAAGCTAATTACTCCATAATCGGTACTAGTACTTACATTTGGTCGTTACCATGATTTTGGAGAGTTGGAGGAGTTGACAACGCATGCTCAGATTCTCAATTAATTTGTGACAGAGAGAGCTCTAAAATTGGTGCTTGTAGATGCGCTGAGCAAGTTTTCAATCATTTAATTTTGGCATGCTCTTTGTTTTTTTAGCTTGTTTTGACGAATGCGTATCAAACTCATTAACACTATATCCGACTGTTTGACTCTCCGAATTTTGTAATTTGATCTCGTATTTTTGACACTTGTGTTTACCGTCGGAAAGATGGATTGTACATGCATTACTTTATGAAAGTCATTTTTCTCACTCCTTGTGAAATGTTTTATGATTTAAAAAATAAGAGATGTTTACTGTGTTTTCACAGGCTAATGCAAACCGAGGAGACCTTTGGGAGAACTCGTGAGCAGATCAGTGCAAGCCTGAGACCGAAGATCGAGGGTTGCACCTGCTCGAGAGTTCTCACAAACTTTTCCGAGGTTTGCATAAGCCAGTGCAAACACGAAAAACATCTTTTATTTTTTTATAAAATAACAATTTGCGAATGCAAAACAGACAAATTTAAAGTATAAGTTTTAAATTTTCCTCTAAAATGTATTCATGATCGATTTGCAAATTTTCTTTGACTGATTGATTGTTATGACTGATTTGATTGGTTGAGCTCAGATGTGTTTTGCACGCACAGGCTTTATTGTGTTTAGTGTATAAATTTTATTGCAAAATAATTTTATAATATCTTCAAGGAACATAGGGACTATACAAATACTTCATAAGATGAACACGGAAATTTTCATGATTTTCCCTAATGATATGAGTTCGGTGGTCGATGTATACACTTTTATAATGTTTTCCTGTGACAAAGAACCTTAACTAATCTAGATAATGTATTGTTTCTTTTATATCAAAGTTTTATTCTATACTTTATGTAGTACTACACATATTCTGTTCTCTTGATCATGCTTGGTGTGGCGATCTTCATTCATTTGGGGTTTATGTATAAGTTGTGTTTGCTTCTTATCATTGCCATTCTTTATACCTGTTTAATACTCACCAAGTTTTCTCCACTCATTTTGAAGTACGATGAAGCAACTTTCGAATGCAAGTAAGTTTTTATATCAATGTTTTCTGATGCAATGTGTAGAAAAAAGACAAACTTACTTTGAACAATTAATGATTCGAAACAAAATATTTGTTGTATATGAATTCTTGGACAATTTTAAACTCTCTTGACTTTTTGTCTGGCTTACCTTAACTGTGAGAATTGCTTGCCAGAGAAAAGTTATTCTCTGAATAATCCTTACTGTTACATTAAGTAATCTCTGAAGTAATTCTCTGAATAATCCATAAAGTTACATGAAGTATTCCCCTGCAGTAATTCTCCTTTTAAAAGGACTACTTTGGAGTAAATGAGAATAAAAATCGTTTTGTTCAGTGTTTTTGAACGAATTTCGTGCATAGACGTACGTAGTAGAAACGTTCCATCCTATATTGTCCATTTTTTATAAGAATAAAAATGTAAATTCACTTAAAGCCATAGTATATAAAGTCGATTTGCATTTTCAAACTATGTATTCTTTAATGATGTTCAGTCATTATGCAGAACAAAGATAAAAGATAAATACGTAGCTTCCTCTAAACAATACGAAAATATAAGAACATATAACGCACATTAGCTACTCTTTGTAGCTTCTTGCTGTTATTTAAAAATGACATTGGTCATAAGTCATTATTGAACTGGCCAGATTTATGAAAAGTTAAATATAAATGCATATTTTTAACTTGTAATTTTCATGAAACGTTTCCTCCACATAAGTCTATTATACAGTTAAACTAAGTGTGCTATATTTAACTTTTCATAAATCTGGCCAGTTCAATAATGACTTATGACCAATGTCATTTTTACACACCGTGCATATAGTTACGACCAAGTTTTTATTTATTACTTTTCTTGACTTTATCAACTTGTGTTTATTCATATTATTTTTCTTTTAAGAGAACATTTCAAATTGCAATATCTTACAATTTTTGTCGTATTACTTTTCGTGATATCTCTCTTTATTCATGGATACTTGGTAAGAGTTCTTTTTTAAATTTTTTCTTTAATTTAAATGTTGAGACCATTGGATTATCTGTAGCGTATAATGCTGATGAAAAATCATAAAAATAACTTGATCATCTTGTTTTTTTGTAACAGAATGAAGAAATATCAAGGCTTGATTTTTTATGGAAGTATCAGGTAGTTCTGCAAAGATTATTTTCATGTAATGTTTTAGAGAGTAATGTCCTGTGTGGTGATTTTTCATTTCTACATTTGTTTGCTTTTGTGGGTTTTTGTTTTTGGTAATTTTTATTTGAAGTGGTTTTGTTACATTTGTTAGGCGACAGAAGAGAAAAAAGAAATGGAACAACTTAGAGAGTACAACAAGAAACTTTTGTACAACATTTTACCTTCACACGTCGCTGGACATTTTTTGGCTGCTGAAAAGAAAAATGAGGTTTCTTTAAAGATAGTATTTTTATTGCATCTGAAGCTTTGAATTGCATACATGTTGTATGAATTGTATTTGGCATGCGTTGTTTGTTGTGTTTGAGATAGCGTTTACTAAAACAAGTTTTAAAGTTTTTAGTACGAGGGGGGAGGGTCACTCTCCTTAGTGTCTTTAACAGTCGTGTCACGTCTCATGTTTCCCTTTACAGGAACTTTACTACCAGTCATGTGACAAAGTCGTCGTTATGTTTTCGCAAATTGTAAACTTTTCCGAATTCTACAACGAGCTTGCTGCTAATGGGGACGGTCGCGAATGCCTTCGTTTTTTAAATGAAATTATTGTTGATTTTGACGAGGTTTGTGAGAAGAATTTACAAATACGCTTCAATTATTTTCCATTAAAATGCTCATTTTTGATAATGGTATATACTTTCAGCTTCTATCTGAACCAAAATATCAATGTATTGAAAAGATCAAAAGTATTGGCGAGACTTACATGGCAGCGGCTGGTATTAAACCTGACACACAGGTATACTTCATTTTATTGTTATATATGACATTCCGTATAATTTAAGCATAGGAATTCGTCTTTTCTCTTTTCTGTAATATTTTTAACACATGTGAAATTTAATTTAGGAAGAGCTTGCGTCTTTAAAACATGTTTCTGCGATGGTAGATTTCACAACCGACATGAGAGATAGACTTGAAAAACTCAACGCGGAGTCTTTTAATTCACTAATTATGAAAATTGGTAAGTAACTCTATTTGTTTGGTTTGACTTTCATCAAGTTTTTAAAACCGCATACAGTGTCTGATTGTGTAGTAGTAGAATTTTGTAATTTAAACGCGAGATTTTCATATTTTTTACTTGATGGTCCATATTAATTTTAGGGAACGATCTACATTTGGTATTGACGTTTTATAAAGTAAAATATATACATGTTCATTATATTTTTCTAGCAAGTGTCTCTGTGGCTTAGTCAGCCAGTTTATTTCGCACTGCCATGGGAATTTTCAAATTTTTTAGCAAAACAATACATTTAAGACACAATGAGTGAATTTCTATGACAGAAGTAAAACTTGCACGTCCCCGGAGGTACTTAATGCTGCATTTATTTTAATGACATGTCACATGTGACTATATTGAATCAAAGTCCTCACGCAATCAAAGTGTACACCTGTCCTATCCTTGTCTTCATGAGGTGTTGGAGGGGTACCAATTTTTATACAAATTACTAAATGTACCAAACAATTAAGGAAGACATTTTAAAGAATCTCTTAATCATTAGAAGAAGGTAGAAGAATAAAAAATAAATCTGAAATGCTACGGCACAAATACGTTGCCACCGAAATCTAATCCAAACTGGACCTCCCCAACCCCCACCCCACACACACACAAAGCCATCAAGGATCCCGTGCCTGTCGAAAAGCTGTTATGTTTTTTTTTATGTTGAACTTTAAAGATTTTGTGAGTTCAGTTTTGATTGTCACAACGAATGACCATGCAAAATACAAAATATCAAAAACTGATAATTTTACTTTTAAAAATGGTATATCACATTATTTAGACTATTTGTTTACAATATAACCTTACCTGAATATCGAGCCAAAATTGTAATTCATTCTTCTGGAGATTTCTATGAATTTCATAACTTTACATAACTGTGTATTTTCAAGGGTTAAATTTTGGTCCCGTGGTTGCCGGAGTAATTGGTGCAAAGAAACCACAATATGACATATGGGGTGATACAGTAAATGTTGCCAGTCGTATGTACAGTACTGGTAAACCTGGTAAAGTACAGGTTAGTATAGTTGTGGTTGCTGTCTTGTAAATATAATTGTATTTTACTGCATACATTATTGCATTTATTCATAATACAATCTAGTAAATTACACTGTATTACGCGTAGTTTATAGTTGGGAATTAATAGATGAAAAATACGTATCTAAAATTAAATGTTTAAAGTTGGTGATTAGGATTAGTGGTTTAATTTTTCTGGATACTGTAATCCACTAAGCAAACAAGCAAGCTAGTTTCTCTAGAGAGCTACTATGTAGCTTCGGTTGTGTCAAAAACATGTCTTTAAACTTCATAACATTAGCTTACTTTTGATAAGTTCATAAAATTAACATCGCTTTTCAATTTTTTAGTTATTCATTACGTTTATCGATAGTTTAATTTTGTACTTTGCTTTATATACCTGAAGCAAGAGATTTTGTGTGATTATATAGGTAACAGAAAGCGTTTATAATATTCTCTCAACTCGTGGGTACTCATTTGAATGTCGTGGTAAAGTTTCCGTCAAAGGAAAGGGAACAATGATTACTTACTGGTTAATTGGCAAAGAAGGAAATCACATTTGAAAACAAAGGTTTCTGCACAGATTTCACTACACAAATAAAAAAATTAGCCTTTGGAATAAGGGCTCGACCACCGCTTTGTTAAAGCTAGGGTCGATTTAATTTTCGAATCAAAACAACGTCTTCACTGTCTTCTATAAGTTTTACGGTAAAAGATTAGATTCGCAGGGTTTTGCTCGCAATAGTCCTTCCGCCTGACTAGGTTTCTCTAAATTGAAAATTATAAAAATTTCATATTTTAATTTGTCTATACGTCTTGACAAAGATTATAAATATAGTTTTAAAGTAAATGGTTTGAACCAAGGAGTATCGTTATATGTTTGTAGATATAGATCGTTCAGGTTAGTATAGTCATGAGGACTGTTTTTGTTGTTGTTGACTGACGTTTCGACAAGATGACTACCGCTAAGGTTGTCGACAAAAACAGTCTTTCTCAGGACTATAAACTATACTAACCTGGACGATCTACATCTACAAACATGTAAATATAGTTTTATTAATTTATATAATGCTGCATAAGTTACTGGATTTAAACATCAAGTGCTGCTAGAATATTGCGCCATATACCTATATAGTCTATAATAAGGAGAAAAAATATTATTATAATAAAATTAATATATATCTAAAACAAAATGTTTGAAGCAGTTGTTTTTGTGTTTGAATTTGAATAAAAGTGGTCGAATAAGTCGGTCATATGCAGTCAGACGTGGGCTAAAATACCCATACGAATTAAGATGCAGAAAATGTATGTATTTCATGATTTTGACAAAAGATAACGCCACCATTAATTATTTTAATGCGATCATTTATGCGCCACCATTAATTATTTTAATGCGATCTATTAACAACAAATTCGGTTATCTGCTAATGACCCTGACGTCAATTCTCTTTTTCTTTGTTTCTGGTTTCGAAAATAAAAAGTTCAACTATCAAGAGAATCGCGCCTAAGACTAGCGGCTTTTTATCCAGTGACTCGAGAAAATAAAACGAAACATAGCCAATGGTCAAGGTTATAAACCAAGAAAACGAAAAAGGTTTTACGATACGCATTTCTTTCAAACAAACGACTGATGGTAAAAGAAGTAGCACAATGGGACAAAAGGGATCGCCAGGCAGAAACCAGGATGAAGACAAAACTTTCAGCCAAACTAAAAACGCTGGGGTCATTTGTACGGATATTACAGTTAAAATAACTAAAAATGTTTTGCCAAAATTCAAACTGTTCTGTAAATCGACTCGCTCCATCTTGCTCAAAGTGTTTCGTTCAATAACAATTGACATATGACAGCACAGAAAAAACACGACACATGTTAGCAAATATAGAGCAATTGGGCTACTAAACATCGTGAACAGCAGGACAATGCCAATATATGTGTAGAAAACAACAGAAGAAATCTTGCCATTCTCAAGTTTTGTTTGCGCATTCTTCCACAAAGGAATATAAATCAAAACGATTTTTGCCAAGATCATCAGACTGACTTCTAATACGGCCAGCATAGTTGACAATAAAATGATGGAAATGACAAGAAGGGTGACAGTAGGTAAAAACCAATCATAGAACATCAAATGATAGTCTTCGAACTCAATAATGCACACCAATAAATGTCGAATTCTTTTACCATCAGCAAGCAATATCATCGGTGGAAGAAACTTTAAAAATTTCTTTGTAAAAATGAGAGAATGAAGTGGCAAGAGAATATTCCCAACACATAACTCTTTTTGTTCGTAAATTACAATAAAAATAAACCAAGAATACATCCATTGTACTATCGATGGGCCGTACAAAATCATTATTCGACCAATTGTTTTCCAAAAACTGTACGCTACTGTAACCTCAATTTCACAATTATCTGTTTTCCAAACATGAAGTTGAACGACATGTGAATTTCCAGCAGGTTTTGGGCGATGAAGTTGTAAAAGAAGGTTAAATTCCATTGACTCAAGTTCTTTTGCATAAATATCTTCTCTGGACCAAGGAATATGAATTCTTCCAAGAAGCAAACTACGCTGGTCATAGTCAGATGGCAAATTCACCTTTTTCACTTTGATACTGTAAATGTCAAAGTTATTTCCGATCATTGGTAGTGAAATATTTAGAAATAAATCAGTGGACCGAAATCTACTGACGCCAATAATCATTTTCAAATTGCTAGTAGTTTGTAGTTGAATGAAAATTTTACATGGATATTGAAGAGAAGATATTGTTAAGTGTGAGGTATTCACCAGTTTTGTCGAATGCGCTACAAACACTGCTTTCTTGTTCACACTTGGTAATGTATAGGAAGTGACTGGCTCAATTTCATCACACATATTATTTTTAATACTTCTACAATTTCCAATAAAAATATTTGCTAAAGACCTTGACAAAACTACAAGATATTTGTTGGAGATGTTTGGATGAACTTCAATCACAATTTTATCATATAAAGACAATTTTTGTACCCTTCCAACAAATCTTGCTGCCATATAATGAGACAATGATGAATGAATCTTAGATTTGACAATCTTTCGGCCCTTCACCTCATTGTCATTCTCAAAACCTCCAAAATACTTTTGTAACACTTTTATTTGAGTGCTTTTATCCCTATATATTCCACCGATTTCTTCATCAATTAAGGAGAACAATGCCCGATTTACAACCAAAACAAGTTGTTTGCACCAACACAGAGCTAAATGATCAATAGTCAGCCAGACATTAGTTAATGCTGTGGTTACCACAACACTTTCTTGTTTCCACATAGTCGTAGGGAGGGAGCAATATTTTGGTGGAACCAGCACATCTCTAGAGCCCCCGGATAGTGCTATAATGCTAACATTTTCCAGCAAAGTATTTGATCCCCAAAAAGTGTTGACAATGTGATAAAAAGAGTTAAGATGGCTATCTAATGATAGAACTGGTTCTTTGTGAGGTGTTCCCAGTGTTATAATGACTGATACAAGTTTACAAGGAAGATGTTTCAAAGCAAACAAAGCACGTGCAATCATCCCACCCATGGAATGACCAATGAGAATGATTGATTGAGGTGTTGAATGACTTTTTCTGTACATCTGAGCAATATGCAAGATGCATTTGTAGACAAAATCAACCTCTTGTTTTAGTACACCACCATATAATCCACTTAAGTCTTCGTCAAGATCAACAGTGAAATAATTGAAATGTATTCTACGTCCATGTGCCTTACGAAGAGCAACTGAAGCAAGTGATCTTACCTGGCGGTAACTTCCAGCATTTCCTGGAATAAACAACACTGGTATTCCATGCAGCTGCAAGCTCCTCCTTTGCTCTTGGGCATAGTAGCCTTCACCATACAAGTAAAGTCCATATCTAGGAAATTTCTTAGATGTCTGTTCTTTTAGCTTAACTTTGATATATTCCGGGCGCTCAAACATATAAGTCATATCACAATCATTTCTTTCTTGCTTGGTTAAAGCTGTTTTCATCGCAAGATATATTATAAGAGTCATGATCAACCATATGGCAAAGATCATTATGGACAAGAGCCCACAATTCTTCATGATAATAAAAACGGGATAAATTAACACTGACTCTCAAGAAAGATTTTCTACTCAACAGATAAAAAGAAATATTAAAAGGTAATTGGCTACAGAAACATATGATGATACTGCAATTTTATGGTACAATGATCAGAAACATGATAACCATCAAAAGAAACAATACAATAGAATTGAGCCTTCGTTATTATTGATATTTTTGGTCAGTGGTCATTGTTGTTGGTTGTTTGAGCGATTGAGCATATGACGTCACTACGACGGTAGACAGTAAGCAACACACGCTTTTCCTGTGTTATGTTGCGGGCAAGTTGAACTTATTTAAACTTTTTCTTTCGTCATTATCTTTCTAGCATTGCTGACGAGGATATCTTCTTAACAGCTAACCTTCTAAACCATTTTTCATGATGAGAAAAAAGCTTCCTTTTTCTGCCGTGAATTACTAAAGAGGGTTTGTCTATTGGGGGTATTTTAATACTACGAAATTGACAAGAAGAAAGATTCAAAAATGAATTTTTGAACATACGAAGACAAAACTTTTATCTCAAACAGGCTGGTCGAAAGAAATTTATTTATATTTGGCTGAATTTATAAATACGATAAGTCTAATTGGTATCAAAGGCAAACAAATCAATGGTCATGTCTTCCCTGCAAAACAGGCCTCAGAATCCTCATGGACTACGACAAATAAAGTTGGATGAAATTTGGGATGATTTACAAGGTGGTATTAATCATGTTTATAAAAGACAAAGTATGGCCAAGCCACGTTACATGGAACTTTACACGTATCATTTGTTTATATCTAGAATAGATAAACATAATGGGAAATGCTTATGGTGTTTACTTTATAAAGGTCCATAATGGTTGATTTATAGGCAGGTGTAGTATTTTAAATATCCAGGTAACTGGCATAAGTCTAGAACTTACTAAGTTAGTTTTATTTTAAGTAATTAAGACATTGGGCCTGAGTTTATAGCAACATTTGGGTTGTGTTGTGACGGTATGTGAAGGAACTATCTTTTATTTTCCCAAACAAACAGCTGAAATAAATTTGTGTAACATTTTCCTCTTCAACAGGCCTCAATGTTATCATTACAGTTTGCAAACTGATACAAACACACAAGTATAAAAAAGTGTGAAACAATGTGTTTTTACATGTACATTTCCTGAAGCATTATAAAACATAATTTATTGTACTGTTTGTTTGAATTTGGTATACATGTTTAAGTCAGTTAAAAATATGCCTTTCCTTCAGAAAATTCCCCAAATTTAACCAAACTATTATTAGCAAAACCTAAGAAACACCATTTAAGAGATTAAAGTACAGATATAAGCAACAATATATAGAAAATAATTTCAATGTTATTTCTGAAGAGTTGAGACAAAAGTGTTTTTTTCAGTAAAATCATATTCTTACATAATATGTATACATAATTTTGTAACAATCTTCAGATGAAGGCAGGAAGAAGTAGGAACTTAAATCTGCTTTTTATATCAGAATTTGAAGCTCTAGTCAGGTTGTTCATGTTATTGTTAAATAGTATTATGGAGATATAAAATAGTGCTATTTTATTGTATGATATTTTACTGTGACCTAGCCAGGCCATTTATTGTTCTGCTTTGACAGTTTTTAGTTCACTTATTGCAGAAACAATTGATTTCTAATTATATTAAATAATGTTTTTTTTCACTCTGTTTAGTATACAAATGGTGATGCAATAGTGTTATATAACTTTTCTTCATGCATTTTTCAATTTGTCTTTAACATTTAAAAGACATGTTTACAATTACTGTACCAGCATCAACCAACAAACACAACAAAAGATTCACAGAGGAAAGAAACTGTCAGACCGTAATCAACCAGGTAATAATCCTGTTGTGCTAAAAATAAATGTTTTCAGTCATAGCTAGTATGTATTTTATTGTTCATTTGTAGGTGCACAATTTGTGGGATCTGATCTTTATAAACGTGTAAAAGAATATATGCGATCTTATTTAATCAATTTATTGAAGGTTTGTGGTTCTACATACTTTTATTTATACATCATCCAGATTAGTGTAGTTATGAGGAGGAATGTTCCTGTTAGTTTTACTGACATTTTGACAATCTTAGTGGTAGTCATCAAGTGAGTCAGTGAATACCATCACTAACATTCCTTATGATTGCACTAACCTGGGCAGTTTACGTCCACAAGCATGTGCTCCAGGGTTTAAATTATTTACTTAGTTACAATAGTATTTTGCTGCTAATTTTGCTGTATTTGGATTGGCAATTTTCAATCATTCAATCAAGGTTTGAAGTAAAAAATCTATAGTTGAATTTTTATTTATGTCCTGATGGTAACTTCCACTGCTAGATAACTTGTTAATATCAAATCACATCAATTACATTTCTTAACAGATTGCACTTTATAAAATATACCTACCTATGTATAGCAATGTATGAGAGCTAGATAGCATGTGTACTATGTACTTGGAATTCTAGACAATGTTTTATTAGGAATTTGTGGCTCGGAATATTTGTTACAAAGTGTATCCCACAATCATGAATATAAATAATTATGTAAAACATTAGCTGGTTATTAAGATTATTCATTAGAATGGTGGTAATGTAAACAACTTGTTACTAATGTTCAATATAGAGCCAATTTACGTTCAACTTAATCATTTGGTATATTCAAAAAAACAGAATCTTATATCTTCCATCAAACTGAAAACTCATGATAATTGTTAAACAAACAATACCATTAAACCCAAATACATTAACACACAAAACATAGTCATGTATGTTATAGAGCAATGCGACATAATGATCTATCTTGCTCATGTAACGTTGTGTATCGTACATATGCATTTAACATGTCCCATTTCGTCGTCGATTCAACTCGTGATCTGTTTTCTTACTAAACTTCTCGATATAATTACGTTTATTTGAGGCTGCTCCTCTCTCAAAGCTGCTCTGCTAGACATATTTCGTACTGCTGCATAAGATCATAATTTGGTTTTTGTATCCCCCCTAATGGTATATGGCAGCGTTGATTTGTTGCTGTATTTGCACATGCGTGATGTAGCCACAGTTTTAACAAACTTACTTACCTTGATGTCTAACAAGAGAACAGATTCCAAATTAAATCGATAGAAATTTTCAATTGCTTCACTGCATTGAAGTCATACGTAGCTAGCATTTATCATAGTAGCTGAAATTAGTTTTCACACGTAGATTCGTGTTTTATATCTCGTATCTTGGTTCCCGAAAATCATTCAAATCTTGTAGGATGGTGCTGATCTTATGGATGAATCTGTTTTGACATTTTATACACAGCAATGGGAGGATTATAGATTTTCTAGTAAAGTGCTTAATGGTGTATGTGCTTATCTTAATCGGCATTGGGTGAGAAGGGAGCGAGATGAAGGAAGCAAAGATATTTACGAAGTATACTCGGTATGTTTATTGCCATTTTTGTATGATTTAGCTGACTTGAAAACGAGAATAAAAAAGTTTTGAGTAACCTGTTTCGTTGAAATTTTATTCATATTGTATTGTGAAGTATCCAAACAAATTACTGTACATAAGTGTATGTTAGCATGCATTAGCAAGCAGAAGTTGAAGCATAAACTTGCTTCTTTTGAAGAAAGAACCTGCTCTCATATACCTGTATTTATCTTAATAGCTTGCTCTTGTCATTTGGAAAGAATGTTTATTCAAACCGCTCAATAAACAGGTGACATCTTCCTTTATATTCGGTGTGTCACTTGACGTGCACTACCAGTATAACAACATTTGTGTCGTTTTGTCAATAAATTTTATTTTCTATGTAACAACTAAATGTTGTTTTCCTTTTAAAATACGTGGTCGATTAAAGCATTAGTGTCGTGTGTGAATTTGTGATTTATGTAATTTTTTATGTGTGATAGAAATAGAAGTACATATGAAATGCTCTTGTTGTTAATGTTGTATGTATTTGTAAATCCTTATCTTCATTTTGCTGAAATTCTGTTTTACAGAAGTCAGTGGAATGAAGGAATAATTAATGATGTTATGGGATTATTTTGTGCTCAAGCATATTTAATCATTTATTGTTATTCCAGGTGACAAATGCTGTTCTACGGTTGATTGAACGCGAACGAAACGGTGAAACAATCAATACAAGACTTGTTAGTGGAGTTATACAATGCTATGGTGCGAATCTTACTTTCTCGCTCTTCTAAACTATGAAATTTAAATTGTACTTTGCCATACATATCTTCAACAATAGAAGTGCTTGATTTCCAAAAATATTACGCATAGAAAAGACGAACGAACAAAAAATTCTCCAGTGCAATCTTCTCTCAATGTGATTGTCTCTATTGAGCGAGGAAAGACTTACATCTAGGCATTACTGTTTATTTCAAACTGTGGTTTAGAACGAGGCTCAGAACATGTAATCAAAAGGGTTTTTGCTTGTTCGTAAGAATTTTTATACTGGAGAATGATGTTGAAGATGTCCAATTTTTTTCCGGAAAATAGTACAAATTAATTTTTCAAATAAATGCAAATAATACAAGTAATTTTTAAAATGTAGCTATAACTTGCATTTCTTTCAGTGGAACTTGGTTTAAATGAAGAAGATCACGACTTTAAAGGACCAACTCTAGGCGTTTACAAAGCTTCATTCGAAGAGTTATTTTTAGAAGATACGGAACGATTTTACGCTGCTGAGAGTGCAGAATTTTTGAGAGAAAATCCTGTTACAGAATACATGAAGCGAGTACGTACAGTAAATATTTTATACTAAACATGTGTTTTTCATCGATGTTGTTAATACTAACATTAACATTGCTGTTTAGGCAGAAACTCGACTTTCAGAAGAACAAAAAAGAGTAAGATTATATTTACACGAGAGTACTCAGGATGAGGTCAGTGGATAAGCTTTCTAACTTGAAATACACCACCGACTTAGTATTTGCTGTTTAAATTTACATTTTAATCTCATGCAACCAGATGAGCTCATCGCAAATTGTATATTCTTGGGTCTTTTGAGTAAAGTTGCAACGAAGAATGACCGAGCAGTGTGTTTTGCTTTCTTTCGTTGTTTTTGAGGACTTTAAATTCACATATATATACATAAGTTTACTTATATTTACATAAAATTACATGTATTTACTGGCTTTTTTTCTCTATCCATTTTCTAAGACCTTCTACTGGCTTTTTTTCTTTATCCATTTTCTAAGACCTTCTGAAATAAATTATTGACTTTGCTTAACTTTTTCAGTTTTCTTTTTGTTGATTGCAGCTTGCAAAGAAATGTGAACAAGTGTTGATTGGAAAACATTTTGACATTCTATATGCTGAGTTTCAGTACTTATTAAACGACGACAAAGATTCAGGTTGGTTTCTCATTTTCTTTGGTAAATTTTAGCAAGTTTACATGGAGTTATGTGCCAAGAGAATGTGCCAAGTTTTAAGATGGCACCAAATGTTAAGATTGCAACCGGAATTTATGTTTGGATATGGTTCATCATGTATCGGCATTTACAGGCAAATGTATTGGTGTAGTTTTCAAAACATAAATTTATTTTCTTAGATCTTGGACGTATGTATAACTTGGTGAAGTTGATTCCAGATGGCTTGGGTGAACTACGAAATTTGCTAGAACAGCACATATCTAACCAGGGACATAGTGCTATTGAGAAATGTGGAAACGAAGCTGTAAATGTTCGTACTATTTATTATTAACGTTAGTTTATTAGTTTTTATGTTTTATGAAGTGTTTATCATCTCGTACGCCCACCTATTGATATATCGAAGAAATGTAAAAATTAGTTGTGAAATTTGATGCGCTTTAATCTCTTTAATTGTTTTGACTTTGACAAAGTATTAACAAAGTATTGGTTAAACTTAAACTTGTTAATGCACCTAAAATGAATTATCATAAGACTCTTGACATTTGCAGAATGAAAAGACCGTGTATGCAGGGATTTTGACCGCCTTCAAAAAAGATTTCATCCTATTTTATAGCTTTAAGGATATGTTATGTATTTTACATGAAGGACATTATTTATGTCAACAGTGTTTAAGGCTAAAACGAACATTTTTTTCACTACGTTAATGTTTTATTTAGGATCCCAAATTGTACGTTGAGACGATTTTATGTGTACACCGTAAGTACAATGCTTTGGTCATGACGGCGTTTGGCAACGACAATGGTTTTATTGAAGCGTTAGATAAGGTTAAATGTTTTTCTTTTTTTTTGAAACTTCACTTCTTTATTTGCATTTCACTGCATAACAATGAAATTATTGTAATTATTTCTTCATTTCATAAATCTTAGGCTTGTGGTAAATTCATTAACGTCAACGCTGTAACAAAGCATGCTAATAGTACATCAAAATCCCCCGAATTGCTCGCAAGATATTGTGATTCACTTTTGAAAAAAAGGTTTGTATTCACACAACATTCAGTGTACATTATGTAATGTTGAAGTACACGGTATTTTATTTCAAATTTAGTTCAAAAAATCCCGAAGAAGCAGAGTTAGAGGATATTCTAAACTCAGTTGTAAGTGTGGAGGTGTATAAACTGTTGCAAGTAACGTTCGTTAATAAGTTTTTAAGTGTGCAAGTGTATAAACTGTTGCAAGTAACGTTCGTTAATAAGTTTGTAAGTGTGCAAGTGTATAAACTGTTGCAAGTAACTTTCGTTAATAAGTTTTTAAGTGTGCAAGTGTATAAACTGTTGCAAGTAACGTTCGTTGATAAGTTTATAAGTGTGCAAGTGTATAAACGGTTGCAAGTAACGTTCGTTAATAAGTTTATAAGTGTGCAAGTGTATAAACTGTTGCAAGTAACGTTCGTTAATAAGTGTGCAAGTGTATAAACTGTTGCAAGTAACGTTCGTTAATAAGTTTGTGTGCAAGTGTATAAACTGTTGCAAGTAACGTTCGTTGATAAGTTTATAAGTGTGCAAGTGTATAAACTGTTGCAAGTAACGTTCGTTAATAAGTTTGTAAGTGTACAAGTGTATAAACTGTTGCAAGTAACGTTCGTTAATAAGTTTATAAGTGTGCAAGTGTATAAACTGTTGCAAGTAACGTTCGTTAATAAGTTTGTAAGTGTGCAAGTGTATAAACTGTTGCAAGTAACGTTCGTTGATAAGTTTGTAAGTGTGCAAGTGTATAAACTGTTGCAAGTAACGTTCGTTGATAAGTTTGTAAGTGTGCAAGTGTATAAACTGTTGCAAGTAACGTTCGTTGATAAGTTTAAGTGTGCAAGTGTATAAACTGTTGCAAGTAACGTTCGTTAATAAGTTTGTAAGTGTGCAAGTGTATAAACTTTTGCAAGTAACGTTCGTTGATAAGTTTGTAAGTGTGCAAGTGTATAAACTGTTGCAAGTAACGTTCGTTGATAAGTTTATAAGTGTGCGTATAAACTGTTGCAAGTAACGTTCGTTTAAGTTTGTAAGTGTGCAAGTGTATAAACTGTTGCAAGTAACGTTCGTTGATAAGTTTGTAAGTGTGCAAGTGTATAAACTGTTGCAAGTAACGTTCGTTAATAAGTTTGTAAGTGCAAGTGTATAAACTGTTGCAAGTAACGTTCGTTAATAAGTTTGTAAGTGCAAGTGTATAAACTGTTGCAAGTAACGTTCGTTGATAAGTTTGTAAGTGTGCAAGTGTATAAACTGTTGCAAGTAACGTTCGTTGATAAGTTTGTAAGTGTGCAAGTGTATAAACTGTTGCAAGTAACGTTCGTTGTTAAGTTATGAAGCTACTTAATGCTACATATAGCTACATTAAATACATGAAAGAAAAATATGAAGAAATTTGAAGTTTTTACCAAAGTTTTGTATGCCTGTCTGTAGATGATTGTGTTCAAGTATATCGAAGATAAAGACGTTTTCCAGAAATTCTACTCAAGAATGCTTGCAAAGAGATTAGTTAATCAAACATCTGCTTCTGATGATGCTGAGGCGAACATGATTTCGAAACTAAAGGTATAATGTTTAAATTGAATGTGTTTTTTTTACGTACAGTAACATGTATAAAGTACAAAAGCAATTTTCCACCTTAAAGATTCTGCTGATATTCCAACAATCAAGGCAAGGCAATGTATAGCTAAATTTAAGTTTTATTTATCTTATTTATTTAATGATTTTATAGCAAGCCTGTGGTTTTGAGTACACATCTAAACTTCAGAGAATGTTTCAAGATATTGGAGTCAGCAAAGATCTTAATGATCAATTTAAGAAATATCTCACAGATAAATGTCATTCGGAGTGTAAGTAACTACATTGTACCTACGTAATGTTATTTATCTGTACATAGTTGGAAGAAGGGAGTGTAAGTAACTACATTGTACATACGTAATGTTATTTATCTGTACATAGTTGGAAGAAGGGAAAGACGAACTTCAATGACATACGTAACTAAAACTTATTTGCTTAGATTAAGTTTGACTGTACATTTCTGACCACACATTTCCTGTACACACAATACGATGACGTTATGAACTAGACAACAAATAAGGCTAACCTGATGTTTACTCCTCACTTGAATCTAAAGATGACTACCGCTAAGGTTGTCGAAACGTCAGTCAACGTCAACAACAACAGTCCTTCTCAGGACTATACCAACCTGGACGATCTACATCCACAAACATGTAACGATACTCCCAGGTTAAACCATTTACTTTAGTACATACTTTAGGTATGTTACCAATGCAAGATAAGCTACTGACGATGTTCGTTTAGGATATTGTGAACAAAGTACTACACATTTACTGTACATGACTTTTAAAACTAAAAAATATTCATCATAAAAAATGTGTATGTATACGACTATATCATTCAATATGAATTTGAGTTCGTTTAAGTTAAGGCTTATCATTGTATAATTTTTGATACAAGACTATTTAACTTTAACTGTTCATTCATTCATTATCAATTTATGATGATATTTGCCTTAGTTGGCGGATTGTTGTATTGTTATTACATATGATATTTTTATTTTGCTATATTGTTATATTATTATGTTGTTATATGCAATAATGTTGAAGACTTTGAAAAATAATCATGTTTTTCCTATGTTTTTTTATTGTGTTATAGCTGGTGTTGATTTTTCAATCCAAGTTCTTAGCTCTGGATCGTGGCCATTTCAACAATCAGTGGGCTTCAATTTACCTGTTGAGGTACTGTTACATAATTTATATATTCACCCGTTTCATTTTTATACAAAACTGGAGTAAAGTATTGAATTTCTCTGTTCAGTCTTACGAAAATTTAGAATGATATCGCACGTCTGAACGGATCAAATTAGTGACGAAAAGGAATAAACGTTTCTAATTTTTCTTCTCGCGCCAAGTTTACATCGAACTCAAGTTTATTTTTGCGCCGCGAATGGGCGATAAAGAATTGAATATTATAACTTAACGACTTTCTCATTTGACTATTTTTAGCTTGAAAAAAGTTACCAAAGTTTTAGTAATTTTTACGGCAGTCGCCATAATGGACGAAAACTTCAATGGGTTTATCAAATGTCCAAGGTATTTACGAAAATAGATAATGTTGTATGCTTTTATGTACATGTACACTTAATGTGTATAGAACTTTTATAAAGTAACGAATAATTTTTATGAAGCCTATCTCATTTTTTGAATTTTTTTACTTGATTTTATTTGTTATCTTTAACTTGTGTATATATTTATGTATTTACATGAATATGTTATTTATTGCATATCGTATATGTTATCTTTTACATTTATATTTACGTATGTTGATTTTACGTATATATTTACGTATGTTATTTTTTAGATATGTACTTACGTATGTTATCTTTTGTATATGTATTTACGTATGTTATTTTTTAGATATGTACTTACGTATGTTATCTTTTGTATATGTATTTACGTATGTTATCTTTTGTATATGTATTTACGTATGTTATCTTTTGTATATGTATTTACGTATGTTATCTTTTGTATATGTATTTACGTATGTTATCTTTTGTATATGTATTTACGTATGTTATCTTTTGTATATGTATTTACGTATGTTATCTTTTGTATATGTATTTACGTATGTTATCTTTTGTATATGTATTTACGTATGTTATCTTTTGTATATGTATTTACGTATGTTATTTTGACATACGTTTTTTACATATGTATTTAGGGTGAACTTGTGACTAACTGTTTCAAAAACAGATACACATTGCAGGTAACTGCATTACATTCCGTTCTTCTTTTATAGCGTTCATTTCAATAAACTATGTATTGTCAATCTTTCATTTACTGTATATCACGAGTACAAATAACTTTTTATAATTTTTTATGGAGCTGCTGGATTTTGCTAAGCTCTTAAGAGACGTACTTACACTAAACATTGCGCAGTCTACACAACAACAGCTTTTTTTCAAATAGAAATGGATTCATTTAGAAAGGATTCTTCTCAGCTACATGGGTTAGGCAACATGCACTTATGTTGCGTTAGGTATTTGAGTGGATAAAGCTAAGAAAAGCTAAGACTGTTTATCTGAGAAAAAATAACTGCACAAACCATAACATCTAACTGCAAAATTATCTGCATTGCAAGAATCAGCAATTTTTAGGCACTTTGACGCAGCATCAAGTCATTGTGTCAGCTGTGAATTGTATTTCTTTATTTTAAGTTATTTATCTGTACCACCACTGTTGTACCTAACCAATAATCAAACATAACTGACGCTTTTTATTCATAATCAATTTTTCCATGATCAATTTTTCCATTCATATTTTTATTCATATGTTATGAATTTTTGTTCAGGCATCGACATTTCAGATGGGAATTCTGCTGATGTTTAACAACGAAACTAAATTTACTGTCAAGCAAATTGAAGAACACACGGGACTAAATATTGTAAGTGGATTTTGTGTTATTTGTGATACCATAACTTTTGAGGGTTGAACTTGTAAAAAAAGGACATTACACGAAGTGTTACGAAATTAGGTGAAAACAAGAGTTTAGAAGTAGTCAAGTCAAACCACCACAAAGACTGCAGAAAGACTTTAATAGTCAAATATTGGGTTTGGGGGTACTCTTTGGAGGGTACTCTGATTTGGGACGGAAGAACACATATACCTGTAAATTTTGGTTAATATACATTGCCCTCGATTTGGCTAATATAACAACAGCCATCTGTTTGATTGACCAATCTGGAGCAAGTAGCGTTGAACTTAGCTAATGTCTTCCATTATTAAGTCGGAAACTTTCGTGAAATCATTAATATGTCAAAAACCGTTAAGTTGTGATTGACTCTAGTTGTATTTTGATATGAGATAAAATCTTTCTCTTTTTAATTGTTATTGTTCTCCAATATTACGCTAAACCTTTGCAAAAGTTTATTATTATAACCAAAAAACTTTTTTGTATTGTCGCTTATGATCCAACAATACTTTCTCTGCTTTACAATACTTAAAAGCATGTACTTTATTTTCATTCCAAAGAATAGCAAGCATTTTCCTTTTTAGGATACGTTATTTCAAATCCTAAGCGTGCTTCTCAAGTCAAAACTATTGGTGAGTTACTTATGGAGTTTCGTAAGGTTAATGAACGAATTGAATGTGTTTTTCCCATTGAGCTAAAGTACATGGAACGCTACCTGTAATAGAAAAGCCTGGTAATTTTTTGAAGCCAAATTTTACACCCGAGATTACACTCAGACTCGCGTGTGTAGTTCAATCAATTTTCACTCCGTGAGAGAATCTCGAAACACGGAACACGCGTGTCTTGGTGTAATCTCGCGTGTGTAGTTCAATCAATTTTCACTTCGTGAGAGAATCTCGAACACGGAACACGCGTGTCTTGGTGTAATCTCGCGTGTGTAGTTCAATCAATTTTCACTTCGTGAGAGAATCTCGAAACTTCAATTATTTGCTTCAGGTAGCGTTCCATGTATTTTAGTTCAATGGTTTTTCCTATTCGGGGCAACCAACCAACGATTTATATAAACGTTTTATTTGACATATTTTGAATTCATCGTTCTAGATATCGGAAGACGAATCTGGTGGATTATCTTCAAGTACCATTTTAAAGTTATTTCTTGAGTATAAGAAGTAAGTGAATGACATGATATTCGACTTTATTTATCAAAGCATCTACATTCTAATACTTATTATGGCGCAGCGCGTACATGTCAAGCTGTTAGACTAACCTTTTATATGGCAATTCTGCTCTTCAATTGAGTTCATTTTGTTTCCTAATTTGTCAATTGTGGAACAGTAAAACAGCGTCCATTAAAGAATTAAACACAAAATGCCAACTTCACTGGCCTTGTCTCATTTAAAACTACTTTAAAGAAAAATGTTTGTACATCAAGACTAAACTAACGTATGTACTGAAAACCATAGATATTTCCATTATATTAGTCCCAAAGATCTAACAATGTTTCAAAATGTTGACATCGACTTTGATATGTTTCTTTGACCTTAAACTAAACCTGCGTTGAAACAATTATAATTAAAACCAGTTGTAAAGCTTAGAAATATCAAGTTGATATAACGTTAAAAAATAGCATGATACAATATGAACAATAACGACCTTATCTAACAACATTTGAATGTTCACTTTCCACATCTCTTCCTTGTGAACGAGAGAAGCCTACTCAAAAGTAGAGAGCCTTACGCTACAAGTCCCGGGATTGTGACCGGCATAGCAGAGTTAAGAAATGAAAGGTTTATCATTGATTAATCAACTGATTATTTCTGTTCATTTTTGTTTGTAAGCATGTCAAACAATTCATATGAGTAGACTTGTCTCGTTCACAATGAAGAAAAGTGGAAGATTAACAATCAAATGTTGTTAGATAAGGTCGTTATTGTTTATAATTGTTGGATAAAGCATTATGTTATTTTTTGTGTTGTTTAATAAAATTCCAACTATTTGAACCTGATATAACGTTATTATAAAGAGAATGTGTCATAGCTATACCTGCAATATTTGTAATCTTTAGAATGTAATTAGAAAAGTAATCAATAATAAAAAAATTTCTTAAAAAGACAAAGTGTTTGAAGACAGAAACAACTTCGCGTGAAAAAATCATTTTGTTTAACCTAGAATTAATGATTAGCAAAAAATATTTTCTTTCAGCAAGAAACTCCGAGTAAATATAAATGTTCCAGTGAAATTGGAACAAAAACAAGAGCAGGAACAAACACATAAACATATCGAAGAAGATCGGAAACTGCTTATTCAGGTATACATCAGTACTGAACTAAAACTGACTATCTCAGCGCAGAAAATTGATTAATGACTCAGAACAGCGAAGGATTGGCGTATAAAGCCTTTCATTCAAAATTTTGTTACAAATGAAACCAGTTAATGTTTGATAAGTTATGCATGTCTCGTTTTGAACTTGTTTTAATCATGCTTGATGCGTCATTATACTATGTCCAATTTCGCTGGTTTTTACGTAGATTATATATTTCTCCAATTATTTCTTCATTCATTTTGATAATTAGAACATGGAGCTGGCACATTTAATAAATTTACTGTGCCACAAATGTAACCATAGTTGCACTGGCCTTCAGTTTCAGATTTTAGAAAGAATAACTTGCAGTCTTTATTGTTTACCTGAAGAATGATTCTATAGCTAAATATATCACTTGCATAGATTTTATTGTTTGTCATTGTGAAAATGGGTGGCCAAAATTACTTGTGTCGTTAGAGGAACCAGGCAATATTTTTTGTGTTTATGATTACAAAACTGTAAATTTTTTAAGAAGTAAGCGATTTTAGTAATTTAAATTTGCAGATTAACTTACCTCCTCCACCTTTTGCCCTTTCTTCCCCCCGACCCTCCCTCCCCCCTCCCCCGACCATGAGATATTTCTCTGCGGACGCCACCAATAGTCGTAACTGTAAAGTTTTATCCTCCCAAAATATTCTTAGCATAATATACTATTGTTACATTGCGTAGGCTGCGATAGTTCGTATCATGAAGATGAGAAAATTGTTAAAACATCAACCTCTGCTGGCGGAGGTCATGCAACAATTGTCTAGCCGTTTCAAACCAAGAGTACCCGTCATTAAGGTAGAAATTTAATGTTTTTGTTTCTGTGATGGAGTTTTGTAAAATTATACATTTAGGCTTTCTCATGTTTATTGACATATCTTGTCAAGTAATAAGAGCTTGGTTGATTTTAATTTCGAGAAAATAAAGCAATCGTTTACCTACAATTTTCAAATGTTTAATAATAGCAGCGGTTCTTCACTTGTCTACATTATGTTAAATTACTGAATGTTGTAATTTGATATAAGATCGCTGTACTGCATCTTGTGGATACCAAACTTTGAGGTGTTTGTGTTAACGAAACTGTTCCTTTTTGAAGGGATATGAATGATGTCGGCTTTCGTGCCTAACAGCTGCAAAAATACTCATAAGTTTCTTGATTCAAAGTTATTGCCTGAGCTGTGAAAATTATTAATAAATTATTCTATTTTAGTTTTGTATAAAATAGATTTTCTTATTGTTATACCGTTCTTTGTTGAAAAAAGCATGTGGAGAGGGAATAGTTAATCAGCTTGTAAACTTGCATTGTGCCGACTTGTGTTTCTTATTTTGTGTTGATCCGTGGCTAATGAAATGAACTATTACTTTATTGTTATGGCTCGAAGAATTTAAATTCATTGATCAATTTGATTTTTATTATCTGAGATGTGTATTACAGCCTACATAGAATATATAACCGTGTTTGTTTTAAATCGTTTAAATTAAACATTACAGCTTACATAGAATATATAACCGTGTTTGTTTAACTTAAACGATTTAATACAAACAATGCAAGGTGTATTGCAGAAATTTTAACAAGTGGGGCTCTCTGATATATGTATTAACTAGTACTCATACTATAGTGATATTGACGTTGGCCCGAAAACAAATGGCCCTTGAAATGTGAACATTTTTACTTCAAACATTTTAACAATTACTGCATGTCATATTCAGTAGAATACGAAGGCTCTTCAAAAATATCTAACGGCAAATTATTAGTTTTATTGCGATCTTAGCTCACCATGTTGAAGGAAGGTTTTATCACGACATAGCTACTTATCTTAGCTCACCATGTTGAAGGAGGGTTTTATCACGACATAGCTACTTATCTTAGCTCACCATGTTGAAGGAGGGTTTTATCACGACATAGCTACTTATCTTAGCTCACCATGTTGAAGGAAGGTTTTATCACGACATAGCTACTTATCTTAGCTCACCATGTTGAAGGAAGGTTTTATCACGACATAGCTACTTATCTCAGCTCACCATGTTGAAGGAGGGTTTTATCACGACATAGCTACTTATCTTAGCTCACCATGTTGAAGGAGGTTTTATCACGACATAGCTACTTATCTTAGCTCACCATGTTGAAGGAGGGTTTTATCACGACATAGCTACTTATCTTAGCTCACCATGTTGAAGGAGGGTTTTATCACGACATAGCTACTTATCTTAGCTCACCATGTTGAAGGAAGGTTTTATTACGACATAGCTACTTAACCAATCACAAAGGGGTAAATTTGTTGCGAAAACTTAAAGAAGACGTAAAAATTCAGAAAAACTATAAAAAGACAAAGCATGCTATGCTTAGACTGGCATATATATATTTTTACTTTTTAAACTAAATAATCCCGTCAGTTTACACCTTGAAATATTTGTATGTTTCTTTTTCTCTTCAGAAATGCATTGACATATTGATAGAAAAGGAATATTTGGAAAGAGTTGAGGGGGAAAAAGATGTATACAGTTATCTGGCATGAATAAGACATTGTTGTCGTTAAACAACCAGTTTCCGAGGTATAAATACCAGCATGACTTGCAAACATCACAATGTGCCTTTGGCGACGGTCTATCGTGGTTCAGAGTATGAAATGTTTATCGAAAATCACTAAAACATTGTGTTCCATGGAGACTAACTGTTGTACGAATGAAGCTTTTCCAGCTGTTTTCTTAAATAAGTGTACATTTTTCTTCATTTGTAAACATTAATTCTTCAGAGATATTTAAAGAAATAAAGGTTATTCGTATAAGTGGGCAAAGTATAGAATTGAACGGAAAGCCAGGCATGTACCTCAAGTGAAGTGAGCATGTACAGCAAGTGAAGTGAGCATGTACAGCAAGTGAAGTGAGCATGTACAGCAAGTGAAGTGAGCATGTACAGCAAGTGAAGTGAGCATGTACAACAAGTGAAGTGAGCATGTACAGCAAGTGAAGTGAGCATATACAGCAAGTGAAGTGAGCATGTACAGCAAGTGAGTGAGCATGTACAGCAAGTGAGTGAGCTACCAATGAAGTCACAGCAAGTGAAGTGAGCAACCTCATTGTGAGCATTACAGCAAGTGAAGTGAGCATGTATTTCAGAAGTGAGCATGTACAGCAAGTAAAAGCATGCAAGTGAAGTGAGACTCAAGTGAAGTAAGCATAAAGCTTTAAGTGAGCATAGTGAAGTGAGCATAGTGAAGTACACCTTGAAGTGAGCATGTACAACAAGTTAGTAAGCATGTACCTCGAAGTGCATTGCACCTGTGAAGTGAGCATGCAAGTGAAGTGATTGACAAGTGAAGTGAGCATGTACAGCAAGTGAAGTGAGCATGTACCTCAATGAAGTGAGCATGTACAGGCTGAGCATAGACATTGTTAGTAGTTAGCATGTACAGCCAGTGAAGTAGCATGTAAAAAGTGAGCACCAGCAGTGACTTGCAAGCATCACAAGTGAAGTGAGCATGTACGCAAGTGGTGATATCAAGTGTGGTTCAGAGTATGAAATGTTTATGTACAGCAAGTGAAGTGAGCATGTAAAAGAAGTGAGCATGTACCTGTGAAGTGAGCATGTACTCAATGAAGTGAGCATGTACAGCAATGAAGAGCATTGAAGTGAGCATGTACCTCAAGTGAAGTGAGCATGTACCTCAATTGAAGTGAGCATGTACAGCAAGTGAAGTGAGCATGTACAGCAAGTGAAGTGAGCATGTACCTCAATTGAAGTGAGCATGCAAGTGAAGTGATAGAAGTGATGAGAGCAAGTGTGTAGCAGCAAGTGAAGTGAGCATGTACAGCAAGTGAAGTGAGCATGCAAGTGAAGTGAGCATGTACCTCAATTGAAGTGAGCATTTACAGCAGGTGAAGTGAGCACCTCTGAAGTGAGCATGTACAGCGTGTAAGCATGTACAGCAGGTGAAGTGAGCATGTACCTCAAGTGTAGCAGCAAGTGAAGTGAGCATGTACCTCAAGTGAAGTGAGCATGTACCTCATGAAGTGAGTGTAAGCAAAAGAGCATGTACAGCAGGTGAAGTGAGCATGTAGAAGTGAGCATGTACAGCAAGTGAAGTGAGCATGTACTCAAGTGAAGTGAGCATGTACAGCAAGTGAAGTGAGCATGTGAAGTGAGCATGTACCTCAAGTGAAGTGAGCATATACAGCAAGTGAAGTGAGCATGTACTTCAAGTGAAGTGAGCATGTACAAGTGAAGTGAAGCAGTGTACAGCAGTGAAGTGAGCATGTACAGCAAGTGAAGTGAGCATGTACAGCAAGTGAAGTGAGCATGTACAGCAAGTGAAGCATGTACAGCAAGCAGCAAGTGAAGTGAGCATGTACAGCAAGTGAAGTGAGCATGTACCTCAAGTGAAGTGAGCATGTACCTCAATTGAAGTGAGCATGTACAGCAAGTGAAGTGAGCATGTACCTCAAGTGAAGTGAGCATGTACCTCAAGTGAAGTGAGCATGTACCTCAATTGAAGTGAGCATGTACAGCAAGTGAAGTGAGCATGTACCTCAATTGAAGTGAACATGTACAGCAAGTGGTGTACAGCAAGTGAAGTGTGCACAGCAAGTGAGCAGTACAGCAAGTGAAGTGAGCATGTACCTCAAGTGAAGTGAGCATTTACAGCAAGTGAAGCATGTACAGCAGGTGAAGTGAGCATGTACCTCAAGTGAAGTGAGCATGTACAGCAAGTGAAGTGAGCATGTACAGCAAGTGAAGTGAGCATGTACAAGTGAAGTGAGCATGTACAGCAAGTGAAGTGAGCATATGAGCAAGTGTGCAGCAAGTGAAGTGAGCATGTACCTCAAGTGAAGTGAGCATATGAGTGAGCATGTACTCAAGTGAAGTGAGCATGTACAGCAAGTAAAGTGAACAGCAAGTGAAGTGAGCATGTACAGCAAGTGAAGTGAGCATGTACCTCCAGCATGTAAAGTGAAGTGAGCATGTACAGCAAGTGAAGTGAGCATGTACCTCAAGTGAAGTGAGCACGTGCCTCAAGTGAAGTAAGCATGTACCTCAATTGAAGTGAGCATGTACAACAAGTGAAGTAAGCATGTACCTCAAGTGAAGTGAGCATGTACCTCAAGTGAAGTGAGCATGTACTTCAAGTGAAGTGAGCATGTACAGCAAGTGAAGTGAGTATGTACAGCAAGTGAAGTGAGCATGTACCTCAAGTGAAGTGAGCATGTACAGCAAGTGAAGTGAGCATGTACAGCAAGTGAAGCATGTACAGCAAGTGAAGTAAGCATGTACAGCAAGTGAAGTGAGCATGTACAGCAAGTGAAGTGAGCATGTACCTCAAGTGAAGTGAGCATGTACCTCAAGTGAAGTGAGCATGTACAGCAAGTGAAGTGAGCATGTACCTCAAGTGAAGTGAGCATGTACCTCAAGTGAAGTGAGCATGTACCTCAATGAAGTGAGCATGTACAGCAAGTGAAGTGAGCATGTACAGTGAAGTGAGCATGTACCTCAAGTGAAGTGAGCATGTACAGCAAGTGAAGTGAGCATGTACAGCAAGTGAAGTGAGCATGTACAGCAAGTGAAGTAAGCATGTACAGCAAGTGAAGTGAGCATGTACAGCAAGTGAAGTGAGCATGTACCTCAAGTGAAGTGAGCATGTACCTCAATTGAAGTGAGCATTTACAGCAAGTGAAGTAAGCATGTACAGCAGGTGAAGTGGCATGTACCTCAAGTGAAGTGAGAATGTACAGCAAGTGAAGTAAGCATGTACAGCAAGTGAAGTAAGCATGTACCTCAATTGAAGTGAGCATGTACAGCAAGTGAAATGAGCATGTACCTCAAGTGAAGTGAGCATGTACAGCAAGTGAAGTAAGCATGTACCTCAATTGAAGTGAGCATGTACAGCAAGTGAAGTGAGCATGTACCTCAATTGAAGTGAGCATGTACAGCAAGTGAAATGAGCATGTACCTCAAGTGAAATGAGCATGTACTGCAAATGAAGTGAGCATGTACAGCAAGTGAAGTGACAACGTATATTTTACTTTTTTGCAAATGCTCAATTCTATTGCTCAAGGTTATTTTAAACTTTTGATAAGACGAAAAAGTCGAAAAGCATTTCCAAGCGGTATTCATTTGCTAAATATCAAATTGTGTTTTCTCAAAATGAATTTTTTGCAATAAAATTCTATCTATTGTTGTACAGCTAGGGCGAAATTTTTTTTCTTGTTTTTATTTTCATGTTTTATCAAACACTATAATAAATAGAAAGCTATGCTTTTCAATATAGCTGCACTAAATATTTATAAGCTAGTTCATTTTTTTCAGTAACAATATAATAAGAATTTAGACACACTTAACTTGTCACACTTAACTAGTATGCTTAGAATTCTTTTCAATATTTTTAATCAGTTTTTCAATCAAGACTTTATGCTATACAGTAGCTAAACTCTTTGTTAGTCAAGTCTATAAAATATTTATTTCGAAAATTGTATTTACATCTTTATTATATTCTGGAGTCACATAAAATTCACAAACATTATCATCATTTATCATCTTTATAATAGGTAAACTTTCAAGTAATCATATTCTCTGACCTTTTATGCCATCATTATTTGGATATAAAATAGCCATAACAATTAGTATGACATTGTTCATTCATAATGATGTCACGTGTTTTTACATTACTTATCGTCTCTAATGACTCTTCCTCAAACTCTATTTTACGTAATTTAATTTTTCAATTGTAAGGGCTACATAGCTATATTGTACTCCATTTTTTCTCATTTTCGAGACAGGAAAAGATATTTTTTCTATTCTGCATGTAACTATTTTGGATGAATTTAAAATAATTTAATTATGATTTTTTATTTTTCTTGCTAAAACACAATGCATTGAAATAAAGTCGAAAATTTTTGGTGAAATTGTTGGTTGAACTGAACAATTAGATCAGCAAAAAAACAACATGTTTGTTGATTTTATTTGTCTTAAACAGCACGATATACAATGGGTGGACAACAAAGTTGCGCCATTTAAAATTATCGTTATAGCTAGGCTCGTAGCTCGTCATTTCTGTACACATGTTAGAGTATTGAAGTCTACTGTTGAGGAACTAAATGAAACAAACATATATGAATTGACAGTCGTCATCTGCAACTTTATTTTCACACAATAGAAGAAAAAATATAATTTATAAAATAGAAGCATAATGTTGTGCTATATAAGTTTAATGTCCATCATAATTGTACTGAAGAGACCGTGTTTTACGGCAAACTATACATTTTTTCATAGGAATTTGTTTCGTGAGAATTGGGTTTGCAACATCGCATCTTTTAGACCTGTTCATTTTATACATTATAATTGCGTTTTTTCTACTTTGTATTTTTCTACTTTTAATTTTGCCAGTAACTTCTTCAATGTTAACCTCAAGTTGACTAAGTAAAGTACGACCTTCAAGCTAGAACACATTTATATTTGGACGATTGGCATTGGCATTGGCATTGGCTTGTTTTGTATGAGCTGATTGTTCATCAATCTTTGTATGTAAATAATATATGGACTTTCACATTTTGGTATAAATGAGATCATTAATTGATAAGTATTTACGTCCTAAGGATGTATTAGGGGCGACTTTTTGACTGTGTCAGTCATTGTTTCGTCATTTTTTTTAATTATTATTTTTTCTTGAAACGTTATCAGTGAAAAGTTATCAGTAATACTTTCTACACTAAAACAAAAATATTTTGTTTCTTCTACTAGTAATTGCATGAGAGTTGAAAATTCCCTAGTTTATGCGGTAGTTATGCTAGTATAACGGAGTTCACTAAGGTTTAATTTCCGGTTTTTTAGCATTCTGTAATGACAAATGACTTTATTATGTTTTTATTATAATCGACAAAGCTTAATTGTTGGAAAACTCACTTTGGATCAACACAGAATCAAGTGATTTGTTAAATTTCTTCAATTATGTTTCACGCTGTTAGTTGATTAAAAAAAAAGTTAATATTGAAAAACACCTTATCATTTAGATTTTATTAAATGATTTTACTTTTTCTTTCTGATCTATCATGCATTATTAAAATGCGTGATACCGTCGGGGGAAATAACGTTTCGTGAATTTTTTTAATCTTTCAAGAAGCACTTCCTCACAATGGCAAATGTATGTGTTTAAACCTTATCTGTCACAGCGGTCCAATGTGTTATAAAGTCGATTAGTCGAACTTTACAATATTAACGCGTGTTTTTTATTTTCTATAATCCTGCTGTTTTTGCATATTTTCTGGCAATACGTTTTAAGTTATTTTATTGACATATGAGATGTTAAAATTTCTGTTATGTTTTGCCTCCTGTTTTTTTTTTCATTTATTTGCAAAGAATATATTTTACAATTCATAAAGAGAACATGATAACGACAAAGAATGCCAAGAGGAAAAGTAATGTTTGTCGCATAAGCTAGTTTTATGAGTTCTTCTTTTAATGATAAATTCCTTTAAAACTTGTCAACAACGGGAAAAATTGTTTTTGGCCTCAACAAATTTTACCATTTCGTGGCATTGTTGTTGTAAGCAAAAAGAACCACATATATAGCTAAATTCGTAGCTGCTACATGTCTCATTGTGCAGCTGTTAAGTTGATTGTGCAGCAAATATTTTGTGAATATATCTGTCTAAATTTTTTTAATTTATTATTTAAAATGCATAACAATTTCCAAAATTTAATTTAATGGACATTAAGCAGAAATTGGTTGTGTTCGTCTTTTTGACAATAAATATATTTTACTTCATTAAAAATTAAGCATTTTTTGTAATCTTTTTTCTATGATATGGATAACTAATAGCAAACATATTTTAATGTAAATGAAGATCTGATAATATTAATGTAGCTACGATTTTCGTTATTTTCTTAGGTTACCACTAAACCTAATGAAAGAATTTAAATTGTACGTACTACAATTTTTGATAATCATTATTATTGGAAAACTGCCTTTTGTGCTTTTTTATTGTCTATACATACATAATGATGTTGTTCTATATGCTAAACATACAACTTTACTTGAAAACATAAAAATATTTCGTAGCAATTTAAATCACAATTCATTTAACAGTTTTTACACAGCAATAACCTGTTGTCGAAATACATGTGCTGATGTGCGTGCAATGTGAACTGATCTCGGGTTTTTTTTATCTATATTCAATAAAAGCTTGTCATTAGAAGATCGAAACCATTAATATAATTATGATGACAACAATAGCCATAGAAGTTTCACTGTGTTGATGTACATCGTTGAGAATCAATAAAATATACGTAAATATTGCTATAAAACACTCGGTCAATTTGGTTAAAATTAATCGTCTGACCGTAGAACAAGAAAGATTTTTATGATGCCTTAACGAACTTGACTTATAGATAAATATATAATTACTTATATTATATGATATATGACAGGTCATAATGTGTCAAACATTATGGATGAATGAAAGGTTATGAAAAATCAACTATTATAATAAATTAATATTTGACAATGCAACTACGTTCATTAACATTAATATATATACGACGAAATAAATATAAAAGCCGAGTAACATTAACCTACAAAGTACGACTTCTACACAAGAGAAAGAACAAGAAGATATTCAAGGTATTATCGACTTTTTATGTTGTATTATAAATTTGAGTGTTAATCTTTTCATTAATTCTTAGAATAGAAACCAGTTAGGTATAAAAAGTTTAATTAAAAAAGAAGAGTCTTAAATGAACATTTCTTTGCCAACTTTTTCCGTTTTTAAAAGGCCCCTTATACACAATCTCAGCTAGAATAGAATTCGCTTTTATGATTATGTCAAATCAAAACGCATGCAAGGTGTTTGTACTTTTTGGCAATTTTGCTTATTTTAGATTGTCCTTATTTTATGAATGTCTTTATGTTTATCGTTAAATATAAGTGAAGTTTTGATCGTTTTCGACGATCTAACTTTTCGGATTTTTAACGTGGAGCTATAGTAAGTTTGTTAAATTTATATTTTATTAGCTAAATATCATCGAACTATATTGGACAACATGGTCTTGACAAAATTAAAATAATTTTTGCACTCATCGCTTTTGTTGCGTTAATCTCACAAGTTTGTTCAATACAAAAAGGAACTGCTACTGACTGGGGAAAACGAAAAAGAGCATTAAATCACTTTCAAAAGCAAAGGTGAGCCTTAAGAGAATGATAAAAAATGTCAACAAAGTATTTTTCACCAAAATTCTTTAAGCTGATAATATGTTTGCATTTTTAATTTTTCGTTGTGAACAAAAATTTTTAAATGTATGCTATAGCTATTTTTGTTTAACATGATCAAAAATCTTCGGTGTTAAGTAGGTGGGATGGGCTTGACGGTATGTAGCCGTATGTGTTTTTCACGCTTAAACAATTGAACACGTTAATTTCTGCATTTATCCAGCTCTATGTATTGTTTTAGCATGACATTCGACAAATTTCGTTTTAATTTTCCAGTTCCAAATTCCTGTTCAAACTGGTTAATAGCTACTGCCTATTGCCTGATCCATTACACTGCATTGTCCTAATTTTACTCAACATACTGATAAAATTCAATATATTCTGAAATCGCACTGTTGCGTGAACATTCAACCGTTATATGTGAGGCATTTATCTTAATCGTAGACTCGTAGTTGTGTCTGAGTTGATACTTAAAATGCGTTGACTTTAATTGAACAATAATTTCACTGTCCGCACATAAATGAAAACCAGTTAAAAATAATTATGGGGATTCCATTTACAGTTTTGAAGGCTATAGGGAGAGTCTTGTTTATTTTCTGCTTTCTTTATTCTTTTGATCATCTTCAGGTGGCCGTCAATGAATGACCTTCGCAGAAAATATGACAATTATGACAGCAAAATGAAGAATTCTTTCGAGTTTTACAAAGAGGACTTTGAATAATGTGTGTTATTAATTCACACATGTTATATGTATGCATAGATATGTATATATATTTATATGTGTATGATTGTATGTGATTATATGTTGAAAATAATATATCTAAGCACAAACATGTTAAACTATCTATTATAAAAGTTAAATTAAAGTGAAAATAAGAATTTAAAATCAAACCATTTGAATGTTCATCACTTAAGCAAGTTTGACTACACTCTGAGGTAAAATTCTGCCAAGACCACTTACTGTAAAAAATGTCAAAAGATTCAAAAGCATTCATTGTTGCAAGGCAACTTTCTTAGATTTACTTTATAACATTTTCCCATGTTTTATGTCTTTTGTTTGGTATGATAGTATCATCAAAAACTTTTGTGAACTTTGCCAAAAAGACCGGAATAATAATGAAATAGGCTTAATTTATTGTAAAATTCATTGTTATAGCTGTAAAGTTTATATGGCCAATGATAACTAAAAAGTAATTAAGTCTAAAAAATGAAAATCATATCGCTTATTTTGAGAGCAACCCTTAGAAAACAGTTTCTGAACGGGACTTGTTTTAAAAGATGCCGTTCCAACGTCCGCTGGCTTATCTTGATTTTGTTGACAAAACTTTGAATTATGTATTTTTGACATTCATCGATGTCATTCATTTGCACGTTTGTAAAATCATCATGAGGTCGATGTTACATCTAATATACATGGTGAGTTAGGTAGAATAACATGTATTGTTATTCTAACTATCAGTTTTCGTGTAGCCATGTGAGTAATGTGGTTCGCCAGGCTTTAACACACAAATAATTTTCTTGAGATTGTTATAGATTTCTCAATATTTTTTCATTTTTTTGTTGTAGCTATGCTAGTACTTGTATTTCTTGATTTCTTCCGTCTTCATCAAAACTAGATTTGAATTTAAAAATGTGCAGATGTTAGGATTCTTGATTTATAACATACTTTTATTAAATAATTTATATGCTTGATAAAAAATACCTTTTACTTAAAGTAAATATAATATATATATTGAATTGTTTGCTTTGGTGTGAATTTTTCACAACTATTAGAAAAGATTTTAAAATGTCTACTAATTTCAGAATGTTTTTAAAATACTACTTGATTGAATGACAAAATACTAAATATTGATTACAGATTCAAATCAAACCGTGACTTAATTAGGAATACATTCTGTTTATAGATAGGAAATTTTAAATAGGGTTCACTTTATGTGAAAATGGGTGGTTAGTGATTAAAAATAAGGTCATTGTCAGTGTCTTAGTGTGTTTATCTTCCTGTTAGTAGTATCAAAGCATATTAGCCTTAGTTTTAACGTTACTATGTAAGTCTTAATGAATCTTGTCTTAATGTTGCTGATAGTGTTAATGTTAGTGCTGGTGTTAGTCTTAGTGCTGGTTTTAATAGTTTTGTGCTAGTTTTACATTTAATGCTGGTGTTAGTCCTAGTGATGTTATTCAGTACTCTTAGTGTTAATGTAATTGCTAATGTTAGTCGTACTTAAACAAGTCATGTAAAAAATTAAAGTTTAACACGCTGACATGCTATAACCTAATCACTAACATTAAAGTAAAATACATAGTAAATTACTCCCACTCCTCATTGTCAGAGATGGAAGTATTTTAAAAATTTTGTATTTTTTTACTTAGTTCCTTGTTAGTGCTAGTGTTACGTTCACTGCAAACTTAGTGGAACGTATCACTGGTGGCAAAAATTACTTAACTTTTCAACATGTTGAATATCGAATGCCAGTGACACGCGTGTCACAAGAGATACTTTGTGTAAGCTATTTTCTCCAGTGTTGCCGGGCTTTAGTGCTGGTATTAGTCATACACGTAATGGTGGTGTTGTTGATCTAAGTGTTATTGTTAATTTTAGTGTGTTAATCTTTGAGCTAGTGTAATTCTTAGTTCTAATGTTAGTATTAATCTTAATGATAACTAGAGTAGCGTCCATCTTAGTGTTAGTATTTGTGCTGTGGTTAACTTTATAGTGCTATTTTTCTTCAATGTTAGTCATACGATAATGTTTCATTAGTGAAAATGTCTTAATGCCTGTGCTGGTCTAAGTGATATCGTTAATCTTAGCGTTAGTCTAAATGCCAGTGTTAGTGTTAGTGTTAATCTTAGTGCTTGTGTTAAAGTTTATTGATTTTACAGATTAGTTAGATAACAATGAAGATGGGAAAGTATAGTATGATTTAACTGGGTTTTTTATGACAATAATGGGGTCGAAAAAAAGTATCTCTTCCTCTCTTTGGCTGTCTTCTCTACTTTCTCTTCTCAACTCCCCTTGCATGTCCTTTCCACTCTTCCTTTCTTTTTGCCTGAGTTAGCTTTTCTCTATGTGTCTAGGCTTTCCTATTATCCCTTCCGTTGCTTGTACTGTAATCTCCTCTCTTTTCTTTGCTCCTTCTTTTCTGTCATTTATAGTTTTTGCCTCTTCTACTCTCCTCATCCCGGTCCTTTCCTCTTCTCTCCTCTTCTTGCCTGTCCTCTCTCGTCTCCTCTGCACTCTTCTGTAGGTTTTGTTTCATCAATAGGTTTTTATTAGATTGGTTATGACACCAGTGTACAATTGTTGCGTTTACCTAATATAAAACTACAAGTATAGCGCGTTTCGAATATAGTTTGTGCCATGATCGTAAATTGCCATAGATAAATAACCATCTTATGCATTTAATTTTTGACATTTATACCAAAAAATGTAAACAATTGAGCTTTGTTGGAAGAAACGAAATTGACGACAAAACTAAATAAAATATATCATTATTTCATGTTTCCTTACATCATATTTACGTGATTTTTACATTATTTTTCCATGTTATCTATATCATAATTACACGTTGTTACTTCATTTTTAAAATTATTTTCTATATAAATTTCACATATTTTTATATCCTATAAATTTGACGTATTTTTTATATCAATTTCTGACTTTGTCATAAAAATGTGTGAAAATGCATGAACTATAATCTTTGGCATAAAATGTATCCAAATACATGAACTATAGCCTTTGGCATGAAAATACGTGAAAAAATATGAACTATAGACTTTGGCATGATATTGTGTGAACAGGCATGAACTACAGTCTCTGGCATGAAAATGTGTGCAAATGCATGAATTAGAGTCTTTGGCATAAAAATGTGTGAAAAGGGTCGAATTATAGACTTTGGAATTATAATGTGTGAAAAGGCATAAACAATAGTCTTTGGCTAGAAAATCTTTGAAAAGTTATGAACAATAGACTTTGGCATTATAATGTGTAAAAAGGCATGAACTATAATATTTGGCATGAAAATGTGTTAAAATCATGAACTATAATCTTTGTAAAGTAAATGGTTTGAACCCGAGAGTATCGTTATATGTTTGTAAATGATGATCGTCCAGGCTAACAAAGTCCTGAGAAGGACTGTTTTTGTTGTTGTTGACTGACGTTTCGACAACTTAGCGGTAGTCATCTTCAGAGTCAAATGAGGAGTAACGTCAGGTTAGCCGTATTTGTTGTATGGTTCTTACGTCATTGTATTGTGTGTACAAGAAATGTGTATTGTCATTGTGGATTAGTGTGAAGTGAAATATTTTATTTTTAGTTGTGATGTGTGATTTAGGTGTGACGTTTTTAGTTGTAATGTGTGGGTGTCAATTGTGTATTGTCACTACATTGAAATATAGTCTTTGGCATGAAAATGTAAGAAAATCATGAAATATAGTCTGTGTCATGAAAATGTAAGAAAATCATAAAAATATGTCTTTGTCATGAAAATATGTGAAATATGGTCTTTGGCATGAAAATGTGTGAAAATCATGAAATATAGTCTTTGCCATGAAAATATGTGAAATTTAGTTTTTGCATGAAAATGTGTGAAAATCACGATTTAAAGTGTTTGGCATGAAAATGTAAGAAAATCATGAAATATAGTATTTGTCATGAAAATGTTTGAAAATCATGAAATATAGTCTTTGCCATGAAAATATGTGAAATTTAGTTTTTGGCATGAAAATGTGTGAAAATCATGAACTATAGTCTTTGGCATGAAAATGTAAGAAAATCATGAAATATAGTCTGTGTCATGAAAATGTAAGAAAATCATGAAAATATGTCTTTGTCATGAAAATATGTGAAATATGGTCTTTGGCATGAAAATGTAAGAAAATCATGAAATATAGTCTTTGCCATGAAAATATGTGAAATTTAGTTTTTGGCATGAAAATGTGTGAAAATCACGATTTAAAGTGTTTGGCATGAAAATGTAAGAAAATCATGAACTATAGTCTTTGGCATAAAAATGTTTGAAAATCATGAAATATAGTGTTTGTCATAAAAATATGTGAAATATAGACTTTGTCATGAAAATGTATGAAAATCATGAACTATAGTCTTTAGCTTGAAAATATTTGAAAATCATGAAATATAGTCTTTGGCATGAAAACATGTGAAATTTAGTTTTTGGAATGAAAATGTGTGAAAATCACGATTTAAAGTGTTTGGCATGAAAATGTAAGAAAATCATGAAATATAGCATTTGTCATGAAAATGTTTGAAAATCATGAAATATAGTCTTTGCCATAAATATATGTGAAACTTAGTTTTTGCCATGAAAATGTGTGAAAATCATGAACTATAGTTTTTGGCATGAAAATGTGTGAAAATCATGAACTATATATAAAGAACTATATAGTCTTTGGCGTGAAAATATGTAAAATATAGTCTATGGCATGAAAATGTGTGAAAATCATGAAATATAGTCTTTGTCATAAAAATATGTGAAATATAGTCTTTGGCATGAAAATGTGTGAAAATCATGAACTATAGTTTTGGCATGAAAATGTGTGAAAATCATGACATATAGTCTTTGGCATGAAAATGTAAGAAAATCATGAACTATAGTCTTTGGCATGAAAATGTAAGAAAATCATGAAGTATATTCTTTGTCATGAAAATATGTGAAATATAGACTTTGGAATGAAAATGTGAAAATCATGAACTATAGTCTTTAGCATGAAAATGTGAAAATCATGAACTATAGTCTTGGCATGAAAATGTAAGAAAATCATGAAGTATATTCTTTGTCATGAAAATATGTGAAATATAGTCTTTGGCACGAAAATTTAAAAAGAATCATGAAATATAGTCTTTGTCATGAAAATATGTGAAATATAGTCTTTAT